GCGCATGAGAATTCCTTCGGCTGCGCTGTCTTCCAAATCTCTGCATTCCTACTAGCTGTCTGGGTCAACGAGGCAGTGGGTCCAGGGTGCGCCGGCTACGCCTTTATCCAACGAGAGAGGGAGCAACAGTACTACCCATCCAACATCCGCTCTTTCACCTATCGTTGCCGGACTCAGACTCTCCAACATCATGGCAAATGGCGCGCCTCCCCTCGTGCTACCCCAGGTACCGGTCCTTCCAGTCCTGGCTCCGGTATGGGACATTGCACTATATGCAGCGGTATCATTAGGCATGGTCCTCTGGGAGTAAGTTCATCGACCTGCTAATAGGGCCGCAGAAGTAGCTACCAATACCACGAACGCTGACTTCGCTTCTTATCATTCTTAACGCCTTCAGCTACTTGCTGACGCTTCCGAATGAAATCCGGTGGTACCGGAAAAAGGGCTTCGTGTTGATCACCCTCCCATTCGTTATCGTTCGCTACGTACCGATCATCTGGCTAGTGCTCTTTCTAACTGGCCAACGCGCATTTTGGACGGAAAAGACCTGCAACGTGGTCGGGCGAATCGTCCCCTATGCTTGCTGCATCGTCACCCTCGGCGCCTCGGCCATTTTCGTCTTCCGCACTTGGGCCATTTACAATCGCAACCGAACCATTCTTTGTCTTCTTTGTTTTCTTTGGGTCGGCCAGGCAGTCTGTACCCTCGTCGTCACCTCCTACACGATACCATTGATCGGACCTGGCGGCTTAGGCTGCTTCCCGCTCGCCAAACCACACCCAAATGTCTACTACGCATACTTCATCGCCAACGTCATCTTCGACGTGGCCATCGTCCTCATCTCGTCGTTGCGCTTGCTGAAGGGCATGAAAGCTAGCCCTAACCAGCGTACCGCGGGTATGTGGCGTCAGCGCCTCCTAGCAGACGGCTTGCTTTATTTCGTTGCAGTCCTCGTCGTAAATGTGCTCAATGCTGCATTCTTTGCTGCCAACCCGATGTGGGCGTACGCATACATTAACGCAGCTCTCAACGTCGCAGTCACTGGCATCTCTGCTTCCCGACTTGTCCTCTTGAGCGGCTCCAACAGTGGCGGCGCTTTGGGCACGCTCGGTGCCTTCGCACTCTCTGGCCGAGGTGAAAGCGGCAGCGGCAGCGGCAGCGGCGGCGGCAGCGGCGGTCGGAAGCAGTCGTCCACAACTGGTAGCAGTGCAGGCGTCACCTCAGTTGACGTTATGAGCTACAACGGCCCGCCCGTCAGCGGGTACTCACAAACCGGCCGCACAACCAATGCTACCTACCTCGGCTCGCCCATGAGTGGCTTCAGCTTCGAACCGACAAAAGGCGATGAACACAGTGCCACCCATCCTTTCACCAACGGAGTCTTCCCCATTCAACAAACACACGCCCGTCCACTTGCAAGCGACGACGCCCGGCCCCAAAGCAATTGCTCGATCAACCAGATCCACGTCATTCAGAAGGTCGAGGTTGAGCGTGAAGGCTCAATGAATGTCTCATAAGCTGTCACAAAAAACACGCCCTCGGCCTTGGCACATGCAGCTTCACTTCCCTTTTGCTTCTCCCTCTCCTTTGGTTTTGTATACTTCGTGCCTTTGCATATCTTACTTCCGGACCATGACGAGTCACGCTTTGCTAATCTTTGTACCGTTTATAAAATTGAATCTGCCAACGTTCGCAATGGAATCATTTCACGAGTTTCGAGTATGGTATGCGCTACACGAATAACTTTGGAATTGATGGCGTCTGCACGCACAGAAAGAGACAATGTCATTATCCATCTTCAATTTGAATGAAACCTGCTGAATGTAAGGTTGCAGACTGTTGCAGTGCCCGTTAACGCGACGCGCCCCTTGCAACCAAAGCAACATGTGTAACCCGCCAAGAAGCTGTCCACCACTTCCATCTTGGACATACGGCGTATCCATCTACTTGCATCAAGCTCCTTCATTTGGCCACGGATGTCATCGTTGTACACGACATCATCATGACCTCCGCCATTTCCTGTTCGCTTGTACCCACTTCAGAGAGAGCTGCTCGGTCCATCAAGACAAGCGACTCCGACTGCGGCTAGCAACTGAATTTCTTTGACGCTGGGGCAAAGACGCCAGCCTGTACGTCACAGCTTCCGCCTAGCGCATAGGGATAGTAGCGAAAACCCAATGATGGCACGGCCTTCGCAAGCTACACCCATACGAAATGTAGAGCTCGATGCTGGCTCGCTCGCACAACGGCTTCTGCCGAACCTAATACCGCTCGTTGGAGATGTTTCGGGTCCGGGATGCATCAGATGGTCAGCCGACGGTCAGGTCCTGGTCATCCTCAGGACCGGACTGCACATCATTGTTGGTGCAGACTACCAGCTTCAGACCCGGCTTAAAGCGTATCTAAACCATCTGTTTTCTTCCCCCGTCAGACATTCGCGCTAGGCTTTGATCGCAAGTTCATCCGACAACACTCGATTGCGGGCGAAGCCAATGACACTGGTCTCAATCTGAACTGCTTTCATGCTCACATAAAACGTGAGGGTGACCTGATTGCGCCCTCAAGAGGGCGGACATTCTACAATGCTGGTGTGTGCAACTCTTTAGCGTGAGGCATTGATCGTTCGCAGCGTTGACAGGACGTGTTTAATTAGACTTTGCTGGTCAGAGTACAAGCTTCTGGACGCAAGCATGGCGTGATGCAAGGTGGTCGCCTGTGGGGCTGCACGGGCCACTAGGAGGATGCTTGGTTGCAGCTCTGTCAAACGAGCTGGAAGTGTCCATCTTTCAGCCGCAAAGCCATAAGGACAGCCGAACGGGTCACTGGGAGCAAATTCAGAAACTCGATTTTCTCATCGCACCCGAGGTTGCAGCAAGGGAACACGAGGACGGCGAAGATGACGTAGGCACTGATCTGTTGGAGCCGGACAGACAACGAGAAAAAGAGTTGTTAGCCGAAATGGACTCGCAAACCATCTGTCTCGACTGGCTTGCTGCGCCTCAAGGGCGAGCTACCCGCGGTGGTACCGCAAGGCCATCCCTTCTTGCAACTGGGTCCCGAAGTGGCATACTTTCGCTGTGGCGGTACGTTCTTGATGCGCTCGCGCGGTCGAATCCTTGGCCGTGACTGATTTATTGTGCGAGCGTTGCAGATGGGACAAGTCTCAGACAGACGCAGGGGCGATGAAGCTCTACAGCAAAAACCGCATCTTTCAACAACAGATCTCGCACGTCGCTTTCAGCTCCACAACATGCCTTGTGGATGGGTGCGAGGGTAAGGCTCTGGCCTTCTCATATTCCAAAACGTTCGCTGAAATCATGCCTTCGATGACAGAGTTCACCCTGGCATGCTTCTCTCAAGGCACCTTTGCATTCCAGGATATGTCATTTGACGCCGACTTTCAAATCATCACTCAGCGCATAAGGCACCATAGGCCGATGGTTGATACTGAAAACTGGAAAGGGCAGTATGTCCCATTGATGTGCTTCACAAGCGATGCGCGGCACATCGCGTGGACCACTACTGGAGAAGCGTGGGTAACACCCGTCAATAAGGAGGGGCGGTCATCCAGATATCGTCTCGCAGGATTTACAGAATCCGAAGCACCTGTTGATGGGGATGAATTTGTTGGGGACGAATCTGGCGGCTCGAGGGCAGCAATAAACAGACCGAGATCGCCTTATGCCCCTGCCGCGAGTAAGTCCAATGTTAACAGTGCGGCGTTAGCATGAAGGGCAGGCACCCTGACCCATTCTCCTGTAGCCCTCGAGACGACCGACAATGGGGAGCTCATTCTTGTCCTCACAAACGGCCTCATCTATCGAATTCCCAGCGCCTCGAAGGATACAGATGAAGTGCGTACTGGCGAATTACACCCTGAGCCGAAGATCATGATCGTCGAGCCTGAGCAAGGTGAGCTTGCCGAGTTGCGAGCGGCCTATGGCTCGCTGCAGGGCGTCGGTGGCTATGCGCGCAGCCCGGTCGCAAGAGCCTTTACGTCCGAGCTCACCGCATGGACAGAAGCTGCCATACGAAGGTGAGTGGCAAGTACAAGTGTGTAAAGCTCGGATGCTGTGTCGGTTGAGCTCACCTGAGCCTGGCCACCAGCGACGGAGACGTGGCTGCGCTGAAACTTCGTGATCTGCGACGGCGAAGCATGTTGGGTCTTGCGCTTCACACTCCTCCAGATCTGCGCGCAGACGATCTTGTGGATGACACCTTGGCGGCTATCACTGACGATGATCGGGTGGCGAGAGATAGTAGGGAGGGAACGAGCGTGGATTGCTTTCGCTTTTTCTTGCTCTGCTATCTCGACGCCAAAGCACCGGCACGGACTGCCGTGCGAAGCAAGCTGCTGGCTGGTTTGCGCGAGGCCTTCTTGGGTGAGAGAGTGATGACTGTGGATAGGGCGCTGTGGCTAGTCCAATGGCTATCGGTAAGTGCCTGAGGAGGCGATAGGACTGTGCTCTAGCTGAATGAGCGCCTTTTATGTGGAGTGCTCAGGACCAACAGAGTTTCACGCCGAGCGACACACAGCTGGCGCACGACATCCGGGCATCTGCTTTCCGGTCCCATCTAGCCAAAGTGGCCACGCTGCTCTCAGCTCCAGGTATCGCGAATGCTTCTGTTCACAGTGCGCGCTCCAAACACGTTTCCCAGTTTAACAATGACCCTGATTCCTATCCCCTCTTTTGCTATCTACCTTGCAGCAGCACTGATCGAGCGAATGATAGCTGCGGCGTCGATTTGCGGCGTCGACTCGACCACCAGCGCCGCGATACGCGCATTGCGCAGAGGATGGGTGCTGCCGAAGCCGAAGCCGATGAGAACGATTGCCTCGAACGGGCAGCTGATACTAGCGGGCGACGGCATCGACCTGGGGGGGCAATGCCCGGCATGCATGCAAGCTGTCTTCATCCCGATCTCCGTTACCGGCGTCGTGAGCGAAGGTGTCTGTGTCCAGGGCCATCGTTGGCGTGAGTTGGCACCACCGTGCGAGGCTTTGGACATGCTCTTCCCCACCCGATAGGCTGCGGAGTGCTGACGACCACTGTTCAACGTGCTGCAGATCGCTGCGTCGTCACGTTGCGGTTGCTGGCGAGCATGCATGCGCGTCAGTGTGGTACTTGCTTGAGCCGCAGCTCGACGCTCAAGGACGCGGGGGAGGACCGCCGGGTGCTGCAAGTCTTTCCACAGTGCTGTCTTTGTGGAGGCCAGTGGGCTGCGGAGTAATCAGGCACGGTTTTTTCTTATATATTTTAAACTGCCTGCCCAACGTGTTCGCTGGAGAGATTGCTACTGCATTACAACTTCCAATCTGCCTTTTTGACGTAGTCTGCCCACTTGGTGAGCTTGTCCTCGACGATGGCCTGTGATGGCTGGACGTCAGCCCGATTGTAGTATCCAAAGTCCTGAAACCACGCGAGCATCTCGTAAAACTCCTGGGCGGTCTGCTTTGGCAGGAAGGACTTCCATGTGTCCGGGTCGACCTGCTGGCACCTTGTTTTTACGCCAAGGATGTCGCCCCACTTCGTTAGCAACTGGTCGAAGGGGAGCTCCTCGGAGCACATGTAAATGCGCTTATCGTAGAACTTGTCGCCGCCCTTAATGATGGCCTTGACGAACTTGCCCGTGTCGTCGTGCGCTTCGAAGCCTGAGTAGACTGAATCCGGGCTGATGGGGAGGGTGAGCGTGTAGACGCCATCGTCGCCCTTGGTCGGTTTGAAGTTGGACGTGAAGTTCTCCCAGTAGGCGGCGGGAAGAACGGAGGTGTAGTTGATGCCGATGGACGGGAGTAGCTTCTCGACCTCGGCCTTGCCGTCAAAGTGATCAACGTGGGTGTACTTGCCTTGGGAGCCGGCCGCGACGTTGTCGAGGGTGGACCAGATGAAGTGCTGTACGCCGGCGTCCTTGGCGGCCTGGGCCTGGCGCTTTCCGTCCTCGATCTCCTGGGCCTTATCGAGGTGCTGCCAGAAGTTGGTGACTGCGTACACGGCGTGCGCGCCGGTGAAGGCGGCCTTGAGGTCGTCGTATGAGCTCATGTCCGCCTGGACGACATCGACGCCCTGCGCAGCCAACTGCTGCGCGGCGGGTTTGGACGGGTCGCGCGTCAGGGCGCGCAGCTTGTAGCCCGGCTCGTGCAGCAGGTGCTTGATGACCGACGAGCCCTGTGCGCCCGTAGCGCCGACGACGGCGACGATCCTGGTGGACATGTTTGCTTGGCAACACTTTGGATGTTGCTGCGGCAGCTTTGTGCAGAGGGACCTACCTCCGTTTGTAAGCCAGAATGGGAAGGGGTTGCGGGTGAGGCTCGCTAGGACGTATGAATGTGGACGTGAGGAGAAGCTGAAGCTGGGTTTATATAGAGCGTCTACAGTACAGAACATACAAACGAATACGAGGTGCGATGCATGACAAACCGAACCTGAGGTGACGTCTGCATCATGGATGGATGGACAGACGAGCCACGAGCGCCGCTGACGTAACAGCGGCACAGCGAAGAGCCCTGTGTGGGTTGCGACTGTAACTCTGCTGCGCTTTGGACGCGCGTAAGGCAGCTTACGGCCGTGACATCCTTTCGGCTATAAAGATGGTGATTGGCAGAAGCGATAGCTGCGTGTGTCCTTCGTCCGAAGCGCGCGCTCACTACTGGCACTACATGACCACTCCATAGAGACCGATCCCACTGATCCACAGCTCGCCCAATCGCAACCATCCATGCGACACGGCAGCAACTCAGAGGGGAGTCCCGAGTGGGGGGGGCTCCCAGCCTGATCAGCTATTGAATATCTGTATCTCCACGCCCGATGTGGTGCGCGCAGCGAACGAATGTGGCTGGCTGGCTCATCTCGGTCTGAGTCGAGACTCGACGTGTCTATCTTGGTAACAAGGAAGCGGAACGGGACGATTTAGCTCAAAGATGGCCAAAATCGTTGTAGTGGAACACTCCCAACCCCAGTGAACAAGAGGCTATTATGTAATATATATCTCTCTCTTTCTCTTAACATGATATAGATACATAGTATAACATCTTTTGGGGATCTGAATTGGAGGTGCCAGGTTTCCACTCCGGTAATCCACTCACCATTCTCCTCTTGCTAAACTGTTCATCGTACACCTCCTCATCTCCTTCCCTCCGCTCTGCAGACCGCTTCAGAGAAGAGCAGAGACGAACAAGGACGCTTCACCCGCTGTCAGTGCAAGTTCAGCCTGGCCGGCAGAACCTGCCGTCGTCTCCTACCTCCCCGTTGTCTTCCACCATGCCGGACCCAGCTCTGCAGGCGTACCTCGCCGCCAAGTACCTCTCCGGCCCAAAGGCAGATGCCATACTCGCCAAGCACGGCAGCGATGAAAAGGTCAGGAAGAAGCGCAAGCGCGACGACGCAGCGGAAGCCGGCGGTGGTCTCCTCATCAAGGATGAGCTCGAGTCGTGGAAGCAAGACGCACCGAGTGGCAATGTCGAAGGCGATGCCGATCCTCAGTTCGTGCGAGATGGAAATGTGTCGCGCGAGACAAAGTTTTGCAAAGCGTTCGACAGAAGCAAGCAGGGTGCTAGCGGCGACGACAACCGGCCAGCGACTGCGAGCGCAGATTGGGTCACTGTCGAGGTGGGTTCTATGGGTGCTGCGCAGCCTACCGACGATGGAGTGGCAGCCGTCTTGGACGACAATGCAAGCGCATCGACGTCCACAGCAGCGCAGAAACCGAAGCCTCCATTGGCCCGCGCGGGTCTCATGACCAAGGAAGACATTCGCGCGCAGCGACTCGAGCGGGAGCGGGCCGAAGCTGAGAAGCGCGCTCGAGACGAGGCAGAAGCAGAAGCCGCCGCTGCCGCTGGTGTCGAGATAGCATCACACCACCAGACGATCTACCGCGACCGCTCAGGGCGGCGCATCGACACAGCACAGGAGGACGAAGAGCGACGGCAGGCGGCGTTGCGTGCCCAGGCCAAGCAACGCGAGCGCGCACAGTGGGGCACGGGCGTTGCGCAGCGGGAGCAGGCGCGCGCCCAGCGGGCGCGCCTCGAACAGGCCAGGGGCGAGGCCGTCGCGCGACACGCGGACGACGCGCGCATGAATGACCAACTAAGGGCGATGCAACGCGTCGACGACCCCGCGCTGGCGTTTTTGACCCGAAAGAGCGAGCGTGGACCGTGCATGCCGCGCTATGCAGGCCCGCCCGCACCACCGAACCGCTACAGCATCTCGCCTGGATACCGGTGGGACGGAGTCAATCGCAGCAATGGCTTCGAGCAACTCTATTTCCAGAAGATCAACGAAGGCAGCACTCGCAAGCACGATGCGCAAGGTGAGTCGTTTTCTCATCCCTTTCACACTTGCAATCTCCACTTTCTAACCCTGACTTGACTTCTGCATGCACATGCACCATGACCATCACTAGCTTGGAGGCAGGAAGACATGTAGTAGCCAGCGGCCTTTTGATGAGTTGTACGTTAACCGCACATTTGCTAATGATTCCTCGCCTCGCGTCTGTGATATGTCTTGCGCTTCGGGTTGGCTTCATATGTCACTGACGTGCCTTCGGAGGGGCTGAACTCCTGCGTAGCTTGTTCGCCTCATGTTGCGCACAGTTGGCAGCAGGACACAGCAATGTCGATTGGAGCTTGCACTGCCTTCAGCAAACAAAAGCGGCCCCAACGGCACCGAGGATGGTCATAGGACGACAGCAAAGTTGTGCAACTTCCAACCCCTACACTATACTCTGGCCACTCCTCCAGGGCATTCCCATTCCTTCTGGCGATGACTTCAAGAAGGCCACCATGCGCTCACGCAGCTCCCTCAAGACACACACGGTGATTGCTGATGAAACGCTCAAGGCCCCAGATCTGGGATCCTAGCCGGTCTCGGCCATGATGTCAGCGTTACCCTCAGGTAGGCATCAAACAGGGTAGCTTGCATAAAATGCCGCTCGCAGACCCGCACCCGCCACTCACCTCCAGTCCTGTCTCCACTTCTCTCACACGAACGAATGACCCGTTGGCACTTCCTCCCCTCGCTCTCGTGGCATCTAGGATCATCCAAAGCTGAGCTTTTGGAGACCATTTCCGCCCCACTTCTCTCCTCTTCATCACCCGCCCACTCACGCAAGTCAGTAAGCAAAACCCAGACGTCCCGCGACAGCCTTCATTAAAATGGAGGTCAAGTTCATCCTTGTCTCCTTTTCGTTCTCGCCGTGCAGGCCGCGGAGTCTCCCGTTATGATCCACCCGGGCGCTCGCGTAAGTTGACGGCGCTTGCTTGTCTTCAAGCTCCTATCGGCGGATCGCTTGACTGACGCTTCTATAAATTCTATCGCTCCCATTCGCTCGTCCAGCGCCAAGTCTCCGCACCTGCGCCGATGACCAGGGTACCAACTCTCGTCCCCGCTTGCCCCATCGATGCTCCGCTGCCAACTTCCTCGATGGACTCATATTGTCCCCACCAGCCTCCCTGTCGTTCCTGCGTCGTCCAGAATCGTAGCGCCAGCTACCACTTCTGCTACTGATACGGCTTCCGATTCGTCTGGGCCCGATACCCCCCCTCGCCGATTACCTGGTCCGATGTATCCGACACGTCGTCGTCATCCATCGCCGCCGCGCCTACCTCCTCAAGTCCAGCTCTGACATCTGTGAGCAGGTCCACTGTTGCAACAGACTCATCTATTATGCCCTAGCTGTCGTCCATTGCAGCTCCATCCACTGAAGCAGCCTCTGGCGCCCCGGCGGCAGACAACGTGGCCCCCGTCGCCTCAGCCGCACCTGCTATCGTTGCATCGGCTGCTGCTGCTGCTGATCAGGGTAGCTCTTCCGTGCTAAGCGCTCGGTCGGCGCCTTGGGCTCCCGCCGTGCCATCTGCACCTCCAGCTCGGTTCGTCTCGGCAGTCCTTTTGCCGCCAGCTGCCCCGTCTGTTCCTTTGGTCCCTGCTTCCCCGTCTGCGCCAGCATTTCCGTCCATCCCGCCGATATTTCCGGCTGCAGCGACTCAGATCGCCGCGATTTAGCAGCAGTTGAACCCTGCACTCGGCCAAACCGCTAAGACCCCGTCGCATCAGCCCGGCCAAGTGTCCGCTGGCACTGCTGGCACCGGTTTCAATTCTAGTCCCGACAATATAGGCAACCCCTTCGACGATCCTGTGTCCGGCAGGGCTTCTGCTAGCGACAGCTTCAGGAGCAGCAGCAGCAACTCCGTTGTGCCCAACTCAGGTGACAGCTCATGTGCCTAGGCTGTTCTGACCGGCAGCGATGCTGTGAACGGCAGTTCGGCCGTGCTGGCTACCCCTCCAAGTGCGGCGCTCGATGAAAGGATACGCCTAGGCAGGATCGCCACAATTTACGTCATTCAGGCGACACTGGTTCCCGTGTCCAGCATCAATGCCACCAACACGGCCGGGGCGTCAGTCACCACTAACAGGTGGCCAGCAGTCAGCAGCAACAGCAGCAGACAATGCTGGCTGCGGCTGCAAGCAGCATCGGATTGCTCAATGGTAGCTCCTACTTTACGGGGTCTCCAGAAGGTGACGGCTCAGACAGCTCTGCGCTGACCATGTCGTCCTCTTCCCGCGGCAGCCTCCCATTTCCGATCAGCACCCCATCTTAAGCAACTATGCCTGGCAGCTCTGGCCTGCCTTTTAACATTACTGCTCCCAGACACACCCTCGTGACACCATCCCAATACGGGCTCTGTTGGCGCCGCTGCCAACGCTGCGCCCGCCATTGAACCGGGCCTCAGCGGCGCCGCAGCGATGGGGCCCTGACTGGAGAATGGCTCCGTCGGTGCTCCGTGGATGATGACTTTCGGTGGTTATGTATGGTGAAGCGTCCTTCGCTGTTCCACTGTCGGTGGTAACTGACCATTGCTCCGCATCGAATGTGCTAAGGGCATGACCCTGCCTCTCAAGAAGACAGTTCATCGAATTGCCTTTATGTGCATATTCGGGCACGAGACGAGTCCTCCGCTCAAATGGAAGCCGAAGCATGGCCCAGTGTGAGTCGCCTTCCTGAATGACTTCGACGCTGGGATGGACCTGGACGACACAGCGGTACAGGAACTCGCCAAGTCGCTCCCACGTACAGATTAAATACTTCCTTTTCTTCCTGGTCCACTTCCCTCGTCCTCACCTCTTCCCCTCCGTTATATCTCACTCCGTCCTCCAAACCATCACCTCCCCCCATTGTTGACCAATTCTACCCTTGTCAAACTGCAGCTCTTTTGTTCCCACTTCCCGCTGGTACCCTTGGTCATGAGAGCGACTGCCGTCCCGATCTATTACCGCCCCAAGCGCCCAGTATGAGCCACCGCTATCCGCGAGATGATCGTGGGCCGCCTGACTCGTGCCCTCGGCAAGGTATGGTGTAGGCGTACCATCCTGTCTTGGACATACTGACGGCACCCCACCCGAAGAGCACGGGCATTCAGCGCCCCCAGCGTCCATGAAGATGGGCTTCGCAGCGCCAACTCCATGTCAATCTCGATCCATTGCAGGTGTGGGGGCAGGCTTCACTCCAAACACGCAGTGAGAAAATGGACAGGAACAGTGGTCGAGAGCCATCCTCATCGCCTATGCAGCTGCCCGATGGAAAGCACTTGGCCTCTCAGGGTTGCCCTGCCTCAGGCGCCTACTCTGCCGGACACCGCTTCTCTGCCCAATGCTGCCTCTGCCAAGTCTGCATCTGGCTCTGTTCCCGACATGGCAGGATCCAGTTCGGCCGACCTTTTGAACAACGTTCTCAAGTAGGGTAGCATCTTCGACGTCCACATTCGCGCCGAAGAGCTCGATGGAAGTCCTATCGTGAGTGAAACGCATCTTCCAAAGGATGATTCCGCGACTGCGCGAGAACTCTTGACTCTTCGGTCTTTAGGTGGCGAGCTGCTTCAAGTCTCAGGTCTCGAGATCTTGGGCAGCAGCTTCGCAGGTAAACCAAGCAGTGTCCCGACGAGCCAGGCGTCGCGCGGACGACGACGTGCTCGATCGCCGCTACATTTCTCAGACAGCCGCATTCAATGCTGCCAAAGCGCTTTCTTGAAGAGCAATATCATCAAATTCGCCCGCGCCAACAATGAAGAGGAGGCAATGATGCTCGGTGGCACCCCCAGTCCTGCATTGGTGGCAAGTGCTCAAACCCTCGGAACCAATGAACGCCCTCATGAGTATTCATCTTTTTTCGGTCAGTTCATCCCTTCATCGTCGCCGCAGATTTGCGAATTGAAGAACTTTAAGGACCCTGCTGCGAGCGGGACCCTTGTGAACGGTGAAAGGCTGCAGCGCTTGTTTCCAAAAGCATCTCTTCCACTCACGACCCCAAAACTCGCCGCATACACAAACTGCCTACACCCTTTTCAGTACACTCACTACAACAGACATTCTCTATACACCCGGCGCTTTGCGGCCCACTTGTGCATATACATATACACATTGAATCACACCCGGTGAGACTCAAAAACCCTGAGTCTTCAGTCTCTCGCTCACCAACTGGCTGTGGTCCACGGTTCCACGGTCTTTCCCACATACTGCATGTTCAGTTGCAGTGAGCAATGGATGCGGGGCCTGCTAAACTACGGGACGCCGGACATATCAACGTCGTCGTCGTGCTCATGCATCATGGAGGACGAGTTGGATTCGCTGTGGCCCGGATGCCGGTCGCGATCGCCCTGGGAATGGTCTTCCATCGACTCATCGCCCCGTGCCTCGCTGCCATCATAGTGCTCTTGATCACTACTGTTCTCGCTGCGGCCATCCTGAGATCCTGAGACTGAACCAGCTTGCTCTAGAGGGTGTGCGTGGTTGTTGCCTGCTTCGTCGTTGTCGTCAAAGCTTGGCTCATCTGGTTCTACGTACTGGGCAGCACTATTGCTCGCGTCCCCAGCGCCATTGGCAGCCGATGGTGCGTCCTGATATACTGGCAAGCCACGACTGTTATCGATGATCGATGTGCGAGCGAATTGTGAAGTGCTTGCATCGTTGAGACTGACGCTCCTCGACGCTATACCGCTCTGGTCGAAGATGCCGCCCCTCTTCGCCGCGCTCTGCAGAGCTGCGTGAACGCCCTCTCCCATGGCCTTGATTGTGCGCGTGGTGCGTGGATCGAGATCGATAGCGACAGCGAGATGGTGCGCAATAGCCATCTCATAGCCCTTGCCATATTTTGGGCTACCGGTCGCCTTGACTGCGGCATCGCGCCCTGCGGCTCCACCGGCTACAGCATGCTTGCGGACAAAGCCAGCAGCATCCATCATGGAACTCATGTCTCCAGCCTCATTTGCCTCCTCCTCACTGCGATCGAGCGGTGCGAAGTAGCCGCCAGCCAGACGCATGTATGACGTGGCCAGCAGAATATGGACGCGTGCCTCATCGGGTGCCAAGGTGCACGCCTTGAGGAAACTCTCATGTGCTTCCTGCAGCGGAGAGAAGAGAATGTCACGAAAGGATCTCATTCTGTGCAATAGGTTGAACAGACTCACTTGCACCCGACCGAGCTTTTGCAATAATTCGCCGCGTCTGAGGATGGTCATCGCCATCGAAGGGTTTAAGGAGAGCGCCTTGTTGTAGTGCGTCAGAGCGGCATATTTCTCGTTCTTCATCTCAAGGACCTGCAAATGCATGAGGTTTTAGCACCGATGCAGACATATGCTCTCAATGTTGTGGCACTTACCCAGCCCAGTAGATCCCATAGGACGGCGTTTTGACGATTGATAGAAGTTGCCAACAGATAATGAAACTCGGCATATGGATACTGCTCATCCAACAAGCAAATCTGGCCAAGACCAGACCAGGCGTTCCAGTGGCGTCGCTCGCACCGAATCGCTGCGCGAAAAAAGTTGCGCGCATCATCTCGATTGCGGAGCTCTAAGGACTCCAGGCCGGCAAGAGTATAGGCGTATGCACACGAAGGTGCTAGCAAGATGGCACGCCGGAAACATCTAAGGGCCAAGTCATGCTCGCGCTGCAAGCTAAAGGCATTTCCCGTTGCGAGATGGGCGATTGCGGATCTTGAGTCAAGGAGCATGAGCTCTTGCGCCAAAGCAGAGAGTGCAACTTCGCGGTTGAGATGGAACAGCACGAGTGCATAAATGTCCATGGACGCTGTAATAGTCGGGTCTTCTGTCTTGGCCGCTTCGAAGTATCGCTCGGCCTCTGCGTACAAGGACATGTCGTGATATGCTCTACCGATGAGCAATTGAATGGGTGGAGAGCTGCGGATGCGGTGATTGAGGACCTTGTAAACTGTGAGGTCGACCTGCTTTTCGCCAGGTTCCACGACCTGGTCAATGGTCATGGATGCGTGCTCCATCTGAATGTCATTGGGAATTGAGCGTAGAAGCCAGATGGCACGTTTGCCCCTGAAAGCTCGAACAGATCGATACGCCTCGCCGACCACCCGCAACATGTCAACGATGGCTGCATCGACCTTAGTCCAGCGCTTTGCTTCGAGGACTGCAAAGTTAATCGCTTTGCTTGCCTCCTCCTTGAGCTTGTTCATTGCGTCGAAGCGAGCCTGCGCTGCATCCGCTAATTGATCACTTTCGAGCGCAGCGTCAATGTCTGACGACGACGAATGAGGCTGATTTCTGGCGAGTGTTCCGGACAGAGTTTTCTTGACGGGCGCGCCTCTCCTTGCCGCACCACTGTCCGTCTTGGCAACGGGGCCCTTCCCAACTGTTCGCCGGGCGGTGGTCGGGATTTGCGTGCCCTGCGAGCTGACAGGGGTGCGGCTCGGCCCCCTTGTCATTGCAGTCGTCTTTCCAGCTGGACGGGTTTTGGTGGTAACACCGAGACCTGTCGAGACTGCACGAGTGCTTCTACGTACGCCGCCTGGCACATCTATCTCCTTGTCGTCTTTCACGCTACTCGCCGCAGATGTCGATTCGCTTCCACGTGTGGCGCGCGGCTGCTCCGGATGCAAGTTTGTCCGCCCAGGGCCAAGAAGTGCTTGTGAGTTTCCCGACCGCGTGTTGGCTGCTGGGGGCTTGTTGAGTGCAGACAAGGAAGGAGGAAGAGTGGTCGATACGGAAGTTGAAGAAGTGCCAGGCCTGCTGTTTTCATTGCCAGTGGTGGCGACTGAGCCCACGGCTGCTGCAGAGGTAGTTCTCCGACTACCTGCGCCGCCCAGTCTCCCAGTACTTGTTACGATATTCGGAGTTTCGGCTCCGGATCGCGACCGCTTACTGACGGCCGGAGCCGTAGTCCCATTAGGCCCGGTCACAGTGCGAGTGCCTGGCCTTGGCTGGGGCGGGCGTGTGGCAAGGCGCGAGTGGGATCGCACAGTCGAGACGGACGTCGCATCTGAATTGTCTATAGTTGAGCTGCTGGCATGTACGCGCATGGGTTTCGCGCCAAATGTTTGTGTTCGGGATTGGAATGAATTCGGTCTGCGACAGATTCTCACATAAGTCAATATGGACAGCAAAACAGCGTGTATATCAAGCACTCACCTTCCCAGCTCTTCGCGTTGTGCCACCCGCCCGGGCCCTGCTCGCGCCGCCAGCCTCCTGGCTGCAGGATCTGCCTCGGAGCTGCTTAATACGTGCTTGATCCTAATCGAGCTCGCATCATCGTCACCCGTAGAGAGCAACTGCGGGTCCAGCAACCCTTCCTCTATCCGCGCCGCCTCACGCTTGAGTTTTCGCTCCAAACCCGGCGGGAGGAAATCCATTGCCCTGTGACGCCATGCCATCTTGTGAGCATCGAATGCCCGGGCCGCAGTGACGGTGTCGCTGCGATCGCCGAGAGTTTCAGACAGCGCTCCTGCACGATCGACGGATAAGGTCGACGCAAGATCCTGCTCATCCAGTTCGCTTGTAGCCCCACCGGCATCGCAGAAGCCGGCCCAAGCGCTCCAACACCAGTGGTCGAAAAGCTTGTGCGCAGTCTGAAAGGATTCGACAGCGTCTTTCTGACGGTTGGAAGAGAGCGCGAGACTTCCCATCATGACAAGCATCTGTGCTCTAACGGCGTTGCTCAGGTCTGAGCCACGAATTGCGGCGTTAAGTGAGCTATTGGGAGATGCATGCTGCACCTGGAGTGGCGGCGGTATTGGAGCAGATGATACTGATCTGTACGTCGAGGACGAGTGTGCATGCCCGGTCTCATTTAAATCTGCAGTTGAGATATCGTGGTTGATATGCCGTTGAAAAGTCCAGCTGAGCGCCATCTCTGCATCTCTGTACCTGCCCAGCCTGCGGCAAGCTTGTGCGTACACCAGGGCGCTTTCCACGTCCTCGTACGTCGCTTGGCCACCTTGCTCGAGGATCCGCAGAGCCGACTGAGCAGAGGAAGCGTTCGTATGCGCTGCTGCTGCAGATGAGACTGAAGTAGTGGCACCGCTGCCGCCAGTACCCCCCAGTGTCGATGTAGATCCAGATGGCGAGGAAGGGGCAAATGGGAAAGGATCGCCACCGTTGAGCACTGCGAGCGCTAGCGTCTTTCTCGCAGCAACAGATGAGCGATCGAGGCAGAGTGCGAGATGGGCGTATAGAGAGGCAGAGACGTAGTCTGCCATAACGTCGTGTGGCCCCTCACTATCACTTGTCGTGCTTGTGCTGCTGCCTTTCGAGCTGGACTCGCCGTTGAGCACACCTAACGCGTCTGATTTGCGTTTCACCCCCGATCCCCCACCTTCAGAGTCATCAGCGGCTCTTCGCTTGCCAGCGGCTGTGCTTTGCGCCCCCACATTGACAGACGGATTGAGGTAAAACCGAGCAAGCTGAACAAGGCGACAAACGATGTATTTCTCATCGAGAGCAACTTGCGTAGCGCGTAGGACCGGATGCCCATCGTGCGTCAAGGTAAGCAGCCAGTCCGGGATGCCGGCCCATATGATGTCCTCCTGATCAACAGTGGCACTAGGCATTTGCTTGTCCACGCGTGTTTGTCCAGATGCAAACGCCTCGACATGCGCCCCCGGTGGAAGCTGGGACTGGTTACGCGAGCTAGGTGCATGCCGTCCTTGCGAAGTGTGAGTACTCCAAGCATCATCTGCGGCGTTACCATGAACATTGGCCATCTGCACGTCGCCCTCATTCATGGCAGTTTGTGAGAGACTTGGCCTGTCGCATTCCTCTGGCTTGCCAGGCTGCTGAGTCTGCGTCTGTCGATTCGCAGCACACGACAGATCTCGCGATCGCCGACGCTCTGACATCCTTCGCGACGCAGTCGATGTCGATGCATCTGCTGCAGGCTGATGTGCTTGTGCATGTTGCGAAAATGACGCCTGAGTTTGCTGTTGCCGAGCTCGCACAGTAGGCTGATGGGTGGAGGCACCAGCGGCTGATGCCGCGGCTGCACGCGGTGGCATGGCAGCTTCTAGTTTAGCCAGTGCGCTCGAGCGTCTCTCCAGCCCGTCAGCACTGCGTTCGGCATGCCTAGGTTAATTGGCGATTGCGGGTGATTATCAACGTTAATGATGCACCGATGGCTGTGGATAGAGGAGGCATGAAAGGAGGATGTTGCTTGTCAACAAGCCGATGAGACGCGACGTGCCGCGCCCAGCCAAAAAGGCCCTCTTGTGATGGCTTCAGCCAGCTGCCGATTTTCTCTCCTGAGACTCAGCCAAGCAACAAAGGTAATATGAAGGCATCGGTAAACATCCAACTCACCTCCCAACCTCTCCCCTCGCCATCCATCTCCACCGTTCGTTCACTACCTCCCCCCTCGACACCGAGAGAAGGAGTTTGCACAGGCTGCCACTCGTTTCTGTCTGCCTTTGCCGCTTGTCAGTCCTTCGTTTCCTCTTCGGGCCGCCAGCCAACAAATATATCCCACCCATCGCCGCATCCTATTTCCCTCTCCTGCTTTCCACTTTCCGACCTGCGTCCTACCGCACAACCCACATTCCTTTGAACTTTACTGTCATCAAGCAGTCACATCTAAGACGAATCTTCCTAGGGACAACGCCCTAGCTCCCAACCGCCCGGCCGCCACTTCTCGCCCTCACTCCAAAGAGGATCACAGTATCAGGATGAGATTCTCGGGGCGATTGTCTTTGGTAAGCGATCGCATCGCTATCCCATCTCGGCGGATGCCACCCACCGGTCTGACAGCGACGGTGACAGCAGCAGGGCTGGCAATGGTAATGCTAGCTAACAGTACGCTGGCAGTTGCGGCCGCGCAATCGACACCTATATCCAACGTGGCGTGCTCGCGACACTATACCATCGTCGAAGGAGATACATGCGACAAGATCGGAGCAAAGACGCTTACATCTACATATCAAGTAATGGCACTTAATCTTCCCGAGGCGGGTCCGGATTGTTTCACTCTTACCCCAGGACACGTGAGTTGGGCGTCTCTTTTGCGATACAAAGGCTAGGATGCTGACGCGCTCGTTCTCACATTCACACCCACGTTCGACCAGCAAATATGCCTGGGGCGATACGGATCGGACTGCCAAATAGTATATCGGGCGACGTCCTCGGACACATGCTCGAGCATCGCCTCAGCATTCGGCATCTCGCTCTCGCTGCTCAAGTCTAACAACCCAACTTTGGACTGCGGCATTGTTTACGACGGGCTGATGCTCTGCACCGCGCCAGGGAACATTGTGCCCGTCACACCAAGCGGGCTCAACAGCAGCTATCTCTTGCTCGGGCGAAGAGGATATGACGTGGCACAAGTACAGAAGGCTGCGCAGGCGTTAGAGGTCGGCGATGGAGCCATTGTTCGCGATGCGAGCCACGCACACGGCTCTAGCGCCAGGCACGCCCATCGGAGTGCGCATCACGCACATATGCGCAAGAACGCGCACTGAGTCATTCTATGGCTTCTTATCTTGCTGTACCGAGCCTCACCACCCTCAAGGCTCGTCCGTCTACCTCCTTGATTGATTTATCCACCCTTCGTCGCATACCCGCATCGTTGCACCCCTTTCCACCCGAATCGGCACTTGGCGCAGGCCCGCGAGCGCCTCACCCCTCCCTCCACACGTGTGGTCTGATCGATTCTATCTTATCTCGTACGTCTGTACACTTGCTCGGCATGTCCTTTCAATGCAGCGTTTCAATATCATTCGCTTGCTGGTTACTTTGCCGCCACCTTTTTGGTTGGCACTCCGCATCAGCGGCCATTTTACTTTCACTCGTGCTCCCTACCTCCGCCCCCGCCCAGATCCTCTGGACTGGCTTTCTTGTTCTCGCCCTCCTCTTTGGGTGGCGGCGTGTTTCCGCTCGCGGCAGCATCTGACGGAGCGGAGGAGGATGCTGATTGACCCATCGATGCACCCGACTGCATGTAATGAGAAAAAAGAGAATAACCGTGCCGTGAGTTCGCTCTGCATGTCAACAGATTCTGGCTCATAGTGACTGAAAGACCCGCTGTTTGGACCCACCTCCTATTCGATCTTTGCACTCGAGTCGTCTGGACTTGTCTTCGGTGAGTCGTAGGCTCCGCTGGGTAATGAAAGATGCGCAAGTGAGCTTCTATACAACTTGTAGGGGCACGAATTCATTGCATACTGCATCTGGACTTGTTTCCGTGAGCTTGCCGTATCAAACACTCACTCGGAATCAGCAACCTGTTCTTGTGTCGGTCCTTGCGGTGTGCTCTACTCCGTCGTACCAGGCTGTACCGCTGACATGCGGTGAAAGGTTGTGGTCAGGTCCCGAAAATTGGAAGGCATTTGCCGATCTGCAGCGGAGGCTACGCTTAATCTAGAGCGTGAAAGCATGCGTTGAATGCTGGCCCTGCTGCGCATGTTGATGACTTTGGAGACTCTGCGCCGTTTTACTTAGTGACGAATGGTAAAAGATGATCGTTGATAGCGTTGTTGATAGCTCTCATGCTTGTTCGTCGTGATTGAGACAAAATGTAGCACAGGAAAAGGCGGACACATGCATCCTATTGCACGCTGCTCTTCGTGCTCGTGATTGCATTCATTTCCAATTCAACAAGGCCGGGAGCTTGAAGCCGCTTGAGGGCCGCTGCCCGCTGGTCATGTGGTCATGCCTGAGATCAGACCCGCTGCTCCCATGGTTCTCTCCCTGCCGTCCTTCTTCATAACGTGTAACGCTTTGTGTGTGGGTATGTGTGTACGATCGCACATGGCAAGCCGCAGCTCACATTCTAGAAGCATGGTGACGTCAGATCATCCCGATGGAAAAGGGTTAAAAAGACCCTGTAACTAGTCTGTCTCTGCATCATGGACAAGCTAAGGGAAGAGCCACGACAAGTGGGGCCGAGCAGAAGGGAGAGAAGGTCGCTTAGACTTAGGGTTGTTTACGCGGAAGCTGAAATCCCGTAATTGTACCGAATTACAATCCAACAATCACCCGGATTGCTTCCTAATCTGTCCGAACTTTCGGATTGTTGATAGTGCCTCAGCCTCCATGGCCCTCCACGACATCATCGTGTGACGCCGACAATAGCAGCAAACACAGTTGCGACAGACACAGGGTGGCCCATTGAGCCATTCTTCCACACCATCGAGATCAAACCATCGAGGTCACACCATCGATTACGCCAGGCAAGGTGTCAGCTCTGAGCCAAGAGAGTAACGGGGTTGGGTGCACATTTCCGAAGATCGAGCTGAAACGCAAGCGAACAATTGTTACATCGTGCAACCTCGCAGTTGCCACGAGTTCTGATTGAGGCCACATCAAGATGGCCACTCCAGCCTCGTACAACAAAAAGTCATCGGCCATCAAGAGGATCCTCTCGGAAGCGCGGGAGCTCGCCTCGCTCACAGCTCCGCCATCCTCAGCCATCAGGGAATACGCCGCCTCTCCACTGGAGACCAACCTGTTCGAGTGGCACTTTACCCTGCGAGGTCCGCAAGACAGCGATTTTGAAAATGGCATTTACCATGGTAGGATCACGCTCCCGCCACAGTATCCTATGATGGCGCCAGACATTATGCTGCTGACGCCGAACGGTAGGTGGGAGGTGAACAAAAAGGTGAGGAACGAATCGCATGGGCGTTGCGCTTGCAGGCATACTGGGCTTTACTAATACCGCTTGCCGTCCTCAGATCTGTCTCACATTCACCGGATTTCATCAAGAGACCTGGCAACCAGCTTGGGGGATCCGAACCGCTCTGCTCGGCGTCCAAACATTTATGGGAGCATCACAGGACGCTGCAGTCGGGATCGGTGCGCTTGACGTTGAAAGCACGGAGCGGCGACGGTTGGCCGAGACGTGAGTCTTTTTCATTGCGCGCGAGGATCTAGGTTCACGGAAAAGCAACAAAAACTGATCAAGGTTGGATCGATGCTAGATCACGCGAATGGAAGTGCCCAACATGTCAAATGCGCAACGCGGACATTCTTGCTGCTCCGCCGCAACCTTCACCAACATCCTCTGAGGCTCACGTATCCCAGACGACTTCACTACCCCCTTCATCTCCTTCAATAATGCCGCCGCACCAGGTATCGCGCGCAAGGGAAACGCTTCCAGACGGCCTCACGGTCGACGTCGGCGCTGAAGCAAAAAAGGCGCGTGAATTGGCATCTGCGAAGGCAGATGAGCAGGCACAGAGTCAATGGGAGAGCAGCTGCAGCGAAATTAATATTGAAAGTGGTAGTGAAACTATGGGGAAAATCGTAGATGACAGACGCAAAAATGAACAAATAGCACCTCAAACCGAGGTCGCTAGCCTACAAAGGCCGCTGTCGGAACTTCGAGGGGGTACCGCTGCGATACAGACGGGATCAGCTGTCCTTAGCTCCTCTACGCTCCTCGGCCATTTGCCTTCAGGAGATATAGCACCTCCTTCAACCGCAGCCTCTGTGTCTGCGCCAAATCCAGGCTTACCATCAGGATCATCAGCTTCAAACCCGCCCACGCCGTCAGCCGCACGCAATCCAACAAACGCAGACGCAGGCAGTGCGAGACAGCGCCACCAGGTCGCAGCGACGGGCACGCTAACAGCATCAGGACCAGCATCAGCTACAAGCACGGACGGCCAGCAGGTGCTGTTGGCACGCATACAGCTGTACGACACAGTCATCGCTCTGCTTGTATGCACCGTCGGGTTCTTGATGCTTCGGATCGTACTTGCTGGAGCGAGCAATATTGTGCCGTCTGTTGTGAGACATGAGTAGTGATTGAATACGCAGGGGACATGTACCATACAGATCTTGATTCAAATCGGAGCATCGCGAATAGAGTGTGCTGCGTGCTGAACTGAGAATCTCCAACGTCCGAAGTTTTGATGTGGATTCTAATGAGGATGTCGATCGAAGTCAAGTCGCCCCCGTTTTTCTTTCTTTTTAATTATTTCTTGGTATTCCTTCTGACTTCATCCGCTCCCCCCTCGTGCTGTCCCCGCGTCGTTGACTCATTCTGTTTTCCTACCAATGCGTAATGCTAACAAACGTTGCTTTGGGAGTCAGAGAGTATGAAACCCTTCGACCCCGCGAAGCTGCCGAACAGCTGTGTGTAGAACAAATTCGCACTGTCATCGATGGCGACAACGACGCCAGATCCGGATATGGAGGAATGGCTCACGCTCCGCTTGCGTGCGTACGTGGGTCCTTCGCCCGCAGCTCAACATCAAGAGGTACTGCCAACAATCGACCCGGAAAGCCTTTTCACAGCGTCCCTTCTCAAGGAGGCGTTTCCGCGGAAGAGCTCAACCCCCGAGCTTGACAAAGCGGAGGAGCGTACAGAGTATCCGGCATGGGTCCTCGATCTCCTGCCGGCCCGGTCACATCACGGACCGACGCTTGTTTCTAGCATTGCAAGCAACGGTCTCATTCATCCAAGTTCAAATACAGAAGAAGACAGCCTGAACAGCAAACAAGCTCTCCTTTCATTTTTGAAGCCGCATATCCCAGCTCAAGCAGCACCAAAGGAAGCGGCAATTGGGGCGACGGCCTCCAAGTGTATTGCACTGCAAGCATACCTGGAGCGTGAGCTCGCCCCTCTCGTGCTGCACTATCTCTATGTGCTTGATGAAAATTTCAAGCAGATTACAGTGCCCGCATACGTGGAGGCACATCTGAATGCTGCGGCGGCTGAGCTGAAATCAGATGAAAAGTATGGACGAAACGCCAAGGAGGAACTGGGCTGGCTGGCAAGACGGCAAGCGGTGCAGGCTGGTCGCAAGCAAGCGCAAGAGCTGCGCTCAAGGGTACAGCCCGCGCTGATTCGTGCGGGCTTGTGGCAACTGACGTCTGCCTCTGACCCTGGAACGGGAGTGGACTCGCCGTGGGTTGCAGACAGTGCCGGCAGCCTGCATGGGGACATGGAGGTAGATGCAAGCTTCTCCACCCGTGGCGGAGCATTGCACGGCATCGCTGCCGCTCGTGCACAGCGTGGTGGCTCGGGCTTGGGCGTTGGAGATTTTCAGAAGACAAAAGAGGCTTTCAGGATGGTCAAGGTGAGGCGCAGAGCTTCCTTTTGCGAGAGAAAATGGTTCGCCGCTCACAATTACGCTGGTCGCCCACTGTTCGCAACGCCAGCTCGAGTCCAGGGCCAAACATGTCCTGTCGACGGTCGCTGCATTCTACGCGGCCCAGCAGCAGCATGATGGCGGCAGAGGGACAACATTTGTAAACAGCAGCGAAACACCGACCACCAGCGATCTGCTCATGTTCGCATTGCTTGCGCCAGTCCTCTATCCTCCGAGGAGCCGTGCGGCTTCTGGTTCCGACTTTGAGAGCAGTCGCTGGCCGCAGCCATATCTCGCCAACCTGCTACTGTTCGCCGGAGCCGGGGCAGGGCAACGCATAGAAGAGGAGCAGCGAGGAGCCCGGGAAGTGGCCTCAGTGCGCACAATTGTACAAGTGGTCGAAGCGGTGCGAGCGCGCCTCTGGCCGGATGGTAACAACAGCAGCAATGGCGTCGGCCCCGAGGGAATCTCCTGGGCAAATGCAGAACTCTCGGCTCAAGCAGCGTTTCGAGCAACAGCCTTGCGTGCGCGCGCATCGACCACGCGAAATGCGATCGACACAGACGAAAAGCCCGTGAGCGTGGCAAGTTTTGCATTGCTGCTTGCGCACGGCTTGCGAGAACAGATCAACGCTTCGCTCAGTGCCGTCGCTGCGCCATTCCGCTCCACTCCCATCGCTCCGTCCTCGTTTTCGTCCGCCACCGCCCCTGCGTCCGGACAAGGCAACACACCATTCAACAATCAGGGAGAGAAGCCGACTCCTTCCGCATCGGCGGCTCCCAGCGGATCTTCGCCTCCGGCGCGACAAGTCGCTGAGATTCGACGGCGCCGCTTATGGTGGATGACTGGCTCAGCATTCGCCATCATCGGCTTTTTGTTTGCAAGCGAAATCGTCAGTGTCGAGTTCACTGACGATGATGAGGATGAAGAAGAAGACGAAAGGGAGGAGGATCAGGCCATTCACGGGGACGAAAAGGGAATGATCTTTGCACAAGAACTAACAGACGATGGCCAGGAGGAAGAGGAGATGGAGCTGGACGCCAAAGACTATGAAGATAATTACGAGGAGTTTGAATTACGCGAGGCTTTTGACGCCGAAGCAGGGGCAGAGGACAACCTCGACGACTAGTTCCAAGAATCATTCCCATTTGTATGCGCGAGGCGTGTGATGAGTGCAACAGAATGGAGCAGATGTCCTCCGCGAGCTAACATGGTGGTCGTGGTATCGTCGCAGGGGGGGGGCATTGTGGCAACGTGGTGGTACCGATGAGAGGCAAAGATTCTTCCGCGCTACAGACAGACGGATCTCAGCAGATATTCTTGCTGAGGGGCACAGTATGGAAAACGGAGTAGAGGTCGCAGATAAGACCTCAGCGTCATGGGGGAGGGTATCGTGTGGCCTAGCTTTACATATGGTTCATAAGTATTCATATTATGGGGCACTGGAGCAGTGCAACAAGTCCAGTACGGCTTTCAGGAACGGGGCACGCGAGGGGGGCGCAAACCAGACTGTCCCCGCACCACCATATGTTCACAGGTCGGGCGGGGAACCACTCGAACACAGCTCTCTTCCATGTTGTCCACGGGAGCAGCTGCATTTGCTACACCTGGGCTACCTACATACATGGTATGATATCTGTGTTGTCGCCACCGACGCTAGTACTCATCATCCTGGAGCAAGCAAGATGGGGAGGGGGGCGCCTGATCCTCGTGAGCCCTTTTCAGCAGCAGCAGCAACAACAACAACTGGGCCAAGAAGTGAGCGAGTAACACCCACGCAACCACGCCTACTGGACTCTCGGGTTCCATTGCGCATAAGCATCTCCCCTTGCTCCCGCCACCTCCCGAGGATCGACAAGGAACAGTCCAAACCAACAGAGACGTGCTCATCCGCACACATGGTCCCAGCCGGTTCCGAGCTTTTTGCCCCCCCTCCCCCAGGCAGCTTCCAGCATCGAAGTTTCATCGCTTGACATCCTTCTTCCCTTCCATCGGCTCATTCCTCGGCGGACGACAGAAGACGCACTAAGCGAGGCTCATCGAGACAAAAAGGGTTCAACCAGGCGCTATCCATAGGCAAAGGTGGCGACTCCTACGGCTGTCGGCAAGGACGACATTGCCACGCTCGCCCTACCGATGCTCGGCGCAAGCACGCAGGGACAGGCCGCCGCTGCAACGAGCGGTAGAAGCAGCAACAAGGAAGAAAACACCGCTTCTGCTCCATCTGCATCCGAGTCGAACCATGCTGGCGACGGGTGTGGCGGCCAGCGAGAGCTGGACGGCGATGCCGCCGTCCTGGCCGGTCTAGGCTATAAGCAAGAGCTTGAGCGTAACATGAGCTTACTTGCCGTCATCGGCATGGCCTTCACTGCGATTGGAGTGAATCGAATGAAGCACCGCGGTGTATACGGTTCGCTTAATTGACGGAAGGTCGGCCGCTGCAGATCCTCACCGGCATGTCCTCGGCGCTTCAGAGTGGACTCTTGTTCGGCGGGCCGCTTTCGCTTTTCTGGGGTTGGACGATCTGTGCTTTCTTGTCAGTATTTATCGTCCCTCCGCGGTGGAGTGGGCCTCTCCGATGCTTGAATGTCGTCTAGCGCCTACCTCTTTTTCTTTTCACATTTCTACACCCGCAGCATGCAATGCATCGCGCTCTCACTCGCTGAGATCTGCAGCGTGTACCCCACGTCGGGGGGCGTATACTTCTGGATCAGTCGCCTGGCACCGTCGACGCCCGCGCTGGGCTTCTTCACGGGAAACCTGTACGCCTGGGCCATGGTCCTTACGGGCTGCTCAGGCAACCTCTCCGTTGCACTGTACCTCTCCAGCATGGTCGAAATCGGCACGGGCGTCCACCTGACTCCCGTCCAGGTCGCAGCGATCGCATGGGGTATTTGCATCCTCAGCGGGATCGTCAACTCGCTCGGCACGCGCGCTGTCAGCGCCGTCAGCAGGTCAATATCTGGTGGACCCTCGGTGGGACTATCCTTCTCGTCGTCACGCTCTTTGTCAAAAGCGCGCCCGCGGGACACAACTCTGCCAAGTTCGTCTTTACAGACTTTGAGAACGTCAGCGGCTACTCCAACACTGGCTTCGTCGTTTTGCTCGGTTTCTTGCAGGCTGTCTACACACTTGGTAGGTGGTGACCTTTTTGGCTGAAGACAAAATGCGAGCTGACCCGTGATGCTTGGCTCCAGAGGGCTGCGAGACAGGCGCGCAAGTCGCCGAAGAGGCCAAGAATGCCGCATGGGCCGCGCCAGTATCGATCTCCGTGTCGATTGCGGGCAGTTGGCTGCTTGGAGTGATCTACTTGCTTGCCTTGCTCTTCTCTGTCCGTTCGATAGAATCGATCGCCAACACGTCATACGCGATTCCCATCTCACAGCTCTACGTTGACATCATGGGTCAACGACTTTCGCTGTTGTGCTTATTCGTCATCATGTTCGCCCAGTGGGCAGCAGCGTTGACGGCTTGGACGGCCAGCTCACGCCTGTTCTATGCGCTCGCCAGAGACGGCGCTTTCAAGCCCAGACGATGGTTCATGTACCTTGCGCCAACGCATGCACCCATCGCAGGCGTGTGACTCTCCGTAATCGTTGGCATCGGCATCTGCAGCGCTGTAAGTGCAGGCTGGTTGCATTTGTTTTTACCTTGCTTTAGGCATCCAGCTGTGTTCGCTGACACTGCTGGTCGTCGATCGTACAATCTCTCTCTGGAAGTACATTGGCTCGCCCATCGCATTCAGCGCGATCATCTCCAGCGCGGCCATCTCTGTCATGATCGCCTACCTCATGCCGCTCGTCCTGCGAGTTCTCCGCCCGAACTGTATGCCGGAACGCGGGCCATTCCATCTTGGTCGCTTCTCCTACACGTGTTCCTGCCTCGGCAGCGCATTTGGCATCTTCGTCTGCGTCCTCTTCATCCTGCCCACGTACAAGAATGTCACTGCGCAGAACATGAACTACGCCATCGTCGCCGTCGGCGCCGTCGCGCTGCTTGTTGGCGTCCAGTACCTTATCTTCAGATTCTGCGGCTGGACCTTCAAGGGCGTCACGCGCACATTGGAAGAAGAGCAGGGCCTACAGCGCGCCGATGCGAAGAACGTGTGAGGGCATGCATCTCACTTCCAGTCGCCCTTTGTATTCCCCTTAACTTTATGAGTGGTCTTAGCAACTGTTGTACGTCTATCATTGCATCCATGCTAATTTTGAGATACGAATGGATTCAGTTCCTGTATCGGTCTACAGGCTGTTTCTCTTTACTATTTTGTCTGATCGCAATCGTCGTGGATATCTTCGTACGAGCCATTGCCGCCCAGCAGGCCTCTCCCCGCAAAAGACGCATTAAACCTCAGAAGTGTGTTAATATCGCGCACCCAGCTGTCCTCCCCTCTCTCTGAAGTCGAATCACTTGCAGTGTTCTCTCCGTCGTTCGATGATCCGGGAATTGCTGGCGCAGGATAGTCAGCGCCTTCTTCGATGAGCCGAGACACATGCGATGCGTCGCGTACATCCTCCTGAGGTCCTCCTGCTTCGGTCGAAAAGTTAACGCAGGGGATCGGATACGGCGACATCGTCACTTGCAGGTACTGCCCCGGCTGGAGAGTGTGAAAATGCCGCCCATCGACGCTGAGGTCCGCCGATGAGCGAGATTCGCGTGCAACCTGCGAGATCGGTGGCAAAGTCACAGCGTCAGAGAGCATATTCACTTGCTTTGCTGTGGATGTTTGTAAGGCCTACTTTGAGCTGAACGGTGGTATCGCTGGGCAGCAAGACGGTGCGAAAGCTCAGAGACCGCGGACAGATGGGTGTCAAGAGCAGTGATTGCACGGAGGGGTGTACGATGGGACCGCCTGCGGAAAGTGAGTAGGCAGTCGAACCGGTCGGAGTCGCTACGATAAGACCGTCAGACTGAAGTCGAATTTCCAATCCATGAAAGCGTCAATATCATCCAAAGCAAAGACTGTACTTGACTACTTACAATCGCGCGAGTCAGATGTGTACCATTCACAAAGGCATCGATCGTTGTCATGTGTGGGTCTCGCCCGCGATGCAGTGCGATTTCGTTCATGAGGTGTATATCTGCATTCGAGACGGGAGAACTGATTGGAATAGAAGGCAAAATGGCAGTTAGGATCAGATCGACACACCTTTGCATCGGCTTCCATCGCTGCAGATGTCTTCTCCACGCCCGTTATGTAATGTTTGCCGTAGCCTCATTCTGAGCATGAGGCTCACTTTTCCCTGGACGAGCATCTGGAAGGCGCTTTCGAAAGCTGAGATGCTGTAGGGGAGTAAAAATCCGAGCGTTCCCATACTGAAGCTGAGGACCGGGGGAACTGGTGACTGGTCGAATAGAGAAGAGACATGGAGGATAGAGCCATCACCACCGAGTGTAATTGCTACGTCTGCTTTTTGCGCTAAGACAGCGCGGTCGCTTGATTGCTCTGGGTACAAAAAAGACTTTGCGTTCAGAATTGTACAGGCCTCTAGAAGACGATTGAGATCGACTAACCGGGGTTGAAGACTATCAACTCTGCTGCATTCAGCTCCTGAAACGCGTCTGGCTCGACGAGAATGTTCATCACAGGATAGACAGCTTTCACGTGCCTTCAGGAAGGCAATTGAAGTCTTCAGCTGACAGGACAATGGCTACATTTTATGATAGGATTACCAACTACTACGCACTCTATGACATGTTTCATGGCCCGTAGAGCCTTTGCGTCGTTTTGTTTTTTGACGATGAGCAAGTTGTTTGGTGTTGACGTCCACCGCAGAGAATGAACACCTCCAAAACTGCTTCCGACGCGAGTTGTGATTTTGCTGGACTGTCTTGGCTTCAGAATTTTGGACAGACGACCAAGAGGGCCCGTTAGTATTTCAACTTTGTCTGGCAAGTCGCTGAGACATCGTTGTGACGCTGCCGCCGACTTGGTCGTGCTGTATTGTCGCCTCGTTATCCGGGCTTGAAATGGCGCGTTACAACCCCTACTCGGACCAATTTGATCGTGGTTGATACTGGAGCGGGCGAGGGCATGAAAAAGCGATGCTGCGTTTGCGAAGGCAATCCTTTTGCGGCATGCCGAGCAAAGCCCCACGAGAGTAGGGGTATAGCTTGATCGCTGCATTGTGATAATACGCAAAGGAGACGCAATGGGCTGCGTCACAAGTATCGACTGCTTGAGACAGTGGATTGTACGGCCGATTTCCTTGCTCTGTCTGCACTTTATCCAGCTTCGACGAATATCAAGGTTACTATCCTCAACTCGTAGCGGTCACGACTTCGATTGACTGAAAGAGACACGACCAGAGCTCATCGGCGTCTTCTCAACCTTTCACTGAATTAGTCGCCGCCTAAATAGAGTTTCCCGAGAAATCTCTCCGGGGCTCCGGGCATACCACCAGTCGTGGCAGATGCAATGATTTTCGAAACAGCAACCTACATCGTGGTTGCCTCGTCGATTGATCCCACCTTTGACGGTTGCGAGTTGCAACTATTCATCCTTCGTGGCTGCCATTGGATATTGTTCTCATCAAGTACACCGAGATTGTGTAAACTGTCTACTCCTCCTTCCGACTTTGAACGTCAATGCGCTTGCGCTGCCGTGCTCGAGGCCAAGCAGTGTGGTTCATATTCTGAAGCATCCGTCATAGGCTCGAGCAAGAGCCCCGTGCCACAATGACTTCCGCCATCTCTCCCTCGTCCTCGTCTTTGTCAAGGCCATCAGTCCGAGTCGGTACCATCAAGTCGCTCAGCTCGTCGGCGAGGCATCATATCACACTGAGGGAGCAGAAGAGTGGAGATTATCATTCTTTGTGTGCGTTCAGTTGGTTCGCCTTTACCCTTGCGCGGCACTCCTTTCTGAGTAAGCATGTGATCATTTTCGTTCGCTTCAGTGCTATTCAGTTTTCCTGTACGTGCACAAGACGTTACCGAGGATGAAGACGGTAGCTCTACGAGAGCTTCCATGGATCAACGAAAGTTCTACTGCATGGAGGCGACGTGCCCCCATCTCGGTGCGCCACTCGAGAATGCAACGATAGAGGAGCAGGATGATGAAGACGATATCGAAGACATGGTGGTAGTGTGCCGTGAGTGTGTTCCCAGGCTATTCATTTAGAAGAATCTCATTCCGAGTTGCCTTCATCTCAGCCTGGCATGAGTACGACTTCAACCTGCGAACGGGCGAGTCCTCACATGGAGTGCAAGCCTGTGTGTATGTCGTGGAGCAAAAGTTGGGCGACGGATCGATATGGATTGAGACACCTACGGCTGGCTCTTCCGCGTCCCACTGGGAGCTTGTAGAGGTGCGGCCCGTCAGCGAAGCATTTTCAGCGCGGGATCGGCGACGTCAGCATTTCGTGGCAGCCGCAGGAGTTGCCAATCATGCTGCTACCTCAGAAGAGCTCACAAAGCCACTCACACACTTGTCTCTGTTTTCAGACAAGCAGGCGTTCGCGGGTCAAAGACCATATCGTTCAGAGGCAGACGAAGCACCTGCTTCTTCGATCTCACCACCAGAACCGCAACCCAAAACACTTGTCGAATGGGCATGTCTGATTCTGAACACTGCCGAGCCGCGGCGTAAAGTCGCTTACACCAGAATGGCAGCGGCTGCATTCCGCAGTGGCCGCGTTAAACTCATTGGCGGGGGCTACGCACGCAGCTGCTCCCAAGCTGAGGAAGAAGTTGCACATCAGAAATCAGATGCGGAAACTGAGTTGGAGCCAAGTGCAAGCATCCCTCAGCGCAGATGGACATGGACACGGTCGACCCAAGAGACGCCACCACGAGTGCCGCCACGATTGGAGAGCGCTATCATCGTTGAACCAGGGCAGCTAGGAAAACGTGGTAAAGGGGGGACTGTCAGAAGCCGAATTGCGCTTCTGCACAGTCTGGCAAACATCGAGCAGGTACGCGAATGTTGAAAAGGCTCGATTGAAGAACACAGATTGCTAACATTGTGTAATGCCGTTCAGTGGGCAATCGATCTGGCTTGGGACATCATTGCACGAGCACCAGAGCTGGCGCATGGTGAGCTGGTAGGGACGTCGGGCTCGAAGAAACTTCCCGTTCAGTTCTTCACAGACTTCTTGAAAGTGAGCGCTCTTTGCGCCACTCCCATCGACAGGTAGTCAATTGTGATTCTAACGCACGTTCTTGTTCCACATTCAGGTCGCAGAGGATGAAGCAAAGCATTTTTCACTGCTCACAGAACGTATAGAGGCGCTGGGCTCGTAAGTCTTTTATTGCTGCTTACCTTAACCCACGCTTACATCGATTGAATTAAATCGTTCGCCCCCACTTGGAAGACACTTCGGCGCATTGCCGGTACATCACGGGCTGTGGCAGTCAGCAAGCGAGACCATGCATTCCTTGCCGGCGCGATTGGGTAAGGTTGCGCCCCCTGAGCCCTAAACGGATCGGAAGGTGCTGACGATATCATGACCGCATGGCAGCGATCATTCACCTGGTCCATGAAGCCAGGGGATTGGACGTCAATCCGACTACGATCCAGAAGTTCCGCAACGCTCAGGATGCAGAGTCGGTCGACATCCTGACGTAAGTGCCAGCGAACTACCAAAAGCAGACCGTACGAACTTGCTCAGAACATCTTCTCTGCAGTATCATCCACCTCGACGAGATCACCCATGTGTCCGCTGGTCACCGCTGGCTTTCGTATCTATGCGCACACGCCGAGCCGCCCAAAGATCCTGTTGCTGTCTTCCGTGAAGAGGTGCGGCTCAACTTCGTAGGCAAGGTCAAGGGCCCATTTAATTCTGCAGATCGTGCAAAGGCCGGTCTTAGTAAGGAGTGGTACGATGGACTGCAGGGAGAGAAGTCAGGGATCAAGCCGATCGGCGCACAGCGGGCTGAAGTTGCCGGCGGTTGATCGACAGGCATTAAAGACCATTTGTAGCGGACTTAAGTTCCTATAGATACACTAAGATACATCGTATTTGCGCTTGATCGGATCTTCCCTTATAAGTCGATTCTGCTGCCGACAACCTTGAAACCTCTTGGTGCTTTTCGACAGTCTTTTCCCCAGTCAATCACTTCGCCCTTTGCATCAACCCACCTCGCCTCCTCGTCCGGCAGTAGCGCATCTTCAGGTGCCAAATCGATGCGCCGCACGTTATCGACATGCAGCAACTCCTTCACTTTGAGGATGCTGCCAGCGATCTCGGGCCGTTGCGGACGGTAGATGGACTGCAGACGCTTGCGCAGACCGAGCGATTCTAGGACTCGCGAAGTCTTTTCTGGTAGACCAATGGCGGATCGACGCAGCGTAATACGGTAGTGTGTTGTAGGCTGAGGTTGCTGATGCGCGAAGGCTGTTGTGGCGCTCGATGTTGATGCTGATGCCAGCGTTGCTGCTGATGATGGTATTGCGCTTGACGAAGCCGGCATGGAGGCAAATGCGGAGGTGGACGCGCACCGAGCGCAAAGCTTGCCTGATGTTAATCGCAGTCGTGCAAAGATTGCGTGGCAGGAGCCATAGGCCGCGACTGACCGCACGATCATCATGTTGTTGAAGGTACTGCCTTGGTCACCTACACAATGCCCCAAAGTAGCCGTTGTAGAATAGCAAGGAGACCCCGCAAACATGTCAGCTCTACCTTCCTCAAGAGGGAATGATGCGCTCTTGCAAGTGTAAGCAGACGCCAAGTCTGTTCATCCATCTCCCTAATTGGCTCGTTGCGCATCGGCAACAACGCGGTTAAATTCAGGAACAACCTGTTCTCGACCTTGCAGCTCACCCGGCCTCGTAACCAGCCTCAAGGCCACCTGCTTCCGAGTCGAAATCCAATTCCCCTCCATATGCATCAACGTCCACATTCCAGATCCAGCACCACACCTACCATCCGTACCTGGACTCCGCAACCTCGCGCCACTGACCAGGTCCCTCGCAGCAAACACGAAGCCAGTAGCGACCCCTCAAGGGATCAGAGACTGGATTCGCAAGAAGCTTCGCTTATGAGAGGACGCTAAAGACTGCAGTACGAGAAGACGAGAGCTTGACCAATGAGAACCCGAAGGAACTCGCAGGCGGCGCAGACGAAGAGATGGATGGCCAGACGGACAGGACGGACGCCCGGAAGAAAGAAGATCGACTTCAGGTCGCAGAAAGCCGAAGCACTGTCGCGAGGCACGATGGATGGGTCCGCTCACGACGGCTCTTCCTAATGCTATCGGTTTAAGTGGTGTGCTCCCCCTCTTTGGGGCGGATGCACGGTCATCATTGTATCTTGGCACCCACACCTCTCCCCGGAGTCCACCAAATATCATTCCTCGCCACATGCCACAAGGCAAGGAGAAACGAGAGCATCGATTGCAGAAGGCACACGCACCTTGTGAAAATAGAATACAGACAGACCTGCGAGAGATAGCCAGAAAGAGTGCTTGCTGTGTGCGGGAGTGTGCACGAACGAGTTTGTAGAACCGAAAGGGGAACATCAGCACAAATTCGATATGCAATCCAACGACATTAATAAACCAGGACGTGGGTGTAAAAATCTCAGACTTCCAAGGAAGGTCTGCGGACCCTCATCAGGCAAGGCAGGCTACGATCCCAAACGATGCAAGCGACCAAAGAATGCCACCACTGGCGACGCAGCACTCCTTCTCGAATCGAGAAGGAGGGTTCGAGCTGATCGCCTCTCCGAAAAGATGGATGGAAACATTCTCATCTGCTCCTGAAAGGATACAAATGAGTCTCTCGTTCGGAAGAGCACTATTGCCCCCGAACGCGGTGAAGCGACGGCTTGCGTGCCCTAGAGTGGAAACTGCGAATTTTGGTTGGATACCAGGGTTATCATCTTCGTGCCCACGTCTCCCGTGCTTATCTCCTGCTCCACTTTACTTCCCTACTAAAGGGATTCGACAATTGAAAACAAAAACTCACATGAACTTGAGATGGTGAAGCAATACTGAATGTTGGTGGTTGTCAAATTCCCTGGTTTCCCAAAATTAGCATTGAATCATGTCAGTATACTGTAACCACAAATATTAGACATTCAACAGTGAGGGTTTCTCCCTCTTTTTTCTTCTCCGCCTTTAGGAGTAAGAAATCACTCAAGCAAATGGTTAATCAGACAAAGCAGTGCTGGCAAGCACCAAAGAAGGATCTGTGGGCCTACCTCCCTTGCGAGAGGAAGGACCCGTCGACGTCCGGCGAAGGATCGTCTGCCTTTGTCGTCTCGGCATGGTCATATAGGCCGGGGAAAGGAAGTCATAAAGTCATCACATGTGAGGGGCACACCAGGACTTCTAAGTCGTGCCCCCTGTTGTCCACCACCCTGTTCCCAGATTGCTGAAAGCTGATGGTCCTTTCCAGCACACCAAAACCTTGAACCAAGAAGAGTACGACTTACCTGCTATGGTTAAGCGATTTGAGGGACGATGAGAAGAGATGGAAAGAAGGAAAGGAAGTCGATAAAAGCTTTTCAAGGGAAGGGATCAGAAAGCAAAGGCGATGGAAAGCTGCATCGCGAAAAAAAAGGAAGCCTCCACCTGCTACTATTTCGGCCGAGAGCCGTCCCTTATTCGCTTACGTCATCAATAATCAACTTTATGTGATGAATGCCTCATGCTGCCGGCATGTGATCCATAGTCAATCAAGCGAGAGCTGTGCTGCCAACCTACGAGCGTCAACCGCTTTGAGCACGGTGTGAGATGCAGAGTCGGTACAGGAATCCTCTTTTCGTGATGAGAAGCTGGCTCCGCGTCACTTTGTGAAGGACTTCTTGCTCTTCTTCAAAGATCCCGCCGTTCAAAGGACACTGACAAATGTCTGCTGAGAGGCATTTCCGCGGCATCGCGTCTCCACTTCACGAAGATCCAGCAGACGGCAGCCATGGCGCCGTTTAACGTCCTGGTTGTGGGTGGCAATGGCTTTCTCGGTTCAGCAATCTGCAAGGCACTGCTCTCGCATTCGTCTGCACCTGCAGTGACAGCAGCTGCGACTGGCGCTGGAGCTTCCCTTTCTATGCCACTCCCCAAGCATGGCGAGATCCGAGTCACCTCCGTTTCACCTTCTGGCCGCCCTTTTGTCAGTCCAGCAGGGCATCGCCCGGCATGGAGTTTGTCGACGAATATGCGATGGGAAAAGGGTGACGTGGTTCGCTCCCCATTGTCGTCGCCTGACTTAGGGTCGCCTCAGCACCACCTTGCCCAGCTCGTAGACGAGGCAGATGCAATCGTGCATACCGTCGGAATCTTGCTAGAGAGCGACTACAAGCCCGCCGCCAGTTCACCTTCTTCTTCACGGCATGGTACCAACAGCGGAAGCTTTGGTGAAATCGCAAGAGGTGTCTTGCGCGGATGGGGGATCAGTGACAACAGCAATCCGCTGCGCGAAAGGCCACTAACTGGCAAAGGGAAAGAGCGGGAGATGACGTATGAGAACATGAACACGCGGGCCGCACTCAACGTCGCCAACCTGTTCGCATCAAAACTCCAACGATTATCAAAATCAGAGTCTTCGTATTCGTCTTCAGAACAAAAGACACAGCCGACATTCGTCTACATCTCTGCATCAGACATCTTTCAGCCCTTCATTTCGCGGCGCTACATTGAGAGCAAACGCGAAGCAGAACGCGGCATAAGCGAACTGGCAGCGCAATACCTGCAGAAGAGCGGATCTTCATACATCACCGGTGGTGACGTACACCAGAGCCTTTTCAAGCCGATCTTCATGCGACCAGGTGAGTTATATTTGGGCCTTGTCCGATTCCCTTTGTATTTAGACTGGCCGACACTCACACATGCTCGGATCATCCCGCCACCACAGGTTTGATGTACCATCCACACACGCGACCGCTATCCACGCTCCCTGCTGCGCTGCTCGACCTCTCTTCATCATTGCACGCATCCATTGCGCGCAACTTGCCCTTCCTTCCCACTCCCGCCTCGCTCCTGCTCAATCCGCACTCTCCGCTGAACACAAGCAGCTCGGAGGAGGCGCGTCGATCGCTCGCGAGACTGCTGACTTCTGCACCGCTGCACGTCGATACCGTCGCAAAGGCCGTTGTGCAGAGCGTTCTGGATACAGGTGTTGCCCCGGGCGCAAAGGACGTCGAGGAGATCAAGAGGTTGGCAGGGTGGAATCTGCCTGAGGATGCTACTGCCGCGTCCACCGCATTCGGCACTGCGCAAACACACGCGAATGGCAATGCGCACCTCTGACCTCATGTAGTGTAAGGCTACTTGCGCCTGCCAATGCTATGCTCGTTACGAAGGCGCGCTATGGGTGTAGATGAAAGGAGCGTCAGTCTTTTTTTAAACTGAAACCAGAAGTAAAGTCATGCGAAGATTGGGTCACTCGCGAACGAATTGGAGCGTGTGGACCACTTTTCCAGTTTAGGGTCGGAGATTAGGACCCAGTAGCAAATGTAACTGTCCCGTACGGGAAGTCATCGCTGGATCCACGCGGCTTACAGAGTATGGAAAGGCCGCTGCCCCCACTATGGCAATCAGGGTAGATGGACCCTGCTCTGCAGGCCGGTCGATGTGCTCTGTTCAAATAGCATCATTCGTGACAGCACCCTGGTCTACCGGCTTGTGGAGACTAAGGGAATTCGCCATTGCTTGCAATTGGCTGCTCGGTACAATGCACCGATCGATGCAGTGAAATGATCGAAGCACCTGTTGTGGTGCAGATTATATTGCAAATGGCCCAGGTGGCAGAGTAGAGGATAGTCATCAAGGTAGTGACTGACAAGACAGGAGACCTTCCGATTAGCACTTAATCGTGGGCTGCAATTGAATGACAGCATTTCAAACTGAAAATCGCCTGATGGTATCAAGATTCACAGGTGATTCAAGACTTTCACGTGATCAAAGTTGAAAGTTTACAATAATGCTGATGCGTAATCCCAAGAAAAAGGATAGACAATGAATATTCGATGTGCGGTGCCGAGGTTGACGCTGAGCAATAATGGCAGAGATGACCCGGTGAGAGCATAGGATTGTTCAGCGTCGAATGCAGATTGGCCCTTTCAAAGCCTCAGGCTTCTCCCGTGACGGATCATCAAGACTTCATATGCAGTGTCCATCTCCAATCTGGTACCACGCAGCAAGCGTATTGCCAAGAGTCGGCAGGAAGGTCCGAGAATTTGTTGTCCAGGGCGCGATTCGAGAGATGGAAGAATCGCATGGAGGAGACTGAGGGCAGGGGGAACATCAGCCAGAATTTATTCAGAGCCGGTCAACTAGAAGCTGATCAACAAGTCCTCAACAGAGGATGGTTGTACGGCTTTCTCGTTGCCGAGCTCCTGCAGGAATTCTTAGAAATTGTCCGGTTATCTCCAGCATTGTGACAGGTGCAGGGCCTTTTGGTTGTACCTAGAGTGCTCTAGACGGTATCATAATTGTAGACTGCTCTTCGTTGTCAATAACACGCGCTAGGTGCTCAGCTCACTTGTCAAGAAAGCGGAAGCGTACTCTTGTCGATGTGTTGTTGCACTCTTGTGCCTTGCACGCTCGCTTTTGGATCGTGTTGAAGTCACTGTACAGCAGCATGATGGCGCATGGTTGTTCGTCCAGCCCTATTTATCCTGATGTGGTTCTTGTTCATTTTGCAACATACGAAGAGGTTAGCAATCAAAATGCACCCGGATAAGTATTCAATGAAGAATTGGATTTGGTGCTTCAAATGATGACCGGGATCGAGCTGAGGGAGGGCCTAAGCCGCCGTCACCACGGTGCACAATGTGGAAAAAACATGCATATATGCCGTACCGTTGAAATAAGGAAGGATGGGTAGTAGTGAAGCAGACGTGAAACACCCCTCATGCAAAGTTGATGCATGGTGCCTAAACGTGGATCGAACGGCCTCGACGCCCTTGTCCCGGTACGAAGCAATACCTTGTGGGACGAATATCAACAAGAACCCCAGATTCCCCTCCACTTTTTTGGTTCATTCACCGCTGGAACCGCAGAATAGGCGAAGTGTGATATGCCGATCTCTCATCTTCACGCTCGATAATGCACACTTCACATGCATAACATCTCCAAACCATTTGCAGGCGGGAAGCCAATGCCGACTTTCGCGACTTGCAATTCTGCACGCTTGAAAAGCTTTCTTTGCTGGAGCGAGGGCCGGAAGGACACTTAGTAGTAGAAGCATCTGTAGCCAGGCAATTTCGCTCACTCAAACATCGTTCGATCGCATGTCTGCTTCACCAAGCAAAATGACAAGCGTGACTCCACTTCCTCGCCACTGGTACCTCTTCTTCGGCGTGATCGAACCAATCAGGTGTGTCCACCGGTTTCTATTGGATCATGTTCATGGTAGAGTTCGTTCCGACCGGCGAAGGGCGACGGTAGCCCAGGCCGTACGCCGTACGTCGTGCGTCATCGCTCCATCTCCATGCGATAAGGGACAAATGATGCCGGTACTCATGGATGCTGGTGGATTCCTCGACCCTTTAGCCCACATAAGATCGCACATTCGATGCTCGGTTCTCTGACGCAGACGTCTCTTCTTCTTGCTGTCCTGTAGTGTCTTTGCAGGATGTATCTACGCCATCTTCTTCCAGGAGAAGTTCTACCTTGAGCAGGTTCCTGAAGCGTTCGCGCCGCCACCGTACACGCGATCCATCTTCGGCACACCTTCTGTGAAGCTCGATGCGGCCGTGCGAATGGTGCTGGCACAGCTAGGTAGCTGTAAGCATCTGCACGTCAGCGGCCTTTGGAGCGCGACTGTTGCTGATTGGACGTGTTGGCTGCCTGCTGTTTCTTTTTTATACTCTGTGATGCTCCGACATTCCAAAGGCTATTTTCTGATCATGCTGAACAGTGCACTGGTTTTCTATGCACTGAGACGGTTCGTCAAGGATCCGGTGGCCCTTGAGAATATTCTCTACTACCTCGTCTTCGTCCTCGGTGCAGCTGACTGTGAGTCGCCCTGGATCATGTAGATGGTGGCGCTCGTGGTCTTCAACTGACCAATTCGATTCGCTGTGCCCCCAGGGTCGCACATCGGGCTCACGCTTTATATTCTGCCGTCACCAACTCCAAGGCTATCGAACCGCGCGCCAAATGGGATGGATAAGCTGGCCTTGTTACTCAAACCTTCGTCATGGAATTCCCTCGTGAGCCACGCATGACCAATTTATATCCCCCAACCAGTCACTGACATTCTCAATGGCATGCAGCTCTTCGGAAACGTGATGGTCCCGTTCATCTTGGTTTGCGTGAGTATACACTCGGTCTCTGAATGCGCGCTTGCCTCTCTAACGACATTTTTATTCCCTGCAAGTTCCGTGCGGCTTGGTGGACCGGCGTCGGAAGGGATTCAGGCGCCACGCTCAGAACTAAATCAAAGACGAAGTAATGTACTTTATATCAAAAAGCGACGTATACCTATGGGTGTAGCGCAGCTCAATGGCGATCTCAGCGTCATTGCTGCCTCAAACAGGCAATCGAAGATCTTGACAATGGCTCCCTTCCACCAGACATATGCTTTCATGGCATGGCAAGACGGTTGGCATGCAACGCCCATGTCAAGTCTCGCCCCAAGTCATTTCTGTCCCAATAGGCGACCGAGGGATGCGCAAGGTGTGTTGCGAAGGACGGAAGCGATCACGTGATGAGGCATTTAGCGCTCCAGCAACAAGGGCAACACCATCGGTACATCCACCCGCGCTTCCCCCTTCCCTGTTATTACTCATGCACGACTATGGTATATGCACTTGTGTCCTCCTCAGACTTATCTGAATCTAGCCAGGATCCCTGCCTTTGTAGAGTGCCTCTGCACCTCTGCCCATTGGCCTATTGTGAGCGCAGACGCTCGCAGCAGGTGAAAGCCCAGAAGGGGAAGAGGGATAGGATACTTTCGATGGGCAGTGGGCCAGCTGTTTCTACATGTGGGTCATCGTGCGCAGAGTTGTGTGGAATCTCGGCCGAGAGACAGTGAGTGACGCACGCAACCGCTGCCTGATTGATTGCTTGGCATCGAGAGGAGGGGCAACCCCTCCTATGCTCTCATCACCTGTTGTGTGCGTACGCGGTGATTGAACAAGCACTAGGACTCTACCAACACCTTCCAGCATCAAGGGGACGCAAAAGAAACAGGCGCGATGCGCAAATCACGGAGTCGACGAGCGCTCGTGTGGGGTGCGCTGGTGGCGCTGGCGGCTGTGCGCGCACCGGCCGACGTGAGCGCAGCAACCACGCTACCTAGCCGGGTCGACGGCGGCCTGGTGCCTGCGGCGCTGCCTGTCATAAGCTGGCTCGACGATCGCCTCACGGACCTGCTCAGTGCTGCATCATCGTGGCGGAACGAGCGCCGAGCGCCGCAGCCCGAGCCTGTTTCTGGCGAGAGCAAGATGCTGTCATTCAGACTGGCCCAGTCGGTGCACAAGGGCGTGTACGACTATCCGGAGCTCATCGCGTGGACCCATCACTCGCGCGCAGCGGGGGCGAGCGAGCCGGAACACAACATCCACACGGTCAAGCAGGCGGTGACGCGGGCGCGCGACGTGCGGGCATACCTCGCCGCGCGCGGGCAGAGCCTGGAGCAGGCGCAGTGCGCCACGCGCGAGATGCTCGACTGGGAGGACGTCGAAGTGGATGCGCCGGACGTTTCGCACCGGCCAACGCTGCTTGCGCTCGCGACGATGGCGTCGCAGGCGTACGAGAACCGGACAGACACGTGGCAGGGGTACGGAGGGTTCAACTTGTCCGAGTCGTTCGGCTGGGTCGAGGACGGCATCCGCGGCCACCTGTTCACCACAGAAGACAACAGCACGGTGGTTGTTGCGATCAAGGGGACCAGCGCGCAGTTCCTTCCGGGGGGCGGGGACACAGCGAAGCGGGACAAGGCGAACGACAATCTGTTCTTCTCTTGCTGCTGCGCGCGCGTCTCATGGACCTGGACGCCGGTGTGCGACTGCTACCAGGGTAAGGGCTCGCGATGCGGGCAGACGTGCCTGGAGCGCGCGTTGGTCGAGAAGAGCTTCTACTACCAGGCAGCGACGGACCTGTACAACAACGTGTCATACCTGTACCCGGACTCGCAGATCTGGATTACGGGACACAGTCTGGGAGGCGCGCTGTCGAGCCTGATCGGTATGACGTTCGGCGTGCCGACGGTGACGTTCGAGGCACCTGGAGAACGCATGGCGGCGATGCGCCTGCACCTGCCGCTTCCGCCTGCCAAGGAGCCGGAGGAGAGTCCGGTGTCGGCGCTACCCATCACGCACGTGTATCACAATGCTGACCCGCTGGCAGGTGCGTTTCCCTTCCCTCGGTCAGCTGTGCGCGTTGTGATTGCGACTTGTTGCTGATGTCCTTCGCTGCTTGGCAGTCGGCGACTGCGTCGGCCCGCTGTCGCCATGCGGGCAGTTTGGCTACGCGATGGAGTCCAAGTGTCATGCGGGCAAGAGCATCGTCTATGACACGGTCGGGCGCCTGGGCTGGTCCAGCTCGCTACTGACGCACCGCATTGCCACGCTGACCGATGACCTGCTGACGCAGGACTGGAACGAGCGTGTCAAGAATGCCGCCAGGCACATGCCGGCCAGCGCCACGGCGTCGTTCTGGCGCTGGCCATGGAAGAAGGGCGAGGGGGATGAGCAGGTCGACGACGACCTGCAGGCCGTGCCGCCGAGGCTGAGCGAGGACAAGTGCAGGGGTGAGTGTAGTGCACGGCTGGTGTTTGGCCCCTAGAAGCGGACGTTGCGATGGACTATGCTCGCGCTGAACTGCTCCTTCGCGCCTCTTTTCCCCGGCGCTGTTCGCGTTGGCACGGTCAGACTGCGCCGACTGGACCTTCTCCGACGAGGCTCTCGAAGACTCGTGAGCGTACTTTGCTCCGGCTTGGAGAGCAGCGGGACTTCTATTGTACACACGCGACGTGACTGATGCGCTGCGCGGAAGTGATTCATTATAATGATAGTGTGTGATGCATCTGTTGTACATACTATGCGTTGCATCGGACTTGTTTGCTTCTGCTTCTGCTACTGGGGGAAGGGAGGGGGAGGGGGGCTGCGGCGCGTATGCCTGCAGGATGTTGCGTGTTGCGTGTCGCCCGCCGCTCTGGCTGTGCGGAAAGTCGATTTGTAAACTGAAACTTGATTGACACTAAGCGTCCTCTGATCACTGCAGGGACGCAAAGGCGCATGCTCCCGGCTCGCCGACGCGGCGGCACAGGCTGGGCTTTTTTCCCCTTGTTCTTATTGGAGCCAAGACAACGAGAGGGTTCGAGTACAGGGGCAGTCGATCGGCACCGGCCTCGATAGCGTGCGGTACAGGTTATATGCATACGAATACCCATGTATATCCCATACATGGAGTGCGACAGACTATGGTGGAATGCCTGAATGGGTGGTATTATGTAAGCAGCCTCGCGAGATTGACCACCTCATCACGTGCTGGCTGGCGCTGTGCGCCTTTTGGGGCGGTAGAATCTGCTGCAGCCATCCATCTTCACTCTGCGCTAGATAAGCACCCGACCGAATCGAATGGACAATTATAACCGGTATGGTCCACGTCGCCATAGTGTGCAGCACGGCAGCACCCGACTGCCAGCGGAGCGGAGAAGAGAGTGTCGTGCGCCGTTTCTACCAAAGAGTGCACCTCATCCTCCTTTCGAGCGAGCGACGTGCTTCTTGTGCTCCTTTCTCCTCGACTCCAACCCCCGTAACCAACCAGCCAACCAACCCCAAACCAGTCCCCGTACCACCATGGCACGCGCCTCGCTCGCAAGCAGCGACAACACCGCGCCGCACAGCGAAGAGCTGCAAGGGCAGCAGCGCGGTGCGCGCCCGCCGCGCACGTCGCGCGTGCTCAAGCGCAAGACGGATCACTCACTCATCGAACGTCGTCGTCGCGACAAGATCAACGAGCGCCTCGTCCGCCTGCAGAACATTGTGCCCGCCTGCAAAGCCGAGGCCGAGGAGCTTCTGCGCAGCAAGCCCCCGCCCCCAGCAGTAGCTGTGCCTGTCGGCGACGCGGGCGCCCCTAGGCCACGGCGAGGCTCACGCCGCGCCAAGCAGTCGCCGGTCTGGACGCAGGAGCAGCTCGATCGCAGGATCGACGGTGATATGGTGCTTGAGAAGCTCTGCATCATCTCGCACACCTACGGTGAGCGTGCCTGCTCGCAAGAGGACTCCCCGCGAAAGCGCGTTGGTTCCGGTGTCGACGCGAGCGAGCCGTGCGCTGATTCCTGCTCTCTTTTATTCCACCCCTATCGCCGTGATTTCACCGTGGAAAGACTACGTGCTGGAGCTGATGCAGCAAGTTAAAGCGTACGGCGCACTATGCAAGTGCGACCCGCCCGTCGAGCAGCAGCAGCAACACAGTGCAGCGCCAGACCACACGCTCTCTTCCAGTGTGGCTCAAGACGCGCACCGTGCCTTTGCGCATAACCTCGTCATTTCCGACAAAGAGCAACCGCAACTGCAGCAGCATCCATCTGAAGAATCGCGTGCTGGGCTCAGCAACAGTCACCACCCAGACTCACACCCAGCCCCAGACCCATGTCCCGAAGCTGCCCCTGCTGCCCCTGTCATCGACAGCTACACATCCCCATCACCGCACGGCTCCTCGGCAGCCTCCTCGCCTTCGTCCCCCGCGCAGATGGCCACGCCGCCAGCGTGCTGCAAGAAACACCGTACACACGCAGCAGCCACTGCCGCCTGGCGCTTCTGGGGCTCTGACCACCCTATCCCCGTCACCTCCGCCACCACCGTCACCACCGCTCCGTCGCAGCGTGGGCACGCGTACGGCCGCTCGGCGGCAAGTCAGAGCGGCGTGCAGGCCAACCCCGCAGCACAGGCTCAGGCGCAAACGAAAACGCACACGCACGCGCGACAGCATCCAGCTGTCGCCGTCGAGCACAAAGATACCGACCATCATGCGTGCTCCTCACCTGCGTCGAGCTGCGGCAGCTCCCTCGCTTTTGCCAGCGACGACGACGATACGTACAGTGTATTTCGTATTGGGGAAGTGGGCAGCAGCGCCGACGATCTCGAGCTTTGCGTACGTGCTAACACCAGCAGCGGGGGCGGAGGCAGCACCAGTAGCTGCACTAGCAAGGCTCTGCCGCTGCTCTGCGCGCCTGCCATGAGCCGCATGGACGCTTCCTACATTTGGACAGACCTCAGCGCTGAGCGCAAGCGGCGCAGGCATGATGCCGACGAAGGCCTCAGCGCGCAGCAGCAACAGCACGCCCCTAGGCCCGTGCGACGCGCGCAGGACGCCGTGCGCTGCGCGCTGAAGCGCCCACGTGTCTTTCTCCCTTTCGCCGCCTCTGCCCCTGCTGTTGTTGATTCTGCTGGCGAGCACGCCCTTTCCAAGGCGCCGCCACGGAGAACCGGGGACAAGCCAGCGGAAGCAGCAGCGGAAGGCGTGCTGCCGTGGCTCAGCATGCCTGTGCTATCCTCCTCGAAATCCACCTCGTCTTCGGCACCTCCTTCATCGACACTGCGAGGATCGTATCGCCCTCAAACGCACACGCTTCCAAATGCCGCTTACCCACGTCTGTCAATATCAGGGAAGACTCTAGCGCCAGCACCCGCGCACGACCACATATGCGGAGTGCACGGCCCGCACCTGCCCCTCCCTCTGGCCCTGGGCCTGTCCATGCCTGCGCGGGGTCGCGTACGCATGCAGCCCAAGCACGCAGCACAGATCTTCCACCAACAGCAACCACTCGAACAGCTGCACCTTCGCAGGCCCGCGGCCCACGGACACGTTACGGCCACAGGCGGAGGCGAAGACGGACTTGTGCGCTGCGCCGAGGTCATCAGTGCTGGTGTCAGCGGCGCTGGTGCAGGGAGGGACTCGAGCGTCCGGAGCTCGCTGTGAGCTGAGGCCTGTAGGCCACTGGCCAACGCTTTCACTTGCGCCTTCTGCCCCGCGATGTACCCTATGGTTAAGGAGCCGTTCACAACAAATCATTGCGCTCGAGTGGTCTCGTCTAGAAATACACACTTACACCGCGCCTCGCCTGCGGCCCCCGTTTGGCGACGACGGTGGTCCTACAGCGCTCAGCATCACCTTCATATTCATCGTCGTATTGTTGAAACGTTCCGTACGAAAAGGCAGTTTAGTGGACCGAGCCATCGACACCCGCGGTTGCGGGTGTGGGCATTGCAAAGAAATGCTGCAGATATTGTTTTAGAGAGACGTATTGAAAGGCGAAGAGCAGAAACACTTGGCAGAATCGTTGTTTGGGGATCCGGGGATGTACAGAATGGGGATGCGAGCGCGCCCTTGGAAAAGGGGGGGACACGCACGCCCGCCTCCCCGAGCTAAAGCGGTCGGATTGTAGATAGTGTATAGGCTGATTCATAGAAAGTTGGCACTAACGGACCTGGACGTCGCCTCGCGTGTATCGCATCGAAAAGTAGTAGCCGCTCGGGTTTGAAGACCGGGGGGAGGAGCTTGCGAAATGATCTGACCATCAGGAAATATTGAAGCTTGCGAGATATACCGTTGGTGTCGAAAATATGCAATGACGCCCTTGAAGAAATCGATAGATGTAAATAACTTGCCGCTGTGGTCCGAATGAAGAGCTTGAAAAATGTACGTATGCAAAATGCCCAGAGAACCGTAGATGAAGGCCGTTGCTGAATGTCAAGTTGGGAAAACGTTGAAATCGTCGATAGTCTTGTCAGCTGGGAGGTCACAAAATTCAGAACTCCCGGAAATGAAATGAGCACGATGCATGCTAAGACTCAATGCCTGGGCGCGCCACTGTACTGCACAAAGCTGGGATGCGAAGCCGGCGAAACGACAAGGTGGAAGGGCAGTGGTGTGGGACTGGAAGAGTGGTTGGTAGGTGCGGCAAATGGAGCGGCCCCCGCCAGGGCGCCATGATGTCCCTCAGTCATACCAGGCGGCAGCGCGCTCGGCGGTACGCCGCTGTACGCCGTTGGTGCAGGTGGCCAGCTGTGGAGATGCCCGACAGCATGCGCAGCAGGCGGGCTACCGATGAGATGCGCCCAGGGCGAGAGATGCGCCGGTTGCGGCGGCGAGCGGTAGGCATCACTCGTATTGAGGCCGGATGGCGCTTGCATTAAAGGCATCGATGTTGACGGCAGCGAAAGTGTGGCACTGGGTTGCATTACTGGCACCACGGGGTGCCCATGCGCACCCCTGGTCATCAAGCCCTGCGGCGGTCCTCGCTGCCATGCGGAGCTGTTGAGGGCTGTTGAGGTCGATAAGCTTGGCAGCATCGGTAAACCGTCCCAACGCGGTGCAGGCAAAGGAGATGCTAGCTTGCCAAGGTGAAGGTCCCCAGTGCCACCAGAGTTCGAATTAGACGGCGCCAGACCGACCTCCTCGACCAGCCGTCGATAGGCCGGTACATTAATGAGATCGCGATCCTGGAGGACTTTCCGCACGGCTTCGGCGTAAGCGGGTTTCTTACTCGCGTCCATCGCGCTACCGGCCAGCACCTTAGCTATGAATTGAGAGCCGTGGATCTGATCGTTTTGGAAGCAATGGTGATGTCAGTGACGTGCAACAAACCGGTCGCCTAAATTGCGCGGTCACTCACTTGGTCGTTGAGAATCTGCTCGTAAACAGGATGGGCTCCAGTCTCAAAGAGGGTAGTGACCAACAGCTTTGAGGCTTCGGGATCTGCACTCTGAGTAATGATGCGCAGCACGGTGAGCGAGGCAAGCTTGTGCGTGCACAGATGGTGCAGGTGCGGTGTAAACCGGGGAGCCAAGAGCCTGTATCGCCCAGTAAACTCGGACGTATCGAGCAGCCATGTCAGAAGAAGCGCGCCATTCGGATTCGTTGCGAGCGGCACAGCATTGAAGATGACCGCAAGCGCCACACGCTTCTGCTGGCTCTTGGTCACGGCCGAGCTCTCGAGACATGCACGCATGCTGCGCGCACCGAACCTGCCCTGCGCGATCTCCCACGTACGGTCGAACATGGCATCAAAGATGCAATCGGATATCGGCGAACCGTACGGTAGCAGGCATTGCACGACATAGTTTCCGAATTGGTCCAACAAGAGGGGCGGAATGTACGGCTGCAGATGCTGAACGATGCGGTTGAGCTGCTGGGGCCCACGGGCGCAGTCGATGATCTTTTGCGCAGCCCACGTACCGTTCTTGTGCGTCCCAATCATGGCGAGGAATGGCGCAAGTCGCTCGAGCAGTGCGAGCTTGATCTCCTCCGATCCTCTTTCGAAGAACTTCTGCACGAGCGTGTTGCCAATGTAGTCGCTGGAAAGCTCGATGATGTCTCCAATGAAAAGGGTGGCGATAGCGTCGACGTCGCGCTGCGTGCTGTGCGGGGAGTCGAGACTCTTGCGGAAGTCCCGCAGCTGCGCAGAGTCGAAGCGACGCCCTGTTGCCGCATCCGTGATCGAAGGGATCGAGGCGTAGTACGTCACAGGCGGGCGAGACGCCAGATCGATGTCGACTTCGTCCGCACTATTGCCATCCAGCTCGCGCAAGATGTCCTGCTGCTCTTGGAAGAACGCGCGAGGAACCATGTCCGGCGGGAGCGGAATACCGCCTTTGTCGCTGCTAGGCGCGATGCTGTTGGACGCACTGACCAAGCCCTGAGCCGCGTTGCGCTCTCGGGCAACAGCGGAGAAATGGTTGTTGTTCCCAGAGCTCGCGGACCCTACCTGCACTGAAGCAACGTCCTGCTGCGACTGCGGCGCCTGTCTATCTGCCTGTAAGGCACCTTTCAGCTGCTGGTGATGCTTTGCCAGAAGATCGAGCATGGCTCGATCCGCATTGGAAGAGCCAAAGACCGACGTGCTGGGCGCCCCAACTGGGCCGGCTGTGGTAGCGCTGCCTTCTTCGCCCGCGCGCGGAGGCGCCTTGGCAAAGCCCACCCTGACTGTGCCCACCTCTGGACCGAGAATCTCGCGCCCGTTGAGCGCCTTGCGCGCGCGGACGGAATCTTCGAGACGCTCAAAGTTGACTGTAGAGAGTAAAGCGATTAGCTTCATTCGACCAGTATGTCTCCGGCCAAGGCACGGGTATGGGAACTCACTGAACGCGCAATTCTTTTGCGAGAGGACGCGCACGCTCTCGACCGGTCCATACTGCGTAAAGATGTTGAGCAGCACCGCCTGCGAGGTGGTGGCAGGGATGGAGCCAAGCCAGAGAGCCCTGGTCGCTGGGCCGTCCACCTCGGCGTTCGCGGCGGCGGAGAGGACCGCTGTGGCCTGCGAATTTGCGCCAACGTACGGCCAGTTGGCCCCAGTGGCGCCGGGCGTGTCAATGCGGCCGAATCCGATGCGCACGGGGTGCGCCTGCTTGCCGCTGATGGTCGGTATCATACCGCCGAGACGCGTGAGCACATCCTCTCGCGCACGCTTAGCGTCTTCGGTCTCCTTGAAATTGACAAACCCACAATCCTTCTCGGCGAGTAGTCGTAGACTCTCGATAGCGCCGTAGCCCGCAAAGGCATGCATCAGGTCCTGCGCCGTTACGCCGGGGTCGAGGTTGCCAATCCACAGACTCCGGCTGAGAATCAGGTTGCCGCCGCCGGTCCGGGAGCCGGAGCCGGAGCCAGCCGCGCCGTCGCTGGCAACTGGTGCCTCTACTTCTTCGACGCTGGCGTTGCCGCTCCAGGCTTGCACAGACGCCTGCCTGCTACCAAGCGCAGCGTCGTGCCAGACGCCCTCCTCGAGGAGCGGAGGCCGGAAGAGCGCGCCGCCGCCGCTGCTGCTAGTACCCGGTGAAGCGCGCCCACCGGCGACAGCAACGTCTAATGCGGCTGCGACAGCGGAGGCGGAGGAAGCGTTGTGGCTCACCATTCGCAGCATTTCTCGTTCCGCACGTTGCCTGCTGCCGGGCCCGCTGAGCGCTGCGAGCGTCCCGGCGCGCGCCCGCCCAATACCGCCGCCACCGCTCCCACCGATTCCTGCGCCAGGGGCGGACGCATGCATGCTCTCCGTGCTGCCCAGGTGGTCGTCGAAGCCTTGCAAAGAGCTGGATAACTCGAGCGCGTACATGGTAGCGGGCGTGGAGGAGGAGGACGTGGAGGAGCGCAGCAGATGCTCAAAGCCATTGCTGCCGTGCCTGCTGCTGCTACTTTCGTCGCTGGATTGTGACTGCGACTGATTTGCTGACGAAGGCGAGCGCGCATGCGCAAGTGGCCCGTCAGCCGAAGCGGACGAGGGGGGAGAAGAGGAAGGCAGCATCGTCGACGCTCTCGGTCGCTGCCCTTGCGAAGCTGCTGCTGCTGCTGTTCCATTGAGACTACCGAGACGGTTCATGAGCGCAACAGACGCAAGCGGCTGTGAGATGCCTGCCGGACTGCTCGCACCAGCACCGGCACTCGGCGAACCCCCACCGCTGTTGCCTGCGCCGGCACTGCTACTGGATGAGGTCGCAGCCGGCTGGGACGTGCGCAGGATGCCTGTGGTGAAATAGTCGTCCTGTTCGCCGACGTCGCTGACGCTAACGGGGAGCTCGGACATGCGCGGACTGACCGCGAGACTGCCAATGGAGAAAGGGAGACCGCGTTGCTGTGCGCGCGCCTGCGTTGCATACCTGCGCACGGCGTTGCTGGGGCTTGCGCTCGCGCCTGTGCCTTGCGACCCCATGACAGAAGTTGCGCCGCCGAACACGAGAGCAGTATGGTGCGTGTCCGCGGCAAGGTTGCTGAGGCTGTTGCTGAAATGCAAATCGATGCCCACGCGTGCGGAGCTGCCCGCCAGCGTGCTAGCGCGGTTGCGCCCGAGGCTCGGCGCCGGCAGTGCGCACGGGTTGTCGTTGATGTGGTCCACTCTGCTGCCCCTGCCACCCTCGTGCACGCCAAGCAGCTGCAGGTCGTGCGTCAGTGCAGCGATGCTCCCAGGCGCGAGCGGCGTGCCGCTATCGAGCCGAGGCGTGGAGCTCAAGCTTTTCGACGCAGTGTTGTGGTTGTGGTTATGGTTCGAGGAAGAGGAGGTGGTGTTGGTGGTGGTGGGGGACGCTGTTGTCCCGCCGACGCCGTCCATGCTGAGACTCATGCCCATGCCCCTGCCTGTCCCCGTGCTTGTACCCGCTCCGAGCGCGGTGGAGGACTCGGGGTAGGCCCAGATGGACGCAAGCTCCGCCTTGCTCAGTTCGCGACTGGCACTGTTGCATTCCGGCCGCGCGCTCCACTCCCGCACGGGCGCACCCGCAGCCATGCCTGAGCCGGAGCCGGGGCCCCCACCCGCGCCTGGCGCCGCCGAGGCAGCTGCAGCGGCGCTGACAGCGGCCTCGAGAACATTGACGTCGATGATAGGCTGTCCGCGGCCATCGCCATGCACGGCGGCAAGGCTTTCCCTGGCGCTAAGCATCAGCGTCCCGCGGCGCGAGCTGGAGGCGGACGCAGACGCCGTCGGGCGGCACAGGTTCGCATGCGGAAAGCGCGAAGACGAGCGGCCGGCTGCGGTGCCGCTATTGGCGGTGCTGGGTGAATGGAAGGAGGATCCAATGTCGCTGAACATGTCGTGGATTGTCGAGCTGCGACCTCGCAGCGTCGAATGGTCCGCCGCGGCTGCGGCTGCCGAGGCCGAGGTGCCGTGGTAGCCTTGTGCGTGTGGTGTATCCATGATGTCCATATGCGCTGAACGCACCGTGAGATCCGCTGAAACTAGTGTTACTGCTGCTGCTGCAGTTGATAATGGTACTGATGTTGTTTCTGTCGCAGATGCGATGACGATGGATGGTCTGTGTAAGGCTGTACGCTGGCCGCACTCTACTGTTCCGGCTTTCGATCGCAGCTGTCCCGACGGCCCATTTCGAGCTTGGTAGTTCTGTTCTGTTGCGTTAGGTTGAGCCAACGTAAAAAGGAAGCAAGTTCCATCGACAGCCCAGCTGGGTGGGTCCGGTGGTGAACTGGGTTAGCGCTGGCCTTTGTGCGGTGCTCTAGCAGCGGTGCTCGCACGTCGTGTGTGTGCAAGCAGCAATTCGGAAGGACGGTCGCACTATAGCCTTCTCGCGATTGCGTACACGTTGGCTAGTATCAAGTCGATCGTTGATGGCATGCGTATATGCATTCAGCTTACCGTAAATGAGACGAGATGAGGCAAGAAGAAATGCGTTTGAGCGAGGAGCCAGGGAGGTCCAGCTCCAGCTCCAAGTGTTGCATACACGACGCCCCGGTCAATTGAGCTCGACCTTGAGGAGACTGAGGCTGGCGTCTGGGCGCTTGCGCTTTGCCGTCTATTCCCGTCTTGGTCGGAGGGGAGGCGGAGGAGCTTGCTTCTTGAATGCGAGAGATGTTGCCGACGCTATCCACCACGAGATCATAGCCAACTAGCAGCAAGGTCCCAATCCATCCATCCCATCCGCCCATAATCGAGTCTTTTCCGCGCCGCGCGCCGCAGGCTCAGGCGCAACGACCTGACTAACTGACTGACTGACTGACTGAGCCCACACACTGTTCTCTTCAATTCCGCCCCTGCCACTAACCCTAATGGATAGCAGTAGGTGCGCAAGCGAATCAAGTCAAATGAAACAGCAGCATCACTTTAGCGAAGGGCGGAACAGTGGAGAAGGTGCATCTCTGCCCACTCCATCTCATCCGCAGAAGCTCCTTTTGCACATCTAGCCTGCAACATCATCCCCGCAGACAATTCCAAAACAATTCCCAGGCGACGCAGACGCGAGAAAGAGGCATCGGCGCGCAAGGTACGGCAAAGCACTGCCCCGTTCCTACTCGGCAGCAGGCAAGTACTGCCGCCAAAATGTTCGGCGCGTTCCGGGTCTCTACGCCGGCGCTCGGCGGTCTATTATGGTATGTGAAGTGCAGAGCAGCGCAGCGAGTCGAATGCGGGTAACCACCAGCGGCCGGACGCAAAAAGAGAGGAGGTCGCGGCATTGCACTGTCCCTGTCCGCTATCTCTCCATCACTCGCTGACCCATACTACACTGCTTGTCCTGCCACTGGCACCTCCGCAACGGCAGGAAGAACCCGTGGCGCCTGTCTGCGACACGCAAGTCGCGAGCCCGCGAGCGCCTGCGCAACGTTGACGAGCTCATTGCCACCGTCGCCGCCACGTCCACGTCATCAACAGCGTCGCCGCACAGCACGATCCTGCAGCGTGCGCTGGCGCTGCCGACCGAGCGCCAGATGTCTGCGCGCGACAAGTACACAACGTTCAGCATGCGGAGCAAGGGTTACCGCAAGAGTGTGCACAAGGTGCGTGCGCATTCTCTCTCTCTCTCTCTCTCTCTGCTAAGTCCGCGCAGGTTGGCTGACAGGCACACCGCCCTATCTCTCTTACGGCAGGTCCCCAAGTGGACGCGATTAACTCTTCGGGAGAACCCGCGCGGGTTCTGAGATTGCACCGGTCCCTTCGACACTGCGCGACCGTCCTTCCCCCCTTCCGTCTGGGATCCATCTACTGTCCAGCAAGGACTGTGAGACTGTCTGAACAGCACCAGTCTGTCCTCTGTATTTCTAGCAGCACTGCGCACACGTTTGCAAGACATGGGCGTCTCCTTGATGCCGAGCGAAACGATTCTCTCTATATGGCCATGTATTCGCGCGTGCTTGCTCTTCTTCGTCCGCGCGTTGCTGCAGGCCATGATGGAATTTAATTGAATGCTAGCTCGCAGGAAAAGGATCGTCGCAGCCGCAGACGGGAGGAAGACGAGGGGCGAGCAACCAAGAATAAAAAGGGCAGTCAATGGAAAAAGAGAGAAAAGAAACCGGCGCCGGTGAGACTTGAACGGGGAGGTGAGCACGTAGCGCACTGCATGCCGGCGTGCCTTGGAAACAGGAGCAGATGCAGGCTGCACAGCGCAGGTTCTGAAGCCATATAAAGATGAACGTTGGCGTGTGAAGGCCGCTGCAGGGCCGACGATGCACATGACTCGCTGGGACTGGGACTGGTGCTAGTGTTGTGCAGCAAAGCGCCCCTGCACCCTTGCACTAATGCACAGGTTTGAATGACGGTACGTAATACTATGTAAATTTTATTTTATTTTGTTTTCACATAAAGTTTGTCGAACTTGACGCGCACTGCCTGCCTGGACTCTCAGCGTGTGTTTGCTGGTGGATTCCGCCGGTTGTTGTGCAGTGCAGTGCGGCCACATCTTCTCACGCTCAGCTCAGCCCTGTGCAGTGCAGTCTGGCCTAGGCCCTCGTCCCCTCCCTCCCCCTTTTCCCCCCAAGGCTCGGCAGCAGACCGAGAGAGTGGGCTGGTGCTGTCTCTGGCGCTGGCCCAGCTAGTTGGCAGTGCACACTCACACACTTCGGCGTCACGCCCACCCACAGCCAAAACAGAACAGCAGAGAGGGCACATCGAACCAGCATGCTACCAAGACCATCGATCGTCCTCTTCGTGCCGGCTGCTCTCCTCGTCGTCGCCGCTGGGCATCTCACACGCTGGGGAGAGACCGATGCCCGGGATCCAGCAGCAAGCAAGCATACCATTACACAAGACCGCCGCGGTCACCAGCGCCTACGACGACAACGTTGCCATCGATCCGAGGAAGGGCGACTCTGTCCGGCTTGTGCGAGCAAGCAAGCACGCGCACGATCTTCGCGAACAGCTCACACCGACCCGCCCCCACCAAAACACGATACACTGCAAAAACCCGGCGCAGTCCCTCTTGGCTGCCCTCTGCCGAAGCACGACCCAGCACACGTACACGAGCGCAGACGTGCTTTCCCGCTCGTCGCTTCTGCTGCATACTGCGCATCCGCCTTTGTCCGTCCGCAGCAGCTCGTGAAGCTCGAGCTCTCTGCGGAACATACCCCACATGTCTGCTCGACGACACGGGCAGCACAGCAGCAAGAGGCCGCATCCATCTCATCACGCCCCCTCCCAACGCACAGCGCTTCCGATGGGCTGCAGCGCCCGCCACCAAGCACAGACGGAGCACTGAGCGAGCGGCCACCGCACGCCGATGGCAAGGCGGGCGTCCGCACAACGAGTGAGCGAGCAGGCTGGAAGTCGGAACTGCCAGAACGAAACGAGGCGAGGAGTACCGTAGTGGTGCGCTTGCCAGAAGTCAAGCTGGGCCAAGAACCCGCCCAACTTGGCCAGCCATAGGGCGTGGGGCGAGCGCAGGCAGAGTGGACCTTGCTATCGATCGAGGTGAGTCGCATCTCATTCAATCCACTCCATCCTGCTCCTGCCCCGGCTGACTTGGTTTGCTGACATACTTTGAACGCTCGACCGCACCCTCCGTCTATCTCGGAAGCCTCAACACAGCACGGCGCGGCGCGGCACGCATGCCACGAAGCCTGCCGCAACGTCTCTGCTGAGCGAGCGCAACGTAGCGTTGCGTAGCGCAGCCTCTTCAGGATAAACGCAAGAATGGGCACATCGACGCGCTCAACTAGAGCGGCGACAGCCGCAGCGTCTCTAGCACAAGTGCCAGCACCGGCGTCAGCGTCAGCAGCTCCAGCGTCGTCATCAGCATCCGCCCCACCACCTGCAGCAGCAGCAGCTGCTGCTGCTGGAAAGGCAAAAACGACCCAAGCGAGGTCGACACGCTCCTCCGGGCGACTCGCAGCAGCTGCTGCATCTCCAGCTGCCGCCACCCCCCTTGTATCAGCAACAGCAGCAACCGCAACAGCAGGAGCCACACCCATAACCAAAGTTAAGGGCCGCGCCCCAAAGACACCGGCTTCCCAGCAGCAGCAGCAGCATGGTGCGCCTGTGACTTCCAAGTCGACGCTTGCTGCGAAAACAAATTTGGCGCACTCATCATCATCAGCATTTTCCTCCTTAACAGCACCAGCAGCAGCAACACCAACACCAGCAGCAGCAGCGTCCGCATCCTCAGCGGCCGCCGCGCGCTTCAAGCATGCATCCGCTTTGTCGCTTCTGCCGATCCCTGGCATTTCTACCGCTGCGTCACCCAGCAAGGACGCGAGTGGCGACAAGGCCAAAGGGGCAGCGGTGGCGGTGGCAGGGGCAGGGAGAGGGGGAGAAGCAGGTGCAGGAGGGCAAAGCAAGAGCAAAACGCAGCAGCCCTCTCCGTCGGCGGTGGCGGAGCAGGGTCGCGAACACCCCGAGCAGGACATTGTGGAACTGCAGCCGCTGTCGAGAGTCACCGCTATCTTGGCGCTTGCACCGCTGCCGCTGTTGGATCCGACGACCAGCAAGCATATCCGGCCGCTCGTCAATGGCAGCGAGGCGCCACCCGCAGCCCAGGCACTGCTGCAGGCTGCTGGCGCGCGCGACGCAAAAAGCGGCAGGCACAGCGCTGACGAGGCTGAGTGCCAGCTCCGCATCGCGCAGGCTGCAGCGCACGATGCAAAGCTCCCGCAGACGCCGCCGGTCACTAACGGCGCCGGGTCTGCTTCAAGGTCCGATGTAGGCTTCGGGCCGGGTGGGGGTGTAGGCACAGCACTGCCGCCGCCTTCGATTGGGTCACCAGCATCTTCAGCAACAGCAGTATCGGCAGCAGGCGCGGTAGACTCGAGCGCCGCGGCGCACTCGAAGTACAATGCACCGCTCTCGAAAAGAGCTGAGACTGCGCCGGAGCTTGATGACGTCGAGCTCAAGCGCGAGGACGAATGTGTCGTCACTGTCGCGCCCGCCGCGAAGGAGGATGCGGGCACGGGTGCAGGCGTGGGCGCAAGTGCTGAAGCAGAGACTGAGGCACTCGAAGCCGAAGCGCTGCTCGTACCTTGCACAGCGCTAGCAACAGCAAGTGCGATTACGGCACCGCCGGCAACGACAAGCGATCAGTTTGTCCCCGCTTCTAATTCGCAACCGACCGCTAATTTGACCACAGCGGTATCGTCTGCATCGTCCGCGGCGCCAGTACCCGCACCAGCATCAGCAAAAGCACAAGTACCAGCACAGCCGCCGGACGCGCCGAGAGGCCAGAAGCGCAAGGCCGAGACGGACGCCCAATTGCCAGCGCAGCCTGGCGCCGTGGTCCATAAGGCTGCTGCAGATCCAGATGTGCCGTTGCCATCTTCATCGTCAACCTCTTCTGCTCCAGGTCAAACGTCGGCATCCATGTCGCCAGGGACTGCACCAGCGCCAGCAGCCGCCATCCGCCCGAAACGGCGAACGTCCATCTCACAGGAACGCGACGCAGTGTCAGGCTCCACTCATGCGGCCGGCGCGCTTGCGTCCTCGTCATCAGCGTTAGTGGCGAGCCCAATGCCGGCACCAGAAACACGCTCTGCGCCTGCCTTAGCCCCTGGACTCGCACCAGCGTCGGCAGGATATGCCGTTTCTGAGGGGCGCCGGACGAGATCAACGCGCAGCACCGCGGCTTCATCGCTGGCGTCGGCTCCAGGCGCTGTGCCAGCTGCACCTCTCTCATCGGCCACAGCAGCCACAGGGACGGCAGCGTCCGCATCGGCGATAGTGCAAGGGCATGTGCAGTCAGGTCGGCGCTTATCGACACGCCTTGTGCGCGAGGTCCCTGCGCGCAACGCCAAGCTCGAGCCGAAACCGGCGGTGCCGGCCGCTGCACCGGCTGCTGCTGCTGCAGCCGGTATCGTGAGCACGGGAGCGGGGCATTCAGTGGACAAGTTCAAGCCGGCGAAGAAGCACAAGTTGCAAGTGCAAGAGAAGGACAGGCTGAAGGAAATGGAGATGGAGAAAGAAGCGGAGAAGCCAAAGCTGAAGGTTAAGATGGTGTCGGCTGCCAAGGAGTCAGCGGCCACTGCTTTGCCCGTTGCTTCATCGACTGAGCATACCTCGGCGGCACAGAGCGACAAGCCATGTGATATAGACAGTACTGGTACGGGTAGGAAGAAGCGAAAGTGAGTCATTTGAAATTCTTCTAACTCAAAATGCAGATGATGCGGAAAGCTGACTATTTGCACGCGTCATTCCTTGAAGACTCAGCCAAGTTATGCATCCTTCACTTGCGCTTGTGCAGAGCTCTGTCGCAGCAAGCAGTCCACTTGCCTCCGTGGGGGCAGTCACAAATGCGCTGGCAAATGAGCAGCAGGCGGCTGGCGCGCTGGCCGGGGGCACGCCTCGCATCCGTCTACGCCTATTGATCGCACGCGATGATAAGCATGCCGCCAATGGCCTCGACATCGACGCTGGCGGCTCGATCAAGCGGCGCAAGACAGATTCGTTCTCCACCGTCGCGCGCAAGGCGGACGATCCGCCACCGCTGCTGTCGCGCACGACGTATTCGGGCAATGAGCTGCGCAAGTCTCTGACGAGCCCCAAGCACTTCAAACCGCGCAACGAGGCGGAAGCAATCATGTGGCGCACACCGACGAGCTGGCATAAAGGCGGCAAGAAGCAGAAACAGCAGCCACCGTCGCCTGGCAAAACGCATTTGCCAAGCAACAACAGCAGCGCAAGCGGGGACAGCGACGGGGCGGGCAGCCCGAGGGCTGTGGCTGCTATAGCGCTTGCACGCGTTCCTGCCTCTACGCCGCGCGTCATGGCGCTGAGCCGCGAGACCATCTCGCCGCCAGCTACGTCGCTTGTCGCAGAGGACGTCCGCGCTGAGCAGGAAGGTGACGCGGAAGAGGAGGAGGAGGGCGATTTCCACAAGATCATGCTCCTCGATGGTGCAGCATTCCGCGTGGATGGCTCGCAACAGCAGCAGCAACCACAGACACTGCCAGGAGAGCAGCAAGAGCAAGAACAGCAAAAACAGTTCGCTGTTGTTAAGCAAGAGGGAGAGCCAACTCCACCCGTGTCCAGCTCTCGCCTCGTTTCTGTCTCCGCAAGCACCTCGCAGCGCGCCTCGCGCCGCAACTCTGTGTCTGAAGAAGAGCACCCCGCCAACCAAGAGGGCAGCTCGGGCAGCGACGGCAGCCATCATAGCGAACAGGGCGATGCAGAACGTGAGAACGCAGACGATACGCCAGCCACGACTCCGCGCACGAACGTGTCCAGCTGCGAGCTCCCTCCCATCGCAGACGAAGTCGGCCCGCACAGCAGCACGGACCAAAGCGCGAAGGAAGAAGGGGAAGACGGTAAGGATTCTTCTATCATGCGGCAACCGCGTGACACGGTCTTTTGCCATGCGCTGCCACTTGCGCGTCGCCGCATCGACCAGCATGCCGGCCAGGTGACCTTGTCGCTACCGTTCGAGGAGACGCAGTCACAGTCCGAACTTGCTGCTATCCTCCGTGCGCACGACGCGGAAGAGGAAAGGACGCTGCTCGCCAACAGTCCGCAAAATCCAGCCAAGCTCATCGTTGGGCCCCAGCCCTTTTCGGAAGGGCGGACGATGCGACGCGTGCTGAGTTCAGGCTCGAACGTGGGCAGTGTCTTCCCTGGCAGCGACGAAATGATGCCGCGCTCGCTCCTCCGTATGGCCCTTGCGCACCAGCAGATTCACCACCTGCGGCACCCACAGGACGAGATCTTGCTCGCCAGCCCGTCGGATGCATTGCGCGCAAAGGCCCTGAGTAACGACGAAGAGGTCGATCACATGGAGCTCGACAACGCTGATAGCGCAGAAGGCGCTACAGTGGCAGCTACCACTACAGCTCCTGTCGACGCGGAACACGACGGCAGCGCACCAGCAGGCACGTGGATGGACTCGCCACTCTCCGCTCGTGACTCGCAGGGTGGCGATGCGGAAGATGAAGCGGTCGTTGCGGAGGAAGCGCAGGTTTTCGAAGGCCAGACGGCGCTTTCTGAGCTCGACTTGATGTGGGATGACGAGCGGCCTCCTTGCAGTGCCGAAGCCGACTTTGACACGGATGCTGCCATGGGCGCTGAGCAAAAAGATCCCAAGGGCAAAGGAGCGGATGGCGCGTTCCATCATGACCAATTCTACGATGAAGAGGAGGAGGAGGAGGAGGAAGATTACGTCGAGCTCCTCGGACGACCTCGCCTTCGCTCTTCTCCCTATCCGCCGAACGGCTCTGCATCGCCTCGTTCTGAGATGCTGGAAGCGAACCAGCGTGAGGCTGAGCGCGAACGCCTTGCTGAGGATGGTGTCGATGCGAGCAAGACGCTGCATCCCGGGCGCTCCGCGACACCGCCAGCAGAAGATGGCGGTCTAGACGCGTTGACTGCCGGCAAGCACCTACCCAAGTCTCCCGCAACGCGTAACATGAGAGGCAAGAAGGCACCGGCAGCCACAGCCACAGGCAGTCCCAAGCGCGCAACCTCGACGATAGTCAGGCTGGCCGCGGCCGCCAGCGCTCTGCCATCCCTGCCGCGGTCAACACGCACAACCTCAGCCGTCACCGCTGCCACCCCGACTCGCAGCAGCGCGCGCAGGCGACGCTAGATCTACACCCATAGTTGCATAGGCGGGGGAGGGCCTTTTGGAATCTCGTTTCCTTTTTCCTTGGCGTCACGCGCGACTCAACTCGCCTGCTCCCGCCGTCAGCTCTTCACCCACATATACAATACCATTCCACACCCACCGCTCCCTCGCGCGCGCAGTGGAGGACGCAACCGCGACTTTCAACCGCGCCGCCCGCGTATCCGCTTTCGCATCAGTCTCGGCCTATCACCCCCACTCCATACCGCTGCTTGCTATAAAACGTACTTTTTTGTTGTCCCACCCCGTTAAAAATTTGTCTGTACCATATAAATACATCTTGTTGAAAGAGTGAAAGCATACCAACGCGTACAGTCCACATTGCAGAGCAGCGCACAGTGGAGGCTTGCGGGGGTTAAGGGCAGCACGCGCGCTTTTGACATCTGGATGACGATGAGAAGAGGTCTGAGCGCTGGCATGCACATGGCACTGCTGCGACATGCATGCGGGTACGGTACCAAGAAAGGGGGCAGCATGTCGACCTCGACTACCATCACACATCAGCATTTCCTTCGCGAGTGTGGCTCCGACCACGCTCCGTCGTGCTGGCGACTGAATGTCTTGGGGTCTAGGCTCAGCACTGGCGGGAAAACATGAAACCGTTCCGTCGGAGATATGTTTATACTTGCATGTTGCACCGAAGCCCATCTGCGCTTGACAGAGCATATGTAAATGGGCTATTGGCCTGATGCGTGCGGAACATGACTGTGAATGATGAACGGCGATTTCTCCGATATGATGAAGGTTGACTCATTAGCAGCCTGGTTGGAAGTGTCGAAGGCCTTCGAGCGGGCGCGGCGACACACAGACATAGGGTTACTACAAAAAAAGACCCAAATTGTTGCCCTCATCTCTGTACATACCTGCACTCTTGCACAGGGTGCAGCGTGTGGTGTATTATACACTGTCCGCCCCATGTTCTACTTTCCGCAGGTTTCCACATGTGAGCATGGTGCGTGCCTTGTGAAACAGAGCCTGACTGCTGATTCACCGCCCTCTGCTGCAGTGCAGCGTGTGCACGGATGTTATGGGTACTTGGCCCGCCGTCCAGAAGGCTCAGTCGAAGAGGGTTGAATGTTCTCTGTGGGTCAGTGCTGTATCTCGGCGATTGCCAAATATCCTCTGCTATACTGTTCCACTGGCTGATAAGCCACGTAGGGAGAGACGCGAGCACTCCAGTACCCTGCTGCAGTACGTCTATCCACGCGAAGCCCTCGAGTTCACGCCCGGAAGACTGAAAATTTCTCGAGTTCCTCGCCCCTCACCCCTTTTCCTTTTGGGTCCACAGCGTCGCTCAAGACAGGTTGCGCCACGCGCGCAAGGTGCTTGCCAGGCAAGATACACAGTAGCCACTGCGCAGACGGCACGCCTGTACTCGCCACCGTGAGTCCCTTTTGAGTGTCCACCGACGACTCTCTTATCAACTGTGAACACAAAGGGCTCTCTGGCATGACAGTAGGTCGTTCTGCGATCCCCTTTGTACACCGATTACCAGACCATTGTCAGATCAACGAAGAAACCAGGGTATATGATACAAACATAGTGAAGTGTAACGTTTTGGCAAGCGAGAGCATGCGTTGGTCTGCTCGAATTCTCCAGTGTCTGGGCGAGGTTGAAGAGGACAGAGTGAGGAGGCAGAGGCTGGCCGCTCGCAAAGCTGGCAGGAAAGCAGACTGTAGAGTAAAAACTATTGCCATGTGGCATTGCTCTCCTATCTGGTGGATATGTACCAAGTACGAACATGGACTGGTTTGTACGTATCCGCCGATGAAGTGCTGCTCCCTCTCCCCGCCCCCGAAAAAATTTACTTCTCCGACGCGCCATAAGACCCGAAGGTGTGCTTTACTGCTGTTCGCCAACCATGCGGGACTTGGTCTGGCTTCGCGTTGCATGCAATACGGCCCGTCGACAGCATCAGAGCGCAGCGCCAACGCCAGCGGCAGCGTAGTGTGTGCGTTTGGCGGTGGAGAGCCACGGAGTGAATGTGTGTGTCTCAAAAAGCCACGCCGGGTGTCAGCGTCACCTCGGTTCATCCGTCCACCTATTGACTACAATATTTATCATCAACAAGGGGACAGTATTTTCGTTTGAGGATACCGTTGTGTTCAACGATGCTGCGGCACTCATTGCACTTCTACACCTCCGCAACAATCAGGTTGACTCAACGACCGATTCATCGCGAAAAGTCGTCATCCTTCACGGCTCACGCCGCCGCCAGTTCAAGACCCAGCAGGACCGGCGCCGAAGTGACATTTGTGCATTGATAAATAGGTGCTGGCCTTTGTATGCAGTGCCTGTGTGGACGGGGACCGACACGACAGCGACTGCTACGACCACAACAGCGAGCAACCCCACCAGCCGAGTGCAAACTTCATTGCAAGAAGGCCAACCGCTCGTCCTCGGGAGAAGAATTGGGTAACGTGGCTGCTGCCTTGTGGGCCTCTTGGTAATCACGCAGCATCGTGCCGGGCATTCGCATCGATCAAAAGGGTCTGACGGCTCCTGCAAGCTGCATCGCAATAACTGCCATCCTCTTCTCTGCCGCTCAACCTTGATCGCCTACTCTGCGGCACCAACGCAGCAAACTGGCTGTGACGTCAAGCCTTAAACAGAAACAGCCACGTATTCCAAGTCGCAACAAACAGACGCCTTCCTTCCTCTCCGCGTACGACGGCAGAGCGCTCCGAGCCCATCGCACAGCAGCAAATGATCGAGACGCGCTCCTTTTCACCATCGACAGCGTCATCATCTTCTTCTTCTTCAGAAAGCACGCACTGTGCACTGCTCGCTCAACCTGGCGCGTGTGGCTTTCGCTTGATCTTCTCGTCGACTAATAACGAGAGAGGTCGGGGGCAAAGGGAGGGAGAGGGGTAACGCGGAGGCCACGGCCGAAGGGACGACCCATCACTTTGTGCAATCAGACATTACCCAGTTGCCGAAGCTTATGTGCTGAGGCGATCACTTTGCCTTTCTTCGCTCCTCGCGGGATAGATTTGCGAGCGGGGCTTTTGGCTTTGTTTGATGGTACTCTTGATTTGACGACGGTGAGTGCTCGTCGACGCCATGCAACTCGCAGAATGGAATCGAAACGAAGACGAGGCTTACTCATTTTGCCTTATGGCTTGTCACATAGCTGTCAACGATTGATCCACTCAGCCTCCGTCCGTCAACGTCGGACATCTTTCGCGTACTCAGTTGACCATTCGACCATTCTCATATCCCCCTGCTTCATACTACACTTTCGACACGTGGAAAGATTCATCCTCCTGCCATGTCCCACCCTTGTCCATGTCGTCCTCCATCTACTCTGGTGTAGGGAAAGGATATCAACGATAGGGTGGACTCTCAACCTGCGGTCGTCCGTGATTTGTCTTCTGGACACTCAGCTTGGAGGCGCGAGTAAGATGTACGACACATGCGAGCAGCCGAGCCGACCACTCCCGATCAGCCCTCACACGGCTGCGGGCGCGAAAGCCGCAGGATCGAGAAGGGTGGAGGCCGGAACGGAGGTGGCCACAGGCACAGGTACAAGCACGGGCATAGCAGCCAAGAAGGGCAAGATGGTCCCTTCGCCTTCGACGTGGGGTAGCATGTTGTTCAAACGAGGGAGCGCCGGAGAGCTGGAGCTCCCCCTGCCGGTGCAAGCGCAGATGCCAACGCTGCAGGTCGAGCCTGCATCTGCCGGCTCGTCGCAAATACGCACTCGATCACGGTCGCGGTCAAGATCCAAGTCTGGAGGGCGAGACGAGAAACAACACAATTCTGGCGACGACTGGCAGCCTGCTGCTAGTCGCTCGTCCGGCGGGCCCGCCAGTCTGAACAGACATGCGACCAGTCGCCGAAGCAGCCTCGACGCGCCAACTGTTTTCACGAATGGCAACAGCCATGGCCCGCCCGTCAGGCCCGCCAAGAGTACAAACGCTACGCACGTCGATGAGCTGCTCCTGCGGCCCACTGCGCCGGAGGGGGAGAGGGAACCAAGTTCCTCCAAGTGGAGCCTCGGTTCCTCGGCGTCCGCCACGTTCATCGCTTCATCCCCAAAGCGGATGACATCTCAGTTACCAGCGCACCCGCCCTCTTCAACAGCAGCAGCTGCTGCAACGGCACCGGGCAGCAGCAACAGCTTGATGTCGCCCCCCAAACCTCACACACTCTTGCATGAGAGCACAAGCCTCGTCACAGCGCCCGCAGCGCCGTACCCGTACCCGGATCCACCTAAAGGTAAAGGAGACGAGGATCTCGTGCTCGACTTGGACGGCTTGGATCTCGGACCTTACGGACTGGATCAGGGCCTCTCGCAGAGCTCCTGGCGCTCCTCTGCATCCACATCAGCCGCCACTGCACCAGGCGTCGCGCCGCCCGCGGCTGCGAGGAGCAAGAGGAATATGTTTGGCTTGAGCAGCAGCAGCAGCGTCAGCTCGCAAGGTGGCGCTGAAAGGGAGAAGGAGCGGGGAAGGGCGAGACAGACGGCGCTCTTTGGGGCGCAGCAGCTTCAGACGCCTCATGCCATGGGCGAAGACAGCTTCACCCAGCATTTGCGCGACCAGTGTCCGACATCCAGGGATTTTTTTACTCCGGCTGGCATGTTGCGGCTCGGGCCTGGAGGAAGTGGCGATGCCATCGCGCTCAGCAGTGGAGTATTAATAGGAGCGGGAACACGTGCAGGCGGTGATGGGCCGGTTTCCACCCTGTCGGAACCGGTCCTCGGCGGTTTCGCTAGCCTAGGTATCAGCGATCCGGACATCGAAACGGACGCGCTCATGTATGCGCGTGAGGCTAGTTTGATCCAACCCCAACTCCGGCAGCGTTGCTTGGAAGGGCAGATCCTCGGTACGAAGGAGCTCGAGCTACAAGGAGAAGCCGGTGGCCGAAGCGTTGGCGATGCCGATGGGCTGCAGGTCAATGGGATAGGTACCTTCCAAGCAACCGCCGCGGAGAAGGATCGCTCTTGCCGTCCTTCGATAGCACCGAGCCCGTGGGGGTTCCTCCAACCCAAGACAAGCAACCCGATAGAGACGCTCGACATCCTGTCGATCGAAGACATGGGCCTGCATTCGATCGATGTCGGCAGCGCCGAGGACTGGCAAGGGTGCGTGCTGCAGAACAGTTCACCCGCGCGCAACGCCGGCAGCTGGGCCGTGGCGCGGCACATGAAGGCTCGGCAGCAGAAGTGGATCGTTGCCCCCTCGTGCGCGCATCAGCAGAAGCAGCCGGTTGCGGACCAAGAACGCCTGCAGGAAGGCGAGTGCGATTGCGGAGGCGACTGCCTGTCGCGCACCGTCATCGTCTCGACCCAAAAGTGTGGAGCAGGCGACGATCTCAACTTCCGCAACGGCAGCAATGACACCGCGACAACTTCAGATCAAGCATCCGCAGCGATGGGGGAGCATCATAGGTCTACATTCTCGGGACAGCATACGTTCGAGCTGCGACTACTCAGCTCGTTGTTCACGGATCCGAGCCAGTTCTTTGTGCTCTCCTTCGCCGACGTGCCTGCGGCCCCCGATGTGGGCGCGATGCTATCTTCGGACGGATACAGCCTGCGAATGAGCCCCAGCGCCGGCGGCAAGTCGGTCAAGGCACAAGTAGCAAGTGTGGACTTTCTCGCCCCCGCCATTTTTACGCCCCACCAAGAGTTGCCAGACGCTGGTTCAGCACGCTCATCGAACACCGTCATGCGCGACCCTGAAAGCCGCCGGCCATCGCTCGGCAAGAGTGTCAGTCATGAGAGCGTTGGCGTGACGCCGCGTGCAACGGGCATCGGTATCGGCGGTGCGAGTAGTCTAGCGGCACATGCAATCGCCGCTCGTTCGAGCCTTCCCAACACGCCCTTGCAGAAGCCTATGCGCATGACCGGTCCATCCCCGCTGCCACCACCGCTGCCTGGCAATACGGACTCGAGCGATACAGCACCGACGTCAGCTTCACTGGAATGCTATGCTTTCCCTGAGAGCTTGAGTCGACCATCAACCCTGATCCCCGACCTCGTCTCGCCCAACGTGTCGCCGCGGATACCGCCCAGCCCGGTGCTGAGCAGCTCGATCGGATCCTCGGACGCGTCGCCGAAAGGCGGGCAAAAGCCTCTGCCAGAGCCTTTCTCGCCGCGACGTCGCACGATATCGCTCCTCCGCGAGCAGCAGTCGGATCTATCGCGCGAAGTACGGCTACGTGAATATTCCAATGCGACGGCAGAGTCCAGCTCGCAAGAGGAATCTGTCCAGACGCATCCTTCTGTGCAATCTCGAACGACTCTCTCGGATCTCCAGTGGAGCATGGGATCGCCGGTGCCGTCTACGGCCACAAGCTTGTATCGCGACATATTCGGCCTAGGCTCCTTCAGTACAACGCACTTGCCTGTTAAGAAGGGCAAAAGGGAGGCAAAATTCAAGATGTGGTTCAAGCGCAGGATCCTCCTTGGCGAAGATGGTGGGTCAGCACAGTCTACAGTAGACTTAGCTCGTGGAATAAGATGCTGTTTGCTTACTAGAGCCAACCCTTACGGATAATACAGATGGCCGCCTTGCTGACAATGCACGACTAGATTCCGGTCTATCAGATTACCACTCGCAGAGCGGACGGAGAGGGGATGGCGAGATGTCCACTTTTGGTCGACAAGGCGCTATAGAAAGTGCAAGGAAAGGTGATTGGTCAGCAGCAGCTACGGCCTCGTCAAAGTCGATGGACGATCTGGCACTACTGTTGGCTAGTCAAAGAGGGATCGTCTCTCCACTGCGTCAGCAGCCTCTGCGCATGGTGCCAGCGTCTACAGTCCCGCCGGCGGCGCATGCTCCGTCAGCACGACACGGTCTGGACTTTGACGATATTCGCAAGTCTGTCTTCAAGAGCTGGGGCATCCAGAGCGCAAGTGATCCGTCAAAGCTACAAGCCACGGCCACCAGTCGTGCTGGCTCGTACACTGGTGGGCTGCACCCTCTCAAAATGTTCTTGCCCATCCCACTTGCCAGCGGCTTGCCGGGCGGGCCGAAGAGGCTGCGCAAGCTCAAGGTGTCATTCATACCCTTTGCAAGCGAGTCGTCCATGCAAACACCAGAGACGACTGTCAAGCCGTCACACACATCAATGGGCAGTCGCTCGTCGCAATCATCAGCGAAATTGACACCTCATCTGGCAGGGAATGAGTTTGCAGCAATGCCACGCTCACCCGCAAGCCCACGTAGAGGTGGCTCTCGATGGCCCCACGAGGTATGCCGTGTGCCGAGCCGCAGCGTCAACATCGATGCGTTTCGCATCAACGCGCAGGTTTTACTGCCTCCGGGCGAGACGAGTTGCAAAGATGGTTCACTAACCGACGATGGGCTACCGGAGCCAATGTCCTTCCCGGTTGTACTTGCAGTCTGCGACTCGCAGCGCAATCTCGAGCTGTTCCCCGAGGGCTGGGCGGCCCTCGGCTTGGGCGGAGGCCCAATCGAAGCAGAGGCGAAGCCCGAAGAGCTGGCCACAAATCCCAAATTCGAATCGGTCCACCCCATGCTTGGTGTCACAGATTTAATCATCGCTGGCTGCGCGGCTATTATGGATCTTTAATCGTCTTGTACTAAGCAAAGTGTTGTACTGGATACTGAGGGCAAGTCACTTTTACGAAGTGATGCTTTTTCTGCTGCTACTATAATACATGAATACTCTCTCTCGTCTTTGCTGAAGCGCTCATCGTCGCCCGAGAGGTGCGGTATTTGTTCCTGTCATGAATGCCGGAGGTGGGCCAGCATATCCATTCGACGGGGGTGCTGGCGGCGCGAAGGCCTGTCCCTGCGCTTCAAACCCGGGCGGGAGGGGCATCGAGCCGGGCGGCGGTGGCGGCGGTGGCTGCATGCCCATTCCAGGCGCACCATAGACCGCGGCTTGTGGAACCCCAGGCGGCGGAGGTGGGGGTGGCGGAGCTCCAGCGAGAAAACCCCCTCCATACGGTGCCATACCTGGCGGAGGCGGTGGCGCAAAGCCAGGAGGCACACCGTATGCTCTTGACGCTGCCATGCCAAATCCCGGTGGAGGTGGCGGTGCCGCTGGCATCGCGTTGTTCTTTCGTGCCTGGGCGGCGAGAAGTCGCTCGGCCGCTGTGCCGTGCTTCTCCCCTCCCTTGCCATCCTTCTTCAGCGCAAAGTCGACACTGATCGGCTTGTTGAGCAAGTACTGGTTGTTCATAGACTCTATTGCGGCATCCGCAGCCTCAAACGAGTCGTATGAAACGAAGCCATACCCTTTTGAAACGCCCGTCGTAGGGTCTCGAGCGACCTGCATGAAGGGGGCGCAACCCACAGGGTAGTGAGCACAACAATATTTTAAATGTGATATACGCAAAGCTCACCTTGGGTATCCCAACGATGCTCCCGAACAAAATAAATGCGTCGTATAGATTTCGTTCGTCGACGTTCGCATCCAGATTCCCCATAAAGAGGTTGGCACCGATGTCGATCTGCTTGCGATCACTGCTGGCCTTGTTGACCCTCAGTGGCTTGCCAAAAAGCTTGATTCCGTTCATAATCTTGCACGCATAGTCTGCGTCTTGCTCGGTCTGGAATTCGGCAAAGCCGTAGCCCTGGTGTGATTGAGAAATACGGTCCTTAGGTAGGTGGACATTTACGATGGGTCCAGCTTGGAGCATCAGTTCCCAGATCAAGGTGTCGCTCGCCCGCTCATCGATGTTGCCGACATAGCAGGTCGCATCTTGGTTACGGTTTATCTCGGCTGGGGCACGAGACATCGTGCAAAGTCTTGAGGGCCTTGGGTGAGCCCGTCGGTGGGAAGAACCTACGTTTGGATGATGAGGCTTCTTGACGGTGTTGGCGCTGACGGCGTCGAGACTATCTTACAGTCTAGACCTGAATGCTAGACTATTGCGCAAGGGCGTGCATAAGTATTCGGGCAGTGAAACCCGGGTAATCGAAGGGTAGAAGCTATGGGGAAATACCTTGCCTGAGACCGTCAGCACTCGGTAGTCGTTAGTCAACTCTAAAGTGCTTGCCATCAGGTCATCTCGCCTTCTCAGCGGCAACACCTTTGATCGGCGATTTTTTATCCATCACAACAATCTCGGCGTCTTATTGATCTTGCTCTGGCCACTCACCATTTCGTTTCCACAAACCACAAAAGTCCCCTCGATGGCAATCAAATGAACGTCTCTATTTCCTTCCTCTTTGCGCTGTGAGTGAAGCTGACGGGACATTCTGCGCGGGGGGATTCTGTCACGGCAGAGATGGCGAACTGGGCCGCCATTGCGGGATGCTTGGCTGCGATTAGCAGGCCTGGCTTACTTCTGCCAGACATTGCCGTCAGAGGTGAGCCCCCTCGCACTCTGACCACCCCTTGCACTTTGCTGACAATGGCGCATACTCATAGACATAAGGGCGCTGGATTGGAGGGCTCTGTACAATTCTGGTGTACGAGGTGTTGTGTTTGACAAAGACAACTGCTTGGTGGGTTCTTGTCACTACAAGGTCCACCTTTCGTATGTGCTCATGGAGCGCTCTGATCCCAGCAGACGAAGCCCTTTCGCGGGCGACTTGTGCCCGAGCTCGAAGTCAGTGTTCTGCTAAAATATAAATGTGCGGGTCTTCACTTTCTGACATGCTAAAGCTTCGCTGCGCTGACAGGAGAGCTTTGCCCAATGTCAAGGCACGTTCGGAAAGTCGAATGTGCTTATCGTGTCTAACTCGGCTGGCTCCTATCAGGATCCACTTGGGATACGAGTGAGTACTTTCTCCTCTTGCGATACTCTAAATATTGTTAACACGCTTTTTCGCTTGCTTTCAGGCCGCAGAGGTGTCAGTCAACCTGGGAGGGACAGCCGTCTTGTATCACAAGGCCAAAAAACCCTCGATTCACTGCGCTCGCCAAGTCATCTCGTATTTCCATGAGCGCTCTGTTCTGGGCAGCATTCTGGTCGTCGGCGACCGCCCAACGACGGATGTCATTCTCAGTCATCGCATCAGCGACTCTCTTGCGAAACTTCGCCGGACCACGAACCAAAGCAAGCACCAACCCCCTGGGGGTTTGACGCTTTCGGCGGGTATGCAACTCTGTTCTGGGACGTCCGATCTTTCTTCCGAGAGCATGCACCGTGGCTATGCAAGAGGGGTCGCGGTGCTCACGACTGGTTTGTGGGAGAATGAAGGCAGGATCAACTCCCTGATTCGATGCCTGGAAAACGCCATCCTCCGCGTTCTCGTCCGGAGACGCCTTGAGCCGGGAGGTGGTTGGAGGCGCTCCGCGCCTAGGCCAGTCATGGAAGCTCTCTCCATTGATGGACCTTCAATAGGGTTTGTTGATGCTCATTCCTCCAGATGGCAGCTCATTGCGACAAGGCACAGTCAACCATCGCGACAGCATGGCAACGACACGCTGCCATCATCCGCAGAGGCGTCCGACGATCAGTTTCCCTTTTCCCATGCGGCAAAGCCGCACCAGGCAACCGATCCACAAGTCTCCGATTTGATTCGTACCTGTCTTCCGGCACTTTTCTCAGCAACTCAATTCCTCGCATCATGGCGCCCCATTTTGTGGGTAGACCGGAATTTTCGCGAGGGCGTGCGCATCGTCTGGCTTGGCCTCGTGGAGGGACTACTGCAGGCTGGAATTTGGAAACCTAGGCGGCCTAGCGATTTACCTGAGGATGGCAGCGACAATAGAAATGACGCTCGATTAGCGCCACGGACCATACAGCGCTCGCCAGATCTTCCGTTCTTTGCAAACACGACACGTAGGCCAACTTCTCTCTTGGCATCAGGCAGGGGCCACACTACGGTGTCGGACGTGTTCGACAGGCGGCTGTTCGCTACAATAGCGCGCAGGTCCTACTCATCCTCTCCCTCTCTGTCCTCTGGCCCTGGGCCGAGTGGCAACCAGAAGCAGAAAATCCGTGGGCGCGTGCCGCTCCGAAACTGGATTGCGGCATTGTCCGCACTTGTCATCGCTCCGACGGGCTACATGTTTGGTGCTTGGCTGCACGAGCTGCAAGAGGAGAAGGAAGCGGCTAAGGAAGCGGACTTGACCGCGGCAGCATCGTTGAAACCGGCAGATGAAGAGGCTAAACGAACAGGGAGCAGCGCCCGCCGTGAGGCCGAGGAAGCGAGACAAAGGTGAGGGGAAGCCGTGGGCAGGGGCAGCTCCCAATCGTCAGCCTGGAGCCTGACAACCTGTCTGACTTTGCTCAACCCTCCAAGCATCCTCTTGTCCAAATACCATCTGGAGCGGGAGAAGAGAGAATTGCGTGACAAGATTGCCAACCTGCAGGGCCGTCAGTCTCCATGAGCGCTAAAGCAGACCCCATGCGCTCTACGTCGGGCACCCCGCCTTCAACGGTGCAGGTGTACTTTCGGGTCGGCCATCTCCTCGGGCTCCTGCATGCGTGCAGGACTCGCTTTACGGATGCGGCCTCTGTGCGTCTTCGATCGGCGCATATTGAACGTGCCAACGGTGTACAAGGGTATGTAATGTAAGCGCCTCGTCGGTGTTCTCTAGCTGTGTGATGAGGAGGCCAATGAACTGTTTATGTAGATGAGCCCGAGTGGTTCGATAGGAAGGCGCGCACGTGACCGAGATGAGATGGCTTATCAATCATCTACGTTTTTGAAGATGACTCGGCTTTCACCCTTCGTTCTGCTCGTGTCACGGCGTGGCAGTCAATTCCGCACTCATCTGAAGGTTCTGTCTCAGACTCCAGGTTGGAGTCCATATGTTCTTCTGGATTCCTTGGAGGCATTGACACGCTGCGTCTCCCGCCAAAGTGCTTCCTGCCGCCGTTGGCTATCCTGGGATCAACCGGAACGCGTGAGATCGTCTCGCGAACCGAGAGCGGAGAGCACCGTGCATATTTCGCGAGCCCGCTTCTTTTACGCTCCTTTCAAACAACCACTGTGGCCGCTGCAAATGGTAGCGCCCATCCGAGCGCTGCGACCACTGCATTGCACCAATCCTCGTCGAATCAGCGGGTTTTTGGCTTCGGCTGCTGCAACTCCGCCTTTGACTCTGCGTTCGTTGCCTTTTGCAGTTGGCAGAAGAGGTCTGCGCTCGCTCGCCGAACTTGAAACCCTGTCTGACGCTCCAAAGCACACGACGCATCGGGCCAGCTCGTCAATCTCGTCAGCTATAGGCAACGGGAAGAACTCCGTGTCGCCCAGAATGGCTTCTTCATCCGCTTCGGCCAAAGCTGCTGCGGCCAATTCTATCATCCTGACTCTCTCTTGTCCCGACCAGCAAGGCATCGTGTACCGCGTGACTGGTTTCCTCGCGCAGCACAACATGAACATCCTCGACTCGGCGCAGTTCGGCGACCCGACGACACTGCGCTTTTTCATGCGCGTACATGCCAGTGGACTCATGGGCACCAGCGCCGATGCTGCGGCTCAGGCGTCGCCGGAGCGGCTCGACAGCCGTCTTGCACAGTTCCGAGCGGAGTTTGAGAAAAACTTGGCCAGCGAGCTGAAGATGGACTTCAATATTCAACGGGAAGACCAGAAGCCACGGACGCTGATCATGGTGTCGAAGATTGGCCGTGAGTGCTGACGTCTGCGAGTGGTATCTTCCGAGATTGAATTTTACGCGGTTCCCCTACGCAGACTGCCTAAATGATATCCTCTTCCGCATCTCGGCGGGCACGATGCCGATCCAAGTTCCGCTGATCGTATCAAACCACACAGAGTACGCGTCGCTCGCTGCGTCGCACAACATCCCATTCCACCACCTACCAATCGACGCGGCTAGCGGAAAGACCAAGGAGTGGCAAGAAGCCGAACTGATGAAGCTCGTAGCACAGTACGACATCCAACTCGTCGTCCTCGCGCGCTACATGCAGATCCTCTCGCCCGCGTTATGCTCGCACCTGTCTGGGCAGATCATCAACATCCACCACTCCTTCCTGCCCTCGTTCAAGGGTGCAAAGCCGTACCACCAGGCCTACGAGCGCGGCGTCAAGATCATCGGCGCCACCGCACACCTCGTCACTGCCGACCTGGATGAAGGGCCAATCATCGACCAGGATGTCGAGCGCGTCGGGCACGCTCACGCGCCGAGCGAGCTCGTCAAGATCGGCGCGGACATCGAAGCGCGCGTTCTCAGTCGCGCCGTCCGATGGATGGCAGAGAGACGCGTGCTTGCCAATGGCCAGAAGGTGCGTCCTTCCAAGGCACATAAAGTGGAGCTTTTTGATGCGTGACTGATGGATGCTTCTCTCTCTCGTCAAACCCCTTCCTGCAGACCGTCGTTTTCGCCTAAAGCCCCCTCCCTTCCACTTCCAATCACGACGTTTATAGCCTCAACCACAGCCAGTCCCCTGCAAGCTGCTCCGCCGCCTCCCTGTCGCATTTGTACTAGACTACGTGCATTTTCATCTACACTTGAATACTGTACTTTTATGCAAACACAAGGACAAAGTCGCGTTCAGTAGCTATATTTTTTGTGCGCCATCTTCCGAAGGAATGGGCCTATGGCTGGCTGCAGAAGGTCTGCTACGGCGTATTTGAATGGCGTGCAGATCCTCCCCGTCGTCCCGCGATCGACCGCGAGCATCATCCGTTCGGCAACTTGTAGGGGTGTGAGGATGTCGCTCTTGCCACCACTTGCGCTTTTTTGACCTTCTCCGCTGCCTTTGCTCCAGCTATCGTCCTTGATCCGGTCCAGTTCGCCAGCCGAAACGTCCACAGCGGATGCGCGGAAGTCGGATTTGATCGTTCCTGGACATATGCTTACGAAACGCACCAACGCGAGCTTCTTCTTGTTCCCCTTCGGAGGCGCCTCTCCAGCCCGCACACCTTGTGCTTGCGCCTCACACTCGAGCGCGACGCCTTCGAAAAGCAGCAGCTGCGCCGCTTTCGTCGCACCGTACAGTCCACGCGTCGGAGCAGGCATGAGGGCTGCCATGCTGCTTAGCAGGGCGATGCACGGATCTGAAGATATACTGGAAGATTGCATCACGGGGATGAACGTGGCAAGCGCCAGGGCTGTGGCGGTGAGATTCGCTTCGGTTGCTTTGGAAACAACAGAATGGACGTGGCTTAGCGCACTAGATGTGGGATGAGGCGAGCTTGCGGTGGCGGAAGATGATGCGAGTGGAGACAGAGGGTCGACAGACGCGATTCCAAGAAGCGGCTTGAGTGCTGATACGCCAAAGCAGATGTGCAGCGTATCAAGGCCGCCGAGTTCTGTGAATGCCAAAAGCACAGAATCGGTTCAGCACCAGTTCTCATGGCTCTTATTTTGCTTACTCACCCTTCAAGACTAGATCACGGACTTTCACCAGATCTTCCGCCTTGGTGCAATCTGCCTGCACGGTCCAATACCGCTCCTTTCCTTGGTTCTTCTCCCACCCAGGCCCCTGCTGCGACGTCCTCCATTCCTCGCACTTCTTGGCCGCATCTCTACACGATACCTTGACCTGCTCTAGCACCTCCTGCCTCCTAGCAACGAGAACGACGTCTCTGCATCCACGCGCGGCGTAGGCTTGTGCGAGCGTTGCGCCGACGCCCGACGATGCACCCAAAATCAGTACGCGTTCGCGATATGGGGGAATAACGTGCAGGCGTGGACGGGAGCGGAGGTAGAAAAGGAGGCCGAGAGGGGCGGCCAATATTAAGGCGGCGGATGTGGCAACAGTGGGAGAGAGGAGGAAGTTGGCCACATCGGCGAAGCGCTGGGACAGACCAGTAAAGGATGACGAAGTAGACATGGTGGAGGGGATTGCACGGCCACCGCTCGTTGTTCTGGGTTCGACTGAGCTCGGATGCGGGTGCGAGCAGCACTCGACGTGCAGCGACGGCAAGATTCAGGTGCAGCTGGCGGTGCTGGATTATGAGCTACTCACAGAGTCGATCTGGACGAGACGTGTCGTGAGACTCATTTCTATCGAGCTTCTAGCAATAGAGGCAGCAGACAGCGCGGGGACTGCGGATAGCCGAAGATGAGCATGTTGATGATGCAATGAGAGACCACGAGACCAGCTTAGGAACCCCCGCAGGGATGGTTACATAAGGCGGCTCTATTCGGTGCAATCACTCACCACAAAATCTCTCTACGCCAGAATTTTACGACCACAACCGTGATCCGTCGCTGTGCCCGGGATCAGGCAGGACATGCAACGTGCAAGTGCCTCGGATGGCATTTTGGTGTCGCCTTGAAGGTCAACGTGTAACATCGCATAGACTTGCTCGCTCGTACGTCCTCGATAGTGGCACTGTTGCTTCAGTGCTCAATCAAGACCGATCTCTCAAGGACCACAACGAACCACCATGCTCTCCGTCGACACCGAGTGAGTCTGCTCTGATGCCCCCTTTCCTACATCCCGCTCTTCCCTGGCTAACGCGCACGATTGTTGTGACGATGCTTCGTGAAATGAAGATTCGAGGCCCCGCCAGGCTTCCACCCTGCACTCTTCGAGGATGACTTGGATGACAGTCAGCAGTCGATGTCCTACCCACATATCGAATTATCCTCCGCCCGCTCGAAAGGGAAGTCTAAACAGATCTGGCTTGTCAAAGTCCCTCAAGGGTTGCATCCCGCCGATTTGGATGGCCTCAGCTTCCCCGTAGCATCATCGTCAAATTCTTCGTCTTCCGTCCCATTGACCTTTCTAGCAGGGCCCGAGAAGACGGCGTACGAGGTACGTGTTGCATCCAAGGACAAGGATGGCTCAACGGAAGAAGGTGCGGAAGAGCTGGCTGGTGCAAGGATCCTGCTACCGCACAGTGCAAAGGGACACGGGCGAATGTCTTTCGGTGAGCATCCTATCCTGCTGCTTTCCATTTTCCTATTCATGACTCATTCCATTGTCTGATTCGGTGATCATGAAGCCCCGAAAGAGCCTTCTCGCTTCCTTACAATCACGCTCGCACCGCCCGCCGGCGCGGCCTCCTCCTTCCCTGACACCGCCAATGAAAAGGCAAACGGATCTCTGACCTCTCTCGCTGCGCCACCCTCCGCAAGCTCCTCATCCAAGTCCAAGAATTCATCCACGGCTTCCGCCACACCAGCCCCCTTCCCCACGGAACGGGCCGCTCAAGAGCTGCAAGCTCAACAGACGCGCAGAGTCGCCAAGCGCGAACAGCCGTGGGAGCTGCTCACGGGCGACTTCAAGCCATCCGGCAGCTGCTCATCCACAGTGCAAGTAGATGAGGCGTGGCGGCGTACGCTTGCGGCTCCCTCTCCTGCGAACGTGTCGCGTTCGGCGATGGGCGACGGCGAATCGGAAGAGCGCGTCGAGTCTAGTCAACCGCTTCCGACGCGCAGCAGCAGCAACAATGCCCTTTATGGGCATGCGGCAGGCAGCAAGGGCATGCCTGATCCGAGTACGCTAACCATGGAGAAGAACCAGCAGGAGTATAAAAAGGAAGCGCCGGTGACTGCGGCCGACATGGAGGCTTCGAGCCCGGGGAAGAAGCGCAAGAAGAGCGGTGCTGATGCTGATGCCGAGGCGGATGTTGAAGCTCCGACTTTGAAAAAGGGGAAGAAGGTCAAAAAGGAGAAGGAGAAGAAGGAAAGTAAGCGGTGAGAAGTCATCTGTATTCCATGATGCACTGCCTGCCATTAGTATCTATCACACCTTGCATCGCTTCCGGTAGAACGGAGAGCACGCTGATCGCCGGAAGTGTGTCGATACAAGTGCGTTTACTAGTGTGTGCGATTGTATACAGATGTCAACAAGGTGAGGCGGTCAGGAACTATGGCGCGAAGCTCAAGTAATTGTGAGAGGCTCTAAGTGAAGATGCAGTTGCGAGCGGTCGAGAGTCCTGACAGATGGATAGCAACGAGGCACCGATCTTATCTCTCCGCAAGGAAAGTCCGCAAATCCCAAGGTGCACTCAGTCGTACCGAGGGCGACTGCAAAACAATCAGAGGAAAGAGTACGAAATCAGGATTAGAGCACATCAGCGTCGCATCAAGCCTCCGAAAATCTATTCAGTCAGCAGCGTTGGTGAGACTCCACTCACCTTGACGCTTTTGGCCCCTTTTTCACCTGTCCGCTCATCAGTGCAGTCGTATGTCCGGAGCCCGTTTCCGTGCAGCAGAGAAGCACCGGAAAGGGCGCTTCCTCCTGTGCCGCTGCCGCTGCTACTGCTGCTGCTCAGCTGCAGGGGTATCGCAACCTTGTCAGCATGAAGTTGCGACCAGACAAAAGTATTCTGTCGCGCCGCCGACTCGATCAGTGGTTGTGATGGGTGACCCGAATGGACTGTAAGTGTTAAAGGCATTAAAGACAAGAAGCATTGTAAATAAGACAGTCCCACTTGCACCCGATGCCCCTTACTGGTGCACTCACAAAGAATCGCGCTGTTGATCTGCTCGGCAAGCGCCATCCTGCGCCTTTGATCAAGGTACTTCCTCACTGGGCTCTTCTCCAGATCGCGATAGGCCAGCAGCACGCTAACGCTCTCGATCTCCTTCATGTACATCGCGCGTGAGTACGGGTTGGTCAGCTCCATGCATGTCGCATGCAGCGACTGGATGTAGCTCAGTGCGGCGTGATACACCGCATTCGACGCGGCTGAGCCTGCTCCAGACGCTGCCGATCCAGCAGAAGAGGCGGACGACGGAGCGGGGGAAGCCGCACGAGAGACAGTGGCTGCTGTCATTAAGCCTGGATGCGTGGGGTGTTGTTCGGCCAGTGGGGAGGATGCTGCTCCTTGCTGTTGTTGATGCTGCTGCTCTCGTTGCTGCGCCGAGTTAGCTGAATTTGCTGCGCGCACAGACTCGATGAACTCTTGGATCTGCAGGTTGAGCGACAGGTGTGCTGGATCCAACGAGGTCGGATTCGCAGGCAAGAGGCGTGTCGACGATCCATTTTCTTTCGAAGCTGATGACTTCCTCGCGTCGTGGCTGGACGAGCTTCGGTATTTGCTGCGGTCAGTCGGGACCAACAGAGATCGGTTTTCGGCCTCGGCACCGTCTGCCTCTTTTCCAGGCCGTGAAGAAGCGCTCTTGGTGCTGCTGGCGAGGACGCCGGGGAAGTGCGTGTTGCAGCAATCTACTGCTGCCCGAATGCGACCTGCGAGAATGTGATCGCGCACCTCTGAAGATTTAAGATTATGACATGTGTAAGTATGAAAGGATTTGGGGGAAAATGGGCAGAGAGGCCCAGCTGCGTGCTCACCTCTGCGTAGCAGTACAGCGAATATTTCCTCCGGTGGAAGATCGGTCTCACCAGCACTCCCTCGGACTCTAAAGTTTTCCTTCGCCTCCGAAAACTTGCCCTTCTCAGACCCAGTTGCTCTGCGTGATGCTGGCTGAGCTGACCCATTCGCATCGCTCATGTGCGCGTCATCGTCATCCTCGTTGCCCGTGACGCTGCCCTTTGTCGTCATCTCTTCGTCTTCTCGACTGTTCGTGGCGGTCTCCGCCTTGGTTTCCATCGCTGAGTCTTCTCGAATCAGTGGTGGTGCGGAGAGAGGGTGTAGACTGCCGTTCGCACCACGTCGGCTTGACGTGGCATTTCCATTGGCGGCGACGTTCTGGCCGCGCCCGTTCGCGACGAACCCGTTTGTGCCTGCCTTGTTGCTACTCAAGCCTGGAGCTGACAATGATGCTAGGGCTCTTGCTGTGCCCATACTGCTTCCAGAAGCAGTGATGGGCGGGTAGCCGCAGCTTCCGCTGCCGCTAGACACGCCATCCTGCGCAAAAGCGATCGCGGTCCCGACGTAGCAATGATGCACGAGATAGTTGAGCACGAGCCTTCGCAGCGAGGATGGAGAGATGAGTTCACTGTCTGCTGCATTATCTGTGCTACCAGCACCGGAAGCAGATCGCCCTGGCAGAAGTAACGAGTGATGTTTGCCAGACTCGCCCGGGGGTGGCGGTGGGGGTGGCATCGCGTGGGTGGGGTGGTGCAGCTGAGCTTATGACCTCGACGATGTGGTGACAGCGGAAGTGACGATTAGGATGTGAGGCGCGGCTCTGAGCTAATCAATGCGCTTGAGTACCCGTCCTTGTGAGATTTTGTCACTTAGATGAGCGAGGGATCAGCGGTGTACGCGGTGGTCAAGGCCTCCTGTTTCGTTGCAAGCATCCTGCATGGCGATGGTTGAGCTTGGGATGGGTTATAGAGCTTTTGTTGATAGAGGATGATGAGTGCACGATATGGAAGAGTGCTGTGGTGCACCCAGACTGAACGCTCGCATTGATGCTGGCGTCGCGGGTAACCATCGTCCCCAGAGGATGCATATATATTAGGGTTATCGCAGAACGAGTTGCGAAGTGGTACTACGTTAAATGTATGCTACTTTGAAGCCTGCGCCTCGCTCTCTCCTTTCTCCGCAGCAGCCAGAAAAGCAGAATGCGCAGATCGCAGGAGCGATGCTCGGCGTTAACTCTTTCCTCCTGTTGCCGACGTCGGCCTGCCCCTGGAGATGTTGGCGGCGACGAAGGGGTACGAATCACGTCTCGACATGCATCATACGTCCATTATTTATCGTTGCAAAATGTCGACATGCACTATGCATAATGAGGAGATGATTTTGCTGCGCAACGCGTCGGCCGGTTGTCCTCTTCGCATGGCTGCGGAGCCGATGACATGATCAACTGTGAGCAGCAGAGAAGCCCTCAAGAAATGCACCACGGCCCGAGTCACCCCAAGGCGACTCCCCGTGTCGATGGTAATCTGCAATCCTCTGGTCGAATCAAGACCTGTATCGATGAAGTGCTCTTGGAGCGATGTGCGTATGATACAGAAATGAGTTATGGTTTCTGATACCTATGAGGGGTATGTGTGAACATGTTGTAAGCTGTTCTCTGAATCCCTACACTGAAATAAATGTGAGGTTCGTTTCTCTCTCTCGCGCGCGGCTCTTACGGCTGGTCCGGAACGCCATCATTATGGCATCGTCAAGTTTGCCACGGCGGCCCTGCCGCAGTCGCTCGCCCAAACTTCGGAGCCCACATTGCTCAGGCCCGAGATGACGCAGTGCTTCATTAAGAAGGTTGCCGCGTCGACTGTCGGCTAAATCGATGCCAGCCCCGAGGTGGCGAGGCTTTTGTAGCCAGGGTAGCTGCTAAATTCCTTGTTCGTACTCATGCCCACGTTGAGAGAAGCCCAGGAGCCGTAGTATTTGTCCCCTCTGTCGATGCCACCTTGGGCAAGTGCGCTGAACGTCTCATCACCCCAGTGGTAACACCATTGGACGCACAATGAGGCGAGAAGTGATGTTGCGCAGTTCAGTGCCGTGTGGTCCAAATAGCTGCTGAGCGCATGAAGGGAAGAAAATACACAATGTACGTGTTTATGTCGCTGGTCATGAACGTGCACCGGATGCCGGCGCAACTGCATCTCCGCCTAAGTCCCAAATGTGAGTTGCACTGGCCCGGGCTAGATTAACGGAAGGATTGTACCACGCATTAGTCATACCGTCAGACATTTTTGGAGTGTCGGTCACGTCGTAGAAGTTTGGCGCAATCAGCAAGCTCTCGCTTCCATTGATCACATTGGGCTACAGCGAAGGAAACATGCCGCCCATGTCTCGCCCAGCACACCGTGCGTCATGATGAGTACTATCTCTGCTGTTGAAGGATGTGAGTCCGTCGGCCAAGAGTGAACGGTATGGGATCGCAGCCGTTGTGCCTGCACGGGCTGGTACTGGACCAGGTTTGCACCAGCAGGCGATTTCAGGTAGTTCCGCGACGTCGGTATTCGAGAGCTTGGGAAGCGAACTGTAGAGCTGGAGACGCTTCGTGCCACCAAAGGCCGCGGTGATGTCACGACTGCAGGCAGAGCTGCAGCCGGATATCGCGCGAGACGGGGTGCCGGCGAGTGAAGTGCCGCAATCTGCAGAGAGGCAGTACTCGCAGTTCAGCACAGCTATGACGGGCAGCAATCGCCAATATGTCACTCACAGCAAAAGAGTTCCCGCTTTGACGCCCGCAATCTGATAGTCTTGCGCCCTACGGGCAGAGACGCAGCTGCGCACCGTATTTATGGTATCATCGTTGGTCACAGAGCCCCAGAGGACTTTTGTCTTGGAAGTGTCCGCGTAGCAGCCTGCGTAAGAGTAGCCATTCGATGACGGAAGAATGTTGGTAGATGCAAAAGCCGCTGTCATGGTTGTTGTAGCTGCAGTTAAAGCTGACATTGTATTCGTACGTGGGCTTGTACTTGCACGTGGACCTGCGCGTGGAGCTGACACGGGAATTGCACTGATCCTGGCAGACTTGGACGTGGACGACATGAGCGTAGAGACGGTGATCTTGTACATATAGACCTGGTAGGTGCCTCCACTCTTTTGAAACGAGTTCCCTCAACAGATTTGCTAGCAAGTCTTCAAGCTCGTCAGGCGAGTTGCGCTAGGCCAAATTGACTCTCCCCCAAAGCATTGATTATGGAGAGCGCGATAGTATTCACAGGTCAGAATAACTCCTTTTGGCGGACAAACGCGAATGCGCACCGCTCACCATCGACTTGACACCAGTGTAAAGGTAGCCGCCATTTGCGCACATCGATTGAAGACGCTCCCCCGTGTTGGAAGAGCTCAGATACGCCGCAGGGTTCAGTGTCCAGGCGCTCGTCGAGTCTGCAACCGACTGCAGTGCCTTTGCTGACCTTGGTGGCGAATGGCCCGATGATGCTGCTCGCCACTCAGCTGACGCCGATACCCACTAGAGCAGATTGACCGCCGGTTATCAAGGGCAAGACAGGAAGCAGGATCAGACGCATGTTGCTAGATCGTTCACAGACGTGGCGAACCTTCCTGAGTGAGATTGCCAATGCAAGGTGAAGGGGACTCAAGGCCCAAGATGATGCAAGCTCAACCATAATCTGAGTCTTGCTAATAAGTACAATGTCAGTGCAAAGCCGAAATAAAGCGTCATTCTCATATCACCCAGACAATGCATGAGATCAAGTTGTGCATACAAGGGAGGACGGCGGATAACTGTGAAGGGGGTCTGGTCGGGGAGTGTGAGCCTAGATGGAATAGGTGAATGCTTTGGAGTCTTAGAGGTATCCGCAGGAGGGAGTGTCAATGGTCGAACCCGAGAGCCAGCACATGTCGAGAACCCTCTAGCTGCGTATGTATGTACGAATCACGAAAGCCTTCAAGGCGCAGGGAGCAAGGCTCAGCTGGCCTCAGCCTCTCAGCCTCCGCCTGCCTCGGTCGTCGAGAGACCAGAATGCTTCGCGTCGTCCATCTTCGGGGTTCGGAAGATTGAAAGTGTGATGATGGGTGGGGGCAGGGTGACGCAAAGAGGTTGTCATGGTTGCACTGCAAGTGTTCGAAGTGAGGAACCGAAGAAGCAAACACAGGAGCGACTAGAAATACGGCTGATGCGCTGAAGTGTGTACGAAAATATCGGACACAAGATGAATAGATAAAGTCCGGAAGGGCACGCCTCTTCCGGCCGCCGGGGCTGATCGTGAGCCCTATTGATCGTCGCACACTCTCCAGATCCAGACGCCAGCCTTTGCCATGCTCCAACGCTGTGAAGAAGAAAGAGGGAGGATTTGGGAGCCGCAAAGGGAGCCGCAAAGGAAGCCACCATTGCGACACATCACCTTCTTCATTGGCGCGACCTGCCTCGTCCTCTGCTTGGAGCTGTCTTCATACTTTTTGCTGTAATTTCTGGGCGGCCGTTCGTTGTTGACAAGGCCGCTACGCGCGACCGTGTGCTTGGGATCTGGTTGAACAATGATTAAACAGAGATCACGAGTGAGGGCTGTGGCGTATTCGTTGGGTTCAAGGTTCTCCAGAACTGGAAGCACCTTGCTTCGAGGGAGCTGCGATAGTTAAGCAATGATCACTGCCTAGGGTTCGCTTGAAACCGTGTCAACTTCCATAACGAGGCCTTGATGGCCAGTAAGACCGTCCAAATCCTGAAGATAGGGAATTTTCCGCGATTGATGGATGGATTGTGGCTTGGAAATAGGCATCTCCTGCCGATCGAACTGGAGCTGCACTGGATGTAGGCACGGGGGATCGGAAGTTAGCCAACATCAAAATGTCTTGTTTGAATATGGCATTGACTCTGAGAAGCAGAATTGGCTGTCCCAAGTAAAGAGGCGGGAACACTAGCGAAATCTTCATTCTGGTCATGATGGAGCAACTCTTCCTTCAGAGAGTATATATTCAAGGAGAGCCACGATAGGTCGTCCTTGAGACGAAAGACATTCGTTAGATGAGACACCATTTCCTGCTTCAGCTCAAGGATGCACCTGAATCTAAATAGATGAATCTGCAAAGCTGATCAGTACAGCCTATGAGCCCGTGTCATGGCGTCAACGAGCGTCCACGTCCCAAGGTAGTGACAATGTCGAGCCTCGGAACCCCTGTGGAAAGCTAGACCTTGACAGACTTGCGGCATTGGTATCAATGAATAGGACGAATAATCAACAATACTCGCGTCCGTGCCAGATTTTCTGAGGACGTTCTTGCCAAGCCGTCCATATCGCATGCGTACAAGAAAGGGATTCCGTAGAATGTGAAGGGGAACATGAGCGATGTGCAGCTTGTACGAGGTGAAGGCAGTGAGGTTAAGTGGAGCCAAAAAAAGTTCCCAGTTTGCTGGAGGCGCACTGAGGCGCCACCAAGAATCCACGCAGAACGGACTTGAAGCCCTTTTTAAAGTGCCAGAGGGGCGCCACCCAAACCCTATATGGTGTGTAAAGCAACAGCCGAAAAAGTCACCGATGGGAAGTTGTGTAGCCGCTGTTCAGTCTTGTCCAGGTTGTCGATTGTCTCCACTGGCCACAGCACACCACTATTTGATGTGTTGCATCGACTGCAAATAATTCCCAGAGGGTTGAGTCGGAATCAAATGGGAACGCCATAGATGCACATCCGCTGCTTCTCATTATTATCATGGAGGATCCAACTAAGAATCTCCAACGCCAGCATCGGAATTTCTGGTCCTGGCTCGCCACGAATGGCGTGAAGGTGAACGATGCGTTTTTGCCGGGCTCAGGTGAGCCTCGAATGGAGAATAACAACCAAATGCAATGGATGTTGAATTGTCTGTGGAATCGACGGCAGACGATCGAACTGGTCCCGGTGTATTTACATCGCGAAACCTCAAGGCAGATGTATTGGCCGTCCAAGTCCCTGCCGCTCTTGTCATCAGCTCGGTGCAAGCACGGCAAGCGCTCGAGGATTTTGCGCAGCTCACGAGCGCTGCGGAAGCCAAGACACGGAAAGAAGAGCTCGCAGAGTTTTCGCAGCATGATATTGTGGTATTCTACCTTTTCCTCGCACGCAAGTTCGTCTCCATGCAGGATAACATCGAGGCTGGCAGCTCAAGCAACGCAAGCATCTCACTTTCCGTGTTGCGTCATGCAGAATATGTGCGCATGATCCCAGATCGCATCAGCACTCCACTGCATTATCGGCCGGCCGAGCTTGGACTGCTACGTGGAACGCCACTCTACTCGGCCACTGTTGAACGCAGGGCGACCACACGCCGCGCGTGCCGACAGGCGCTTGCCTGGCTCGCAAGCTTGTCTTGGCCCAGTGCCAGGTCTGAGCCACTTTTACGGCTGACAGGTCCGATGCACTCGTGGACTTTGGAGAGCATCAAGGACCTGGATGAAGACGCGTTGGACGAAGCGCTTCGGGAACCGGAAGATGAGCCATCAGCTCTCCAGCTTTGGCGGTGGGCAGAGTCCGCCTACGGTTCGCGCGCTTTTCCTCCGAACCTTGCCTACCCGCGCGCTCGGAATCCAATCATCTTACGCGGAAGATGCTGGCGAGGAAGCGAGCTTGGTCCAATCTTGATCCCAGGGCTCGACTCGATCAATCATGGACGCGGCTGGAAAGTGACCTGGGAGGCCAAACGTGGCGGCGGTGACGAGGCCGAGGCCGGGTCAAGCGGTTCTCCGCTTAAGCTGGACTTGCCGGATCCATCGGACGTGATATTCCTCACGTTGCACTACGACTTGGAAGCCGGCACACAAGTCTTCAACAACTATGGAGCAAAGAGCAACGAAGAGTTTCTAGGATCATATGGCTTCGTAATGGAGGGTGGGCCCGATGATTCAGTCTCACTGGTCGTCGGCGGTGGCGGCAGCGGCAGAAGCGACAGGCCCGACGGCGCTTCGCGACGCAGGTGCTACTGGACAAGGAACACTCGAGGCGTCCCAGATGACCTCTTCGATGTGATAGTCTCGCTTCTTGGTATACAAGTGGAGAGCGAAGCCGTCGCTGTCGCGCCAACGGAGTCGTGCGATGACACGGAGCAAGTACGACGTCGTCAGGCTGTACGCAGCGACCCCGAAGTCCAGCTCGAGGTTAACGCGACGCTGGCGAATATGTTCGAGCAGAAGCTCGCTACCTTGCAGCAGTACCTACGATCGAGAGACGTGCTTCCTGCCTCCAGCAAGCGCGAGGCAAGAACGCACATTGTCGAGATGATCGACACATATGTACAAGGTGAGCGCCTAACCTCGGTGCACACAGTGCAATAAGCGAGGGCTCCAAAATGCTGAATCCATGGATCATGTTGCATTTGCTCGCGTAGGACAGCTCGAGATCCTACAATCAGCACTGGCGATTACGTCTGCCAGAGCGGATCAGCTCTCAGAGGAGTTAGACGGTATCTGAACCCATGCAACGATCTGCCTACATTACAGGTGGGCCGATATATACGAGCAGCTACGAAGAGCCAAAAGTCATGGAGGCACGCAATGACGTATACAAAAGCGATGCCTCGGCAGGCTATGGATGTGAGGCGGGCCCTCGGCAGTGAGTTGACGGGCGCAACGCAACTGCGCAACATGCAGGCCTTCACTCAGTCTTCGGCGCGCTCAGACCTAATGGCGCTGTTCCGGCTGCGTAACTACACTGTCCTAGGCGCTTTGCTCTGCGATCTTTATGTTGTTGGCATCTGTCGCTGGGCATCATTTATGGAGGTGTAGGACGAATACAATTGATCGAAATGGAGTCTTCGCCCTGCAGCACTTGCAGCCTCCGGTACATTTCGGGTTCCCCAAGAGAGGCTTCTGTTTAGTTCCACTTGGCCCTACCGAGTTTGCGTTGCAGACCAAAAGAACCGAAATGAAACCCCCATGGCGCCTTGGCGGGCCTCATCTGATCTGGCTCCACGGGTTTTACTTGATTTCCGACCCAGTCTCATAGACACACCCTGTCAGACTCTTGGACTTTCGGCGAGGCGTGCAGTGCGTCGGTGTAATTCACAGTTGAACGTAATGCGTAGTGCGACGGACGCTGCGATAACTCAAAGCGATCTCGCTCGACCCTCCCGGACACGTGGATGAGGGCGGTGAGGAAAGGGAGACAATGGATGTGAGGAACTCAACTCTTTTCGTCCTTTGACTTTCCACGAGGCGACGATCAGCATGTCCGTCGGTCGGCCCGACTGGACGGTTGGAGGTGCGACCTCTGCCTTGACTATTCTCCCAAGCCGACTGTCTCAGTGCACACATCGATGAAATGAGTTCACACAGCCTTTCAACAGTCCACACTGCGCACGCCAGCAGCGCCGGCTAAGCTGCTGCAGGCCGTCATCCGCTGATCATTGCTGCCGCCTGCTGCAGCCATCTATCCATGCATTCAATAGCTCCAGTCAAGTCACAACCTCTGTCCCAAGTTTCAGTACAAATTGCCCCAGTGCCTTACATTGGTTGAGGGGGGGGAATTGCCCCAGCGAAAAAAGAAATAGGAGCACTCTCGAACGCCTGCTCTAGTTGTACATACCGAGTACAGACGCCCATCGCGCCGCTGCGCGATGGGGAACTCCAGACAGTAGTAGGGCACAGTCACCCCCAAACAAGACAAGTATCTTTATTTAATTATTATTGTCCGATTTTGCTTTTCAATGGTGGGCTGCTGCATTGTGCTGCCGAGTGCGCTTGTTTCCTAGGAAGAGGCTTCTGTTTTCTACATGAAAAATCCATTCGTTGCAGATCGTCCTCGCCAGTGCCAGCTGGGCCCCCTCGTTTTTGCAAACAGGCCAGGAGCCGCGTGCGATACATTGTAGCTGGAGGCGCGCGATCACACCACGGTGCACGAGGCAGCATTTTTGACTGGGGCACTCTCATGTGCAACTTATGCTTGGATCGTGACTCGGCCTGCGCCTGGCACGGGCCTGGCTCAGCCATCTTAGAGTCGGTATTATCTGACTAGGCGCAAACAAGTGCTCTAGTGGCGGGTGTCCATGCTTCAACAAACTCAAGCTCCAGCGCGGGCAGAGTGCGGAGGCAGCAGAGGAGAGGGAGAGCGAATACCTCCTCGCTGCCACGCATTTCCCAGGGAACACACTGACACCCGGGGCCCTCAGCTCTTCATATCCCGTCTCGAGCAGGCCAGGCATCTCTGTATCGATTCGATGCATACAAGGTGCTGTAACAAGCACATTAACGACACACCAGCGTCTTGCAAACCGCATAAGGACACCATATGAAGCAGGCTCTGGACGGCAATCCTTAGCTCACCTTGCGCTCACTTGTGTGCGCTTGCTGTGCCAAATCGGTCGACTTGTCGACCGCACCCGACGCCGTCCGTAGACTATCGCGGTGAGACTGCATCGGACGCTCATCAACTCAACGCGCGCGCTCTCCATCCCACACGACGGACCCGGGCTGCTGCTTTACCCTTCTGCGACCAGCTCCGCGCTTCGAGCAGTCCAGCAACGATTCCGCTGCTCACGTTGATCAGCTTCTGCACTAGAGCATCTTCAACCTCTTCAGCACACCCGTCCGCAAACGCGGCTTCTAGCGTGTACTTCTGGTTTCTTCGAGCGAGCGACATTGCACCTGCTCAAACGGCCTAGCCCCAGCCCTGGGAGATACACGCATACATAGCTTGCGCGACTGCCATTCGAGCGTCTCGCATCGCTACCTCCCTCTCATACCCTCTTAGGATTGGGTAGTAAGGAGAAGGAGACGAAGTAAAGGGGACAGCCCAGCAAACGGGTCTCAGGAGGTCAGAAGTCATTCCGTAAAGACCATCATGTCTTCTTCACACACTGCCCACGGCAGTTCAAGCTCTTCCAATGTCGTCGGTGTGCACTACCGAGTAGGCAAGAAGATCGTGAGTGCAGGTTACCCTTCTATTCATGCGCCATGTTTGCACATCTCGACCGAGGCTGATGAGCTAGTCGCATCTCTCGTTGTCAGGGCGAGGGATCGTTCGGCGTCATCTTCGAGGGCACTAACTTGCTCAATAGCCAGACTGTTGCTATCAAATTCGTGGGTATCCATCATCGTATCGCACACCCGCCTTCCGATGAAATCATCGAATGTCTGACTTGGGAACTTGGCACATGCGCTTTTAACTTCACCTGACGTAGGAACCTCGAAAAAGCGATGCACCACAACTGAGGGATGAATACAGGACATACAAGATACTTGCTGGCTGCCGTGAGTCCGAAAGCGGCAGTCTTTGACCTCTTGCATCGAGCAACGCTTCCTCAACGTTTGCGCACGAAGCTTCGCTGCTGATGTCTCTCTGCTTTTGCTTTGGCCCCCTCTGTGCGTACCTGATCCCTATGGTGCCTTCTGCAGATGGCGTTCCGCAGGTGTACTACTTTGGCCAGGAGGGCCTGCACAACATTCTGGTCATCGACCTCCTCGGACCGTCGCTGGAAGATCTGTTTGACATGTGCGGGAGAAAGTTTAGCATCAAGACTGTCGTCATGACTGCCAAGCAAATGGTGCGTCCAGGGTCTTCTCCCTTGGCCTGCTCTCCGTTGAGAGAGAGGCAAAATGCTGAGTCTTTTTTTTTTCTTTTGCACCACCAGATCACCCGCGTGCAAACGATCCACGAAAAGAACCTCATCTACCGCGATATCAAGCCAGACAACTTCCTTATTGGCCGGCCAATGACCAAGGGCGCGAACACGGTCCATGTCGTTGACTTCGGCATGGCAAAGCAGTACAGAGATCCAAAGACGAAGCAGCATATCCCGTACAGGGAGAGGAAGAGTCTCAGCGGCACGGCGAGGTACATGAGTATCAATACTCACTTAGGCAGGGGTGAGTGTATGCTGGGTGTGAATCTGTACGTGCCGAGTTGACATAAGCTCACCCTGCCCGATCATCTCCTTTGCTCGCCCCTACGTTCGCAGAGCAATCGCGGCGAGACGACTTGGAAGCGCTGGGCCATGTCTTCATGTATTTCCTTCGCGGCGGGCTTCCGTGGCAGGGGCTGAAGGCTGCGACAAACAAGCAGAAATACGAAAAGATCGGGGAGAAGAAGCAGAGCACGCCGATCAAGGAGCTATGCGAAGGATTCCCAGAAGAGTTTGGCATTTACCTCAACTATGTCCGCAAGCTTGGGTTCGAGGAGACACCTGACTACGACTTCCTGCGCGAGCTCTTCACCAAGGTTCTCAAATCCTCCGGCGAGCTCGACGACGGCGTGTATGACTGGATGATGCTCAACGGCGGCAAAGGCTGGGAGGCCGGAACGCACAAGGACCGCAGAGACGACCGCGAGCAGCGCCGACATGATCCACGCGCTTCCCAGCTCGTCCACCACGGCGCTGGTGCGGCAGCTGGCGCAGGTGGCACCGCAGACCAGCGACAGCAGCTTCATCCGACACAGGTGCAGGCCGGCGTCAGCGTGCAGCCCTCATCATCACAGCGCAAGTCCGCTGTCCCGCCGCTTGTCAGCGGCGAGGGTGCACGCGCAGGTGGTGGTGCAGGCGGCGTAGGCGCCACATCGGCATCGGCGGCGGTACAGCAGCAGTTTCGCGCAAGCCATGGCGACCTCGCGCACGCTGCTTCCTACGGTAACGGCACTGGTGGCGGAGCAGCTGCGAGCAACATTGCCCTGCACGACACGACGATCACCGGCTTGCCCAGCCTGAGCCCCGGTGCACGCGAGCACAGTCACCACCGTGGCGCCGGCGCACTGACACCGAACGGCGTTGGCGGGATGAGCGGGATGCAGCAGAGCAGCACTGGCGGCATCGAAGGCGGCCGGCGAATCGACGGCCGCGGACCTGTCAGCGCAGTCGGTATGAATGGCGAGACTGGCGGCGTGTCGCACCCGGCGGAACGCGCTGGATTCGGCACCAAACTCCTCCGCGTGCTCACGTGCCGGTGCGGTTGACGTGCGGGATGCTGTCGTTACACGTGTATCGTCATCGACATCGTCCGGTCCAGCTGCGGTTGCATGTAGGGCTGGGATGAGGAAAGGGGTGCAGAGTAGGGGCAGGCGGAAGTAAGGAGTCACCCCACGAGACGAGCAGCTGCGAAGCAGGACGATGAATGGTGTCCTTTCCCGTCCCACCCCTCCTTCAGGTTCCAATTCGAGCGATATCCCCGGCATGTGGGCTAGCATCATTCGTCATCGCTCCCTGCAGCACGGACACTATCCACTTATTCGACTCAGCATTCCCGTCTCTTCATGCAGACAGTCGCATCCAAGGAAATAACTCCGGAAATGCCACAACACACCGCAATGCACACGAGAGATCAAGGTCAAGATCGACCTCAGACACTCGTAAACTCACACGTCCCCGCACCATACATCGAATCCACCACCATTATCATTCACCAGCCAGCAAACAAGCTGCCTTAGGTTCGTGCTAAAATCGCAATCACGTCACGGGCATCTACCTCCACCGCTGTCTCAAGAAATCAATCATCCAGTCAACTAAACCGACCCTCAACCGCTCGACTTGAGCCCCTCCCTTATCTCGATCTTCCGTCCAACCTCGTTGGCGGTTGAACCTTTCCCCTTGTTTTCTTGTCTTGTGTTCACTCCGCTTCGAAAGTTGCGCTTGGCGCACCATCGTCATCTGAGGTGCATTGTGCGCGCACAATGAGGCGATCTACGTTGCTGCACACAGTGGTCCCCTTTTGGCCATGGCCCCTTCCCTCGCTTCTTGGCGCATTGAATACCAAGTTCTTACTACAATATGATCTACATTCTTTAGTCCCACTCTCACTCTCACTTTCTCCTTCGCTGAGCCCTGACTGCTGGTGCTTAAACATCATGTGAGGCTCCCCGATCGATGGGGCATGACATTGCAGTGTTGTACCGAAGTAGACAGAGCATGCGGAAGTGTGATGCGAGCGGTGATTTAGTCATGGACAGTACAAAATACAGCGAGACTTGAAGTGCAACGGGTGAAATCCTACAGCGAAAGGAAGCAAACGAGAAAAGATCATATTAGTCTATGCTCGGCCAACCAGGCCAAGGGATCATCCTGCATCAGCTTGTCCCTCAATTCCCTCCCGTCCCTTCTATTCCCGTCACGCCCTGAGCATGCGAGTGATCGCAGCTCGAACGACGTGCGATGCCATACCGTGATATCGAAGTGGGACAGCTCAGAGTTGAATGTTTGTTTGGCTATATTCGATTGGTCGATCAGCAAAGGTGCAACCGGAGTTGCATTGCAGTTTGGGGCGACACGTTTGTCTCATCAATGCCAATGTCCCTCCTCTCGTCTTTCCGGACGTTCCCATGGGATATCCTATCATCGCAATGCAGTCGAGACGATCTACTCACAGATGAAGCTAGCGAGCCTTGCAAAAGCTGGGAAAGCCTCGTCAAGAGAGTGATCAGTATTATGACATTGAAAAGAAGCGAATTTATGAAGAGGATGTACGCATGAACCTCCATCAGTCGCCAAGAACACACCGAAGTGACCCCAGACGAAGACCCAAGCTACCGCAGCACAATGAAGTACTTCCCGAGGCCCAGTCGTATCATGGGCCGGCGCTCGAGAGCGCAGCAGCCTCCGACCAGAAAAAAGGAGACTCGGTCTCGCCCAAAGGGCAGCGGCAGCGAGGGCCAAAGCTGATTACGGAGAGGCATGCTTTGACCTGCTAGCAGGAATAGGAGTCAATCTTGAAGACGGGAACGCGAAACTGGAACGGAGGAAAATTACTGGTCCACGTGGGGACCTCCAGAGTCGAACTTTTGTGTCTGTAGCAGGGCGGCCACCAAGGTGAGGTGCAAGGAAGATCAGTATGGATTCATTTCACATGAACTCGGCATAGCAAACGTCATGTTGGCAAGTGCGACTATTGCGGTAGCTAGCTCACCTTCGTAAAAATTTGTTCGAGGAAAGGAAGGAAAGGAAAAAAGCGAAAGAAGCTTTGTCATATATATGCCGACGGAGACAAGAGACAGGCAGAAGGCTGCAGCATAGTGGAGGCTGCACTGAGATTATCGCGGGACTCGGAAGTGAGGACTGCTGATTGTAGAAATTGAAGTGGCTTAAGAACCAGAATCACGTGACCCACCAGAGACATTTACGCGACGCGTCTGTTTTATCAGGCGCGGGGGGTATGGCACGGAGTTGGTTAGAGCAACAGTGTCATTTTCCATGTCTGGGGATTCGTCCAACTCTTCGCCGCTTTCGTCCAAACCGGGCCTTAGGCATTTCTGCACGGCTGCAGCAGACCTCTCGCAATGCGAAGGCAGGAGCTGTACACAAAGGAGGAAGACATGGAACATATCGGACCTTTGGCCTGTACGAAAGACAGCTTAGCACACGTCTGTAAGAATAGGATGAATGATGAGTCGATGGATATGATCATGCCCGACGTTATGTAGGTGGTGCCGCGTGCGAAGCTGGATTGAGCCAATTAGGCTTACGACCATGACCAGCTGCATACGTACATTTGCTTCCCCCATTTTTCTGTCACCAAACGGGCAATGTAGAATCGTGAAGTTGAAAAACGTAGAAAGCAGGGGGCGGTGCACAAAAGAGGGAAACAGCCACATCGAATATCTGCTGTGACGTATTTGTTCAGAATGGGTGATCAAAGCTCGAATCTCGAGCCCCTCCCTGTCGCAGTTTACACCTTGCCCGTTCCAACGCTCCCCTCGCAGATCCGATGTCTCGCGATGATCACATCCCGGTGAACCCTTACTTTGGACTGCAGGGACGCAATTGTGCAAGCCAACACATCGGCAACTCGTCCTTTGTGATTGAATCTGTCCGTGCTACCAGTCACCACGAACGAGAGAGCAGTCAAAGAGATGCATCATATCATTTTACAGCGCACGATTGTACATGGAGACTGGGAGTGTAAATCGGAGAACAAAAGACCTTTATAAAATGCCATTTGTGCGCGTCCGCTTCCCGAAGAAAAGAGGATAGAGACAATCCAACAAACGAGGAGCGGGCGTTACGGCGAGAGATTGAGCTGCACAACAGGGCAAACCCAAAGATCAAAAGTGCATACCACACAAAGGCATTATCTATATACCGTAGCCTCTTCATCACTCCATACTCGCTCCTCCAACTGGAAACCTTTCGCAAGTACGCTTATTAGCGCTGTAGACTCCAGCATCCCTCACGCCTTCATCAGCTCTGATCGACGCGATTCAGAGTAGCTCCGGCCTGCTTGGAGGAGGTACGGCACCGATACGATCTGTTCGGAGCTGGCTCCTAGCTCGCTTCTCGCCATGGCTACTCTCCTTTCATCGCCGATGGGCCCCTCCCTGAGTCTCTCCCATGGGGTCTTTGACAACCCGCCTTCGTCGCCGACACGAGTAGGTGATGACCTGCCGCCCGACTTCGACGAGAGCTTCGGCTCAAGCATGAGCATCAGTGCCAGCTACGACCGCGAGGCGGCCAACAGGATCAAAGCCTCGCTTCACAACACAACCCTCTCTGCAGCACCCAGGCTGGTACACGGGGCTATGCTCCCAGGGCAACACGGAGGTCGCGGAGGGAGCGCTGCATCTCCCAGGGGTGGGATGAGCTTAAGCGCCGCGCTCGGCACATCGCTGCACCGCAAAGCCAAGGCCGAAGTCTTCGCGCTGGCCGAATCAGGCTCTGGGACACCCACATCGCTCCTAGCTAAGCTGCAGTCGCCAGGTCCCATGGAAATATCCTCGCCCCCGGTCGTGCCGCTACCGGCATGTGCACTGTCCAATGAGGCTGACAGGTCCAGCGGTGGTCATGACGACACGCCGACAACAAGCCATGCAAGTGCTTCACCACCACCACTACCACGTCCCCGGCATAGGAGCCAAGAAGACGAGCTGATGTCGAAATCCGATCGGGCTATGATTGCGCCTCGTACGCTCCGTCGGATGGCCTCTGAACAGCAAGCCTCTACTTTGCTCACAATGTCCAAGCTGAGCGGCGGCAATGCGCTCGGACGCCTGTTCAGCGCCGAGCTCTCATTGAAAGACAAAGAGGAGCCTGTCTCCCGGAGCGAAGCAGTATCGGCAGCAGCAGCAGCAGCAAGTACAAGTATGCCTCCACCGCCAGTGCCATCTAATGCGTTCTCGATACCACCCATCCCAGCCCAGCCCGGGCCTCGCCGACTATTTACCCGGGCAGCCACAGTGGGCCCAGCACTCGGCGGCGCTCTGAAGCATCCGAGGAATTTCCACAAGTCCCCCAATCTTGCCGGCGCTGGTAGCCCGCTTTCCAGCCCGGAGCAACAGCCTCCGAGCAAGCGTCGCCCGTCGACGTTGCCCCTAGGTGCAGGTCGCTCGCAGGCTCTATCTCAGTCTCAGCTGCGAGCACAGGCGCAAACTGGCCCTGGTACTGCTTCAGGGGCGAGAGCTGGCCTATTGAAACGACCCAGCATCCATAGCGCCTTTGGCGACGCCAGTGGCTCAGTTGTTGCAGCCGCATCATTGAGGTAAGTAGTCAAGACTAGAACGTGCGAGAGTGGATCAAGCGAAATGGTGCTGATGGCCTCTTTCTTGCTCTCGTGATGATCAGGCCTCGTCCTGGGTTCAAGAAAAACGCTACAGTACCGGCATCCATCCCGACAAGCAGGATCAAGGGCGAGGGGCAAGGCTCATTTGCTAGTGCTCCTCTTGCGCAAGTCATCAATGACACGCGGCCACGAACATCGGCTGCCAAGGGCAGCAACTTCATCAAGAGCCGGTCGGCAAATCAACGTCATTTCAACAATTTTGCCTCCGTTCAACCAATGAACCTGGACTCCTGCATTGCCGATTCACTAGGAAAGACCGCGGAAAAAGACATCTTTGACGCGTCAACTGATTCCACGGCTGACCGCTCCATCGGCTGGACTGCGCCACCAACCGCTGCAGATTCTGTGCTTGAAACGGCAGGATTGGGTGACTTTTTCTACGACCCGCAATCACCAGATCAGTTGCCGCCTTCGCATGAGATTGCCCAACTCAACGCTTCAGCCTCTCAGCAGCGCCGCTTGAGGGTGCACAGCGAGAGCGATGCGGAGGTCAGCTTTGAGAGCGGACAAAGTGCGAGTCCGTCCACGGCCCGAGCTCCGACGTTCGGCTTTGCAAGCGGAACACAGCCTCAGGATGCCATCTTTGGAGCTGACATGTTTGCCGCGCAGACGGCGCAGGAAAACGTCTGGAAGCTTCAAGCTGGACCGCGTACAATGAAGACCCACACGTCGAGGCCTTCGCTGCTGGAATGCATGCAAGGCAATAGAAGCGCACCGAAGCTATCTCCCGCGGCGTCGAGTGCGAGTAGCAGACGACCGCCACATTTGCGTCTGCTTCCGACCAATATGAACGCTTTCGCGGACTCCAGACGATGCCAGACAGCGCTCGACCCTTTAGTGACTACCAAGGGACCTTTCTATCAACAGAAACCTGACCACGAGATTCCTCAGACGGCCAAGCCGGGGCCACAGCAGAGGTTTCACCTACTTTCTCAAGGCACAGATATGCAAGTCTCGGATGATTCAGCAGGGCCAAGGGAGGACACAGGAATGAGCAGCATGTTGCGGCGACGAAGCAGCTTTGAGTTCGTGTCACCGTCAAACAGTATGACTGGTATCGGAGGCTACCCGGACGATTTCAATGCGAATGGCTCGCCAATGCCTGCAGCAGAGGCCAAGCAGCGCTTCCGACCAAGCATGCTGAGGACGCCCAGCAAGGACGACAGTTCTCCCCTCGGCTACGGCCAGGGAGTCCGACGGACGAATTCCCGACGAGAGGAGAAAGTACTGCAATGCTCATCTGCTGCCGCTCTTCCGACTCACGGGGGCGAATTCATGCCTGGCTTTGGGGCGTCGGAGAAAGAGGGCAAGGTCCTGCCTTGTTTCACGGTCAAGGAAGATGGTCTGGTGCGCATCAAGTCGGACACGTTGGTGGACTTGATGGCGGGCAGGTACGATGATCAGATCAAAGGCTACACGATCGTCGATTGCCGTTTTGGGTACGAGCACCAGGGAGGGAAGATCGAGGGTGCCATCAACCTCGGCAGTGTCGATGCCGTCAAGCATCACTTCCTGACGCCTGGTGCCGGCATGCATGCATACGACAACGTACCGCTGCGCTCGCAGAGCGGCAGACCGGACGCATCGGGCAACGTGCGCAAGCACCTGCTTGTTTTCCATTGCGAGTTCAGCTGCAAACGCGCACCGTCGATGGCTCTGGCCCTACGTCAGGCCGACCGCGGTGTGGCGCATGATTACCCAAATTGCCACTTCCCCGAGCTGTACGTGCTGCAAGGCGGTTACTGCGCCTTCTTCCAGGCGTTCCCGCATGTTTGCAATCCTTCGGCCTACGTGCGCATGGACGACCCAGCGCACCAGGAGCGCAGGTCGATCGAACTCAATGGTTTCCGCAAGCAGTTTACCAGGCATCGCAGCTTCACCTATGGCGAAGCGAACGCGGGTGCGGGTGACGGGGCTAGCGGATCGCCCCTGGCGATGTTGAATGGTGCAGCCGCAGCCGCAAGGCCAGTTCCGATGATGCCAATCATGCACGAGGTAGCTGAGAGTCCACTCGATGGACGGCATGCTGGAGAGCCCAAGTCGTTTGCAGCTGGCAGACACCTTTCGCAAGCGCGCACCAGCCTTCGACTCGGAGCACCGCTACCTGGCGGCTCGTCCCAGCGGCAGCTGCAAGCCCAGCAACACCTGACGGTCACCGCAGCAGATGCTAGCGTATTGAGCAGCAGCGATGAGTCTTCGTTCGATACCAGCGGCTTCGGCGATAGTCCATGCGCCACTGCCGGTAAACGAAGACCAATATTGGCGCCTGGTCTCGATCCTGCTGCATCCGCTGATGGTGGAGATTGCACGGCGCCGACATCTGTCAGCAGCATGGGCGCGACGATGAATATAGCAGCCGCGGCATCACTATCAACATCAACCGCTCACGCGCCGCTTCATCATCGCACCCCTGGACCGCGGCGGCCGATGGAACGAGCAGGTACGACAGGCAATATCATCCTCGGACGTTTTTGAGCATTTCCTTCTTCCCTCTTCGCATGTATAATAACGGAAACAATCGTGTCAGCTGAAGACTCTTGTCACCGCTGAGGCGCGCCAACCGGCTGTCGGGCGTCAATCTTGCTGTGTGTATCAGGGAGTGTCTTGCATGCTGCTGGCTGTTGCTCCAGCCCCTCAGGTGGGAAAGAACGAGGCAAAGAGAGTTTTGGGTGTGCACAATGAATGAGCTCCGGCGAGTGAAGCAACCCTATTTTGTTCTCAGGCTTCGACAAGCGTCCACCAGCGGGCGTCCAACATCTCTCAAGTGTGGGCGAAGAGGTTATAGTCTTTTGTGGCTCTCGACTCGTGAAGGCTCTACTGATTGTCTCTTGTTATTGTTGCGTATGAGGCGATTCCATCTTTCCAAGACAGCACAATCATCCAGCGGCTCGGCCTGCCCGTTTAACCTTCGTCGAGAAGACCTGCGGCGCAAGGGAGAGAGCAGTTTGAGCGATCCTCCCAGCCGTCATGTCGTCGTCGCCATCGCATATTTGCGCCTCTTCCTCTTCCACCGTGCACGCTAGCACCACGTTTGCCTCCACGTCTTGATTGCATCATAGCTCCGTACCCACTTCTCATACAACATCCCTCTCGTAAGGGCAACCAGAAGACTCAGTCGGGCTAGCCGGACAGCTGTGGAGCCTCCGTGCTTGCCACCTAAGGGTGACTCCGCGTTGTCACAGCAAACATGTCGCTCACGCCGCTTGGCGTTGCAGTGCCACTTGCATGCGCAGCATTTACTGCTATCGTCGGCGTCGCGGCCGCTGCTGTTGGCCAAGCTTTTGGCCCAGCAGCCGTACAGTCGGGTGCTGCTTCGCTGGCAAGAATGCCAGCAATGTCAGAGGCAACCCCGGACCCACTCTGGGACGGTGCAAAGGTCCGACGACAACTTGCAGAGGATCCTGATGATTCCAGTGGTCCCACAAACCGCGTTGACACACTACTTCCCACGTGAGTCCCGCAGCGTCTACTCAAGCTGTACCCTTGGGTGCTTACATAGTGATACCACTCTACCCACCTCTGTCCCTTTGCTGTTGCAGCTCTGCGTCTGATATCGCCGGCCAGCCATCGCCTACCTTTATCGGCGAGCCCCACGACCCCTTGCTAGCCTTGATCCCATCCTTTGCTTTCAGCATGCCGGCGCAGATTTTCATTAATGGGATGAACCTATCATTGATGATCGTCCTTGCGGTTCATCTTAGCTTCACCACACGCTACCACTTCCCGCTCAGCAAGCAGAATTTCCTGCTGCAGGCTGGAAGCACGACGCTGCTCTTGGCCAGCCTGATCTCTGAAACGGCAGTCATCCTCAAGGAGCTCAAGCGGAAGAGCCACAGGTATCCTTACATGTTTCCCTACGTTGGAGTGCAACTGCCACCGCCGGATCATTCATGGACCATTGTGCAGGACGTATTTTACCTGCTGATGCTGGCCATGACCACCTTTCTAGCACACGTGAGCGACATTGCTCTGTCTTCCTAGCCTTCCTTTAGAAGTGCTCACACCCGCTACCCCTGTCTCTCATTGCAGCTTACGCACATCCAATTCTTAACGCTCCTCTTTCCTTCTTCCTTGGAAAAGCGGCTCATCTTTTGGATGCTGGGTCCACTCGCGCTCGCGTCGGCAGGCATGCTTTTCACATCCCTCTCACCCGATTCGGACTACAAGACGACTGATCTGGGCGACGCAATCCGCAACATTTGCAATTCCACCTTGACACTGCTCTATTTTTGCGCTCTGCTCATCTGGGGTCTGCTTGTCAACCGCCGAAGAGCTTGGCGCACGGACGGCGGGACGGCCGCCTTTGGCGGCGGCGCCGTCGGTCTCGCGTTCCTCAACACAGTCATCAGCTTCGTCGAGATCGCATACGACCGCCTTTGGTGGCTGCAAGATATCGGTTGGACACTCACCGTCTGGCAGAGCTGGCTCGGCTTCTGGTGGTGGGTCGGCAGCGGCATGGGCATCGGCGAGGTCGAGGACCGCGAGCTGCGGGCGGCTAAGCGGCGTAAGCGGCGCAAGCGTCTCGAGCGCAAACGGCGCAGGGAGGACAAAGAACGCGCGGCATTTGCCTCGGTCGTTGCGGAGAGGGCTGCCACTGCGAATGGGGCGGAGAAGGTCGATACGGACAGCGGCTTCGTCGGCATTCGCAGACTGCGCGACGCCATCCCGGGTGTTGGAGAAGCAGGCGGCAACGGACTGGCGGCTACCATCAAAGGCCATCTGCGAAGGCGGCGGCCGCCCGCAGCACAGCACGAGACGGATGGAGAGTTGACCGCCGTCGAAGCGCACGATGGTGAGCACGATGAGGAGGATCAGGAGGAAAATAGAGAGGTGCAGCGTGTCGAAGATGATGCCGAGCTGGCAGGGATCTCCATTGCGCCAGGCGAAGACACACAAACGAGTGGCGGAGGCAGCGGCGAATCGGATCCGACAGCTGAGTCGTCCGCGCCACCAGGCCCGTTCGGGCGCATGCTGCAGACGCTCGCGGCGCACCAGCCGGCATTTATCCGGCAGCGCTTCCAGCGTCTGCGCATCGCGCATGTCGCTGCGGCGCGCCGAGCCGCGACGCAACAGACTGCGCTTCGCGATCAGGTGCTGCACCGGAGCAACCAGGCGCGCCAGAGTGCCGCCAATCCGGGACTGCGCACGATGATGATGATCGAAGGACATAGCTCCGAGCACGTCGAGTACCTCGCTTCTTCGCGTCCGACTTCGACTACCGGAGGAAATGCTGCAGGCGGGGGGCGGCCGGTCTCGTTTCCCGGCCGTACTCGGTTCGCCGACTCTTCATCGCAACCGTACCTACGCCTCACATTGCCCATGGCACTCCGCGAGACGGACCAGACTGGAGGTTCGTCCTCCAGACTTAACATCGGCATACCATTGGGGTCTGCGCCTGCCGCACGACAGAAGCACACGCAAAGACAGCATCAGCGGCAGCAGCAGCGACAGCAGACTTCCGATGACGACGATGTCAATCGCGATACAGCAGATGACACCGCGGATGATTGGGTCGATCAGGAACCTGACGAAGCTCCTGCTGCACTACAGGACGATGCAGTATCGGATGCAGTATCGGATGCAGCATCGGATGGTCAGGAGGATGCACAAGGCAGCTCACAGAATGCTTCAGATTCATGGATGTGGCGAGGAGGGCTGAAGCGCGCCCGCTTACGGGACCGGACTACGTATGGGTGATGAATGAACACTACGGTGCTACATGTCTGTTGTGCACGCTTCTCTGTATTGTAGAATGTAGCAGTTTTGTACGCTTAGGCAAAGTCGTGTACAAATACAAGGGCGAAGTGGCCGCTGCACGGCATTGCCGCCGAGCATTTCATAGCGCGGTGCCTCGCTCGAAGTTCTCTCGGATCTCTGTTGTGTACTTATCGTAGAAGCGCTTGACCTTCTCGTTAAAGCGCTTGTTGTAATCATTGATGTACGTGACCTCGCCATCAGGGTCTTCTTCTCGAGAACGGCCCCTCTTCTGTCTTTGTGCTTTCCTGTAAGGAGTGGATTTAAAGACGTGGGACACTGTCAGCAAAAGTTTTCGTCCGAGCCGCCAGCGTGACTCACTCCAAATTGAGATGTGTGACAAGCCGATCGACATCGGCGTCGCTTGGCTTATGGTCGCCGTAGGAGAGGTGCGCATACGCGGAATCCAAGTCTGATCGTGAAATGAGCTGATCCCCCGCCTCCTCTTGTCTGCGGATGAGGGATGAAGAGGCTGAGGATGGCCCCGCATCTGCTGCGCCGACGAGAGGCTCGTCGCGAGTTGCTTGATAGGCTTTGACATTCGGCTTGAGTTCTCGGATCTTGCGATTGTAGCTTCGCTCGGCGGCAGTCTCAAAGTCTGGGATGCGTCTATGCTCAGCTGACTTCACCCGCAGGTCCAATGCAGCATTGGATGGGGCAATCAATCCAATGCCACAACTCACCAACGGCTCCTTTGTCGCGCATCTCCTCCTTCTGCTCCAGCTTGTTTTCCCACCTCTCACTGTCCTCTATGCTGTACTGCCAGTTGCGATTTCGATCGATGTCCTCGCCCCGTTCCATCTCATCTCGCTCATCCAGCATCCGCTCGGCCTTGGCGAGCTTGCGAGAGTTGGTGGTGTCCTTTTTGAAGACTGGCTCTTTGGCTTTCTTTTGCTCTGTAACTAAGTCTTTTCGGTTTGCCCGACTCGTAGCGGCCTGCAAGGCGCGGAAAATTATGTCAGGCTCTACACTGGGACACTACAGCAGAATGAGAGCGGACGAGGCGACAACTTACCATCTTTCCTTGTAATTGCTTCATTTTCGCCATCCGCTCTGCCATTGTCAATTTAGGAGTTGCAGCAACATTTGCAGCATCCGAGCTGCCATCCTCTTGATCGGTCGGTGTAGCGCTCAACGAAGCAAACGCTTCTTCACCCTGCGCAGTGTCAATGACTTTGCCTTTTTTTACGTCCTCTTCACGTGCCTTGCCTTTTCCTTTGCCTCTACTTTCGCCGTTCACGCTGGCAACGGGCTCTGCGGAGGCCATCGGGTCCGCAGTCGACCTTTTCGTTTGCTTCCTGGGAGGCATCGCGCGTTGGATGGCTGGCGTAACGAATTCAAAGCGCGCGGTGATAAATCAGTCGTCCAACGGGGTGTAGTTTTTGTTGTGTTCGACGAAATGCGATCAGAAGCCCAAGTATGGAGGCGTGGGCCTTGGCTGGAGAGCCTCCAAGGACACGTGTACACCAGTATCCAAGTCTCCAACGACTCAATGGAGGCAGCTCGAGATTATGTGCTGTGCCGAGCAGTCCAACAGAGAGAAGACGATGGTCGATGTTCAGCTAATATTGTTGCGAGCGTCGGCGGTCTGAGCACACCAATCCCCAAAGGTGCAGAGACACTGTACGAAGGCAGGGATAATGGATAGCTTCATAAACGTCTGAGCAGCATACTGATCCATCTACCACAGTCCACCATGAGTGATAAGAGGGGAGAGAGAGACGCTGAAGGCAGGTCACGTGCACGTTTCTGTCCTTCGGCAGACCACTGTTTGAAACGGGATTTTTTTGTCAGTCTGGGCGGGTCACGGAGCTCTGTGTGCAGTCTGACAGAATTGAATCGGGTCAATCCGGCGTAGATGGATCTGATCACACTCTTGGGAGGCTGGTGTCCGCACCGGTCCGACATCGCTGATCTTGCTACACAGTTTACCAGTGCTCACCGATGAGCTCAACCCCAGCAATCTGCTTTGCCAGCATTCTCAGCGCAGAACAGGCCCAGGCAGCTAGCTCAACGTGCTAATAATCATCTGCTGGTTGCCCTCTTCTCAGACTGCTGGATTGTCAAGGATTCTCACATCCTTGCGGCAGAAGACTGCCTGCAACCTCTCCACAGGCTTGGCTACTCAAACCCATATGCAGCTTTCATGCGCGACAAATACGTCGCCGGCCTGCTTGGATCTTATAGATCGCTCCGCTGATGAAAGCGTTCGGCCTTGTGTTTCTTGGGACTGGCAAGGTCTACGGCCATGAAATCTAGCCGATGGCTGACCTTGGCGAGGACCTAGAAAATGACTCGAAATATTGCCCCTTGTATGTGCATCGCGGGTTGAGTGTCATGTATGTTGCCCCCGCTCGTGCCCATGGAGTCGATCGCATTGGTTAGAATGTCTGACTGGCCACATTACGGACCCCTCATACCTGGGTTCGGACAGGTGAGGGCGGAGTGAGCAATAGAACATGACACTTGAACCGCCTGCAGCCCTTGAGGCAACGATACGACCAACAAGCGTCCGCTTTCTTAGAGATCACAACTCTCTATCATCGTGGTCCATAACTATCAAGCTCGCACTTCTCAAAGGCTACGGGAGCAAGTGTATAAACGTCCAATATATATATATATACGTCATTCATGTCTATGGTTCAAATGAGCCGTCACAGAAACACGTCCCTCACCCTCCGCAACGATACGCTGAATGTCGGGTGGCGATAGGCTGTAACTAGATCCTCAACTTTGTCAACTTTGACTGTACGAACATGTACGAATAACTGAACAACAGTGAATAAATTGGCAACACGCGGGTCACAGGCCACATCATTGTGGATATGGCCGCAGGACCTAATTCCCAACGTCGCATCATTCACTTGTCTGCATGACTCAAACTCCCTTCTTGCGGCTTCGACGTTCGACGTCCTGCAGCTTCCCCATCGCTGATCCCAGTGGCTGCCCATCTTGGGCTCTCCAATGCTCCGCTGGGTGATCCATACCATCTTCGGAGAGCTGCATCCTTTTGCGGCGTGGACAGATGGTGAGACAACCTATGGCAAGTCCGCAGCGTCAAAAACCTTGCCTTGCTTGAAGTCAAAGCAAACCAGGCAAAGTACTTCGGTTCGCCCGCAGAGAATAAATTATAAGTACATACAAGAATGAGATGCACTGAACCCTGGTACGCCAGATATATGCTATGGAGCTACGGAGTTAGCTGAACCACGTACGGAGCTGGCTTGCCGCCAACGGCGGAGGTTTCACATGCTCCGATCCAACCATACTTGCCAGTCACCGAATCGTGAGGAGCTGACGGCCAGGCTTCACGCGTGCAACCTCTCCTCGGGCATCGATGCTCATCATAACAATCCGGCTCTTCCCTGTCTACTGATCACCACCAATAACACCGCCACCAACGCCGCACTTGCCACTGCCGCCGCCGTTGCCGTCGCTGGAGCATCCGCAGAAGCTTTGAATCTTATAGTCGTACCCGTTGTTCCTGTTGTGCGTCCAGTTTTTGGGATCCTTGTACGCGTTGACCTGCTCCTCGATCCATCCTCACATGTCATTCCTCAAAGAATTGCTTTCTTCATACGTATTGTGACCCTGATCTCGAGCGCACGCGTTGACATCATTGCCGCCTCGATGGATATTGATGGCCCTTGTGCTTGGGTTCTCCTTGTTGCCGCTCTTGGCCCTGGGCCTGGCTCTGACTCTGGCCCTGCATTTGACTCTAGCTCCTCCCTTGCCTCGGTTGTTTTATTGTGAGCTTCCCTGATCTCGGCCATTTTGCTCACCGTCGTCTCCGTGCCACGGACCGTCATCACATCGGAGGTTCACGATGCAGACTTGCCCCTTCTGGTGAACGACGTTCCCACTATTGGCAATGCCGCTTTTGTCATTGTCAGCGGTATCCCCCTTTCGTACTTCGGGAGGACTCGGGATCACTACCCTGCTTGGCAGGTCCCCTGGAAGAGGAAGGTGATTGAACGGATACGCCGTTGAAGACGGCCGGAGACTGTGATGGAGAGGCGGTTAAAGAAAATGGCGAACCAGACTGGACCAAAGGCGGAGATCCTGCAGACTGAGGATCTGCGGAGGAAGCAGGAGAAGAGTGGCGGGCAAGTATGGTGACGTTCGTACGAAACCGCGACTGCAGATTGCTCTTTTGCGCAAGCCCTGTGGAGAGAAAAAACTTACTCAGTCACTTATCTAGCCATATACGCCGGTTGAAAACAGAAAACTCACCTTCAGATCCAGGTATCTTGGAAGCAGTACAGCCGTCACAGTCGACAGCGCCAGGGGGGCAACATGAGTTGTTGTGTAAATCGCTATTCTGCCTCTTGGCGGTCGATGACCGAACAAAAGAACGTCGAGCAGACCAGCTAATCTATAGAAAGGAAAACAAAAGAAAATGAGATTAAGCAATCCAGTTGGCTTTGGGGAAGAGTATCAAGCGTATGCAAATATGTGTGAGCACGGAGGATCAAAAAGTAATGAAGTCGAAATGTATGATTCCACTGCCTTCGTTGTACAACATTTCTCTTGGGCATGTTGCGTGGCTTTGGGTTGAGAAAAAACAAATTGGACGAGCGAAGAGGGAAGTACTGGCTTACGCCTAGCCACGCCCATGCGCCAAGCCTGAGCAGGTCAGCACTCAGCGCTCATCTCGCCCCACTCAGCACAGGAGTTTCAGCTTACGAAAGCGAAGAAAGCACGATTGAGAAGATCTGGCGTTCTTGCGAGCGGTTCGCGGGGTTTGAAATGTCTGTAGTTTGTGGAGACGGGGGAGTGCATACGAGAGAGAAACGGACCTGTGACTCTGTGACGCATAGAAGGGGTCTCGCGGCTCGCTGCCTCAGACGAGATGTTGCAGAATGTGGAGTGAGAGAACGTGATGTACAAGCTCGGCGTTAACAACCACCTGGCGGTCACGTCGTTAGGTGTCCAAACACCGTACCCGGTGGTAACTATCCGATGGTGACCGCCATGTCCCCCGAAGACTGAGGAGAGGTAAGTCGTAAGGGGTAACCGAAGACCCTAGAGCCTTGACTGTGGAAAAAGAGGATGAGTGGCGTGTCGCGTGCCCACGTTGCCAGAGTTCCAGAACTAAAGGGCAGAAGGGAGAACGTCAAATCACTCCATTCAAGGAAATCTCGGACATTCCGAGCAGGTTGCTTGAAGAGCGTGCATCCATACAGCACAAGGCACAGTGACAGTCTCGCCCCTCCGGTCCCACTGAACTCAAACGTTTGTGGGCATCGCGCCTGATGCCCCGAGCGACAGAGACATCGGCATCCTCACCAGAGGGAGACGGGCGGGAGCGGGGCGGAGAGCCTGAAGTGGCGCAAGCGAAGCAGCAGCCACGCGACCAGCGATGCCGGGGCGGGTCGTTGCGATGGTGGCCTCGACGGCATCCAGGTGACACCCGATACTTCCGATAGCGGCAACTATCCTCACCATGAGCGGGGTGGGGACGTCAGAGTCGGGGGCAGCCTTGGCAGCGCACATGCGAGTACCCAAATTAGGCATCATGGCGACGAGGGAGATGACAAGGACAGGAGAAAGAGGGACGAAGGACGAAGGGCGAAGGAAGCTCGGGTTACACTTCTGAGCAGTTGTTACCATGTAAATGCAGCTGCTAGTGGAATCGACGGATATTCACGGAAAGGGGTGCCTGCACGGACGTCTGCTTGGTGGGGACATTGATCTGCTCCGCAAGTAGATCTCTACATGTGACAATTATTTAAATAGATTTGACACAGATTTCAGTCCACCTACGGAATACCCATCTGTGTACATACAGTGCAGCATAAGATACAGTTCCTCCGTGTACAGATTATCCATTGGCCCAACGAGGTGCGTGAAAGGGTATCATCGAAACTTCAAACGAGTGAAGCCAAGAATAGGGCATTCGATGTGCGTTGCTTTTGTTCAATCGAGGTCGGCGTCTGCCTTGACCGAGGCATGCTTTCTTTCTTGGGCAGAGCTTCTTTGGTAGTCGACATTGTCATGCTGTTTCTTGTGCCTCAACAGAGCATCAGAGCGCTTGAACGAATGGCTGCACTTGTCGCACTGGTAGGGGGAAGCCCCAGTCTGTTGATCCAATCGAACCGGATTGATTAAAAACATCCCAAAGATTTAAAAAAAAGGGAAATGTTGAGACTCACATGAATTCGCATGTGTCTCTCATAGTCGTGCTTGCGAGCAAAGATGTGCATGCAGAGATGGCAGCCATGCAAGCGTGATTCACTCCTCCGACACTTGGCATTGTGCGCGGCGGAGCGAATATCTTGCGACAGCAGCCGTGCTGGTAGCGGCTTGCTCGCGCGGTCGCTGCTGTTTGAGAGCGTCGCGCGGCGCCCTGCGTGTCTGCTTGCGCGAGCTAGCGGCACAGCTGTTGATATTGGCTGTGAGTATGTCGAGCTACGTGCGCGACCCCGAATGGGCACTCCGGGGCTCTCGGCGATCGGTGTGGCCAAGGAACCGGCGCCCGTGCCGGTGTTAGCGTCACCCAGGTTGAAAAAGTTTGATGCTGTGCTTGGAGCAGTCGAGAACGTGCGTGAGTCCCAGGGGAAGATTATCGGTGCTTGGGTTGAAGTGGAGTGAAATTGTTGGAAAGAAAAGGAAGAAGTGTTCGTACTCGATGCCGCGGAGGGGCTGGAGATGTCCACGACAATAGGTGGCCCCGTCGTTGCCGGTGATAAGTTCTCGTTGGGAGGAGCCATGCCCTTGGGACAAATGGGTAAAGGCACTGGTGTGCAAAAGTGGGGTAGAGGCTGTGTAGGGATGGCATAGTTATCGCTGAAAGGCTTAAACTCTTGGAATTCGCCCTCCGCATCGGCAGCGGCGCCAGTGGTAGCGGCATGGGTAGCAACGGAAGGGTCCAAGGCGACGAAACCCTGCCTGCTGCCGTCGAGTGTGTGAGAGTGTTGCAAAGGCGGTCGCAGAGGCAGCGTGACTGGAATGTCGAACCGCGGAACCTCGCTTGTGAATACAAAGTGGTTGGGAGTTGCTGGTTCGGACATGTAACTTGCAGGACTTCCGCCGGGGACTGATTCGTCCGTACTGGTGCCTTCTGACAATGCGAGCCCTCGGCTGAAATCGTGACTGAACGGCCAAAGGCTTGGTACCTGCAGTAGCGCTGGAGAGATCGGCTGAAAGACCAGAAATATGTGCACGTCAATGAGCTGCTTCGGGAATGCTCTTGCTCGATCCCAGGTGGCAAACGTACCTGCGGCTCGACGTCGTGGTTGGGAGATGGACAGCGATACTGCGGTACAGAAGTGATTGATGTGGCAGATGGGGTATCGATCGGCAGCAAATGCGTACCGGAGTAAGCCACGCTGAGCTCGGGCATCACGATGGGCCTGAAACTGCTGCTTGAGACGATCTTTGACAGGACAGCAATCAAGAGTAGAGTTGATGCGTTGAGATGTCTGCTGGGATCAAAGATGTTTGTTACTTAATGGCTCACAGTTGTGCTTCGATGGAGAAGACGAGGGACAACAAGATATACGACAATGACAAGCTGCCTTCGTCATTTAAGTACAAAGTTCAATGTTGTCATTTGGGGGAGGGTTCGTCTTTCGTTGCTGATTCGGCTGTATGACATGAAGCTTGCGCCGTACACTTCACACTTCCATCTCAAAACCCGTCGCCCCATCACGCATTGAGATAGCCGATAAAACGATGAAGCCAGACAATGCTCTAACAACAAGGTGAAAGGGTCGCTGCTATGTCAGTCTCACTCTCCCTCGAAGAGTAAGGTATGCAGGGGGGAACTGCCTCGACGTCTGTGTGTAGGTGACATGGCGTTTGTGTGGCCCGAAATGACTACCCGCGAGGCCCGAGGCCCCCGAGCGCATTCTTCAACATTGCGTCTAGCGCACTACATATGTAGTGTCCTGGATGGTCGTGGGCAGGCAATTTCGAACGGTGCTTTCGAACGGTGGGTTGTAGGTTTGTGGTCCAGGAGAGTCTAGGAGGAAAGACTGGCTGTCGGCTGATGGGATCGCTATCTTGGTCCCCTGATCTGCAATTCTGCAGTTTTGGATCGTTTCTTCGGAGCCTTTCGGAACCTTTCGGGGCCCGCAAACAGCGCGAATCCGCAATCAAGAAAGCTTTGAGTGAGCCCAGCAGAGCCTAGAGGAGCATGGGTTGTTCCTTATGCACACTGTATATGTATGTACATACTTGAGACAATAGCACGTTCCAGGACTGTGACACACAGCGACTGTTAGCAAAAACTGGGCTCACACTTGCCCAGTGCACAGAGCCCCAGACTTGATAAATATATGTTTGATACTGGTGGCTTGCAAGTCCATTAGCGTTGAACTTGGCTAATAAAGTGGCAGGTAACTGCAGCCTATGCAATACGAGTGTGTACAAAGTACAGCCTGGATTCTGGAAGCTGCTTGCTTGGCATCGCACAGCTTGCTAATGCATATTGAGATGAGAATGTGCAAGAAACATTTGACATGGGATTTTCCGATGGCCGGCAGAGCCCTCTCAAAGGCCAATTTAATTTAAATGTCAGCGTGGAGACACAATCACTGCCTTCTGCAAGCCTAGGACCCTGGATGCTGCATGCTGTGTCACATGTCACACTTCAGCATGCCAAATGTCGCACCTCACACGCTACTAGGGGACAGGTGGTTTCTGGCGGCAACCCAGACCGCTGAGGACTGCTCCTGCGCGTTGAAAGTTTCACAGGAGGGAGATGAGGCGCAATCACCTGTTGATATGCGCGGAAAGATCCCTATCGCACTGCACGACTGCCATGGCCCTTTGTCACTTTAGCCTCTCTCTCGGAGACTCCGCACTTATCATTCATAGACCACGAAGGCTTGACACAGACCTGACGACACCATCCCGGTGGGAACTCAAGCAATCACAAGCGCATGACGCATGACACATGCAAACTGCTTTTGACAGTTCTATGTATGAGACAGTGCCATCCTGATTACTGAATTCTGGTCTGTGTCGCCTCATACATAGATAGAAACGTTCAACCCTGTTATCAAATAGCCCATGCAACGCAATGCTTAACGCTCAATGCTCAATACTCGTCTGCGCAACGGATGCTCTTTGCACCCAGTCCTTCGAGCGCAGTCTTCATGCCGGCGATCCAGTGAGAGTTTCCTCACTCCTTAAACTCACTGAATGATTTATTCTTTCCTGACCGCAGCCTACCGCAGCGCAACCTCATGAATTGCCCATCTGCAGCACTCTTGCTCGGTTTCACTTTAAGCTTCTTTATGCATTTCATCCAAGCTGACCGCTTCCCGAGCCTGAAGCCTGAAACCTGAATCTCCAATGTCCAAATCTGAAATATGAACTTTCAAATCTTAAGGAACTTGAACATAGAATATTCGCGGCATTTACCTCTTGAGTGCCTGTGAGCGTTGAACGTTGGACCTTGATGATAAGGATCGAGAGACCAGAGAGAGGAGGTGCTATGCTCTCACTCCTCAACATGGTCTCAATACGATTACGTGCAGAACAAAGAAGCGACTGGATAAATATCAACAACATACATGGGTTGCAATCTATTGCGGCTTACTGGTTCTATCATGTGCACAGAATGTCCGTCGACCGCACGAGGCAAATTACTGATAAATTATTGCCATAATGAGGAAGCCTACAAAGGATATCAATGGGAGTGACATCGTAATTTCAAGTTTGCGGAATTGAAAAAATAGAGTGCATTCATGATTTGTGCCTTGATATAGTCCGCTATGACTTAGTTTCTGTCTTGCTGACTCATATGTGCTTCTTGGTCGACGAGTTTTTGGTAGTCGTCGTCTCCATGCGTTTTCTTGTGCCTCAGCAGAGAGTCAGAGCCTTTGAAACTTTGCTCGCACTTGTCTGTTTGTTCCATTGATCTGAATTGGTTAGCAAAGTGTTACAGAAATAGCAACGAGAGAAGATACATTGTTCGCATGAAGGCGCATGTGCCCCTCATGGTTATGCTTGCGAGTGAAGATGTGCACGCGGAGGTAGCAACCAGGCAAGCGTGAGAAAATTCTATAGCGCTTGATGGACTTGGCAGGTAGGACGTGGTGGATGAGCCGTCCAACCGTGGCAGCTCTTTCAGGCTGCCGTGGAGATGAGTGAAGCCTGTCCGCACTCCGGACGGCACGAAGCTAGGATGAAAACTGTTGGGTGAAGATTTAGTTTTACCGAAATGCGCGCAGGTGTTCCCTCCAGTCCCTTCCTAGTCTCGCTGCACTCATTAGCACCTTGAACTTTGAATGCCTCCCATCAAAGGCTCACTAGGCCCTTGGATACTTTGATCATTATGAATATTTGGATCATAGAAATAGGATCGTCATGAATGCATTAGCAGCGTCATGGTCCCGCTATACATGTTGCCATGATCCTTCCATCGGTGACGAGCATTCATCGTCTGGGGTAGCGATTATCGTGACCATTGTCCCGGAGCCTGTTGTAAGGATCACCACGATCGTCACGGCCATAGTCACGGCTACCACCATCGTACCTCCTGTCACTGTACACTCCATCCCTCCTCCTGAGTGGTGGGGAATAATCACGCCCATCCTGCTTAGCATCGTTGTACCTGGAAGGTGGCCGGCGCGGCGACGTTGGTGGCGGCGAGCGCGAAGCATCGCGAAGCCTCTTACCTGCGGCCGGGCCAGCCTTCGGCTCGTCATCTTGGTAGTCTTTTCGAGGTGGGGGCGATGGGCTTCGCGAGTAAGACAACGACCGACGGCGCGCGATCCTGGTCCTGCCATCACGATCGGAAAGAGGAGATAGAGAGTGCGAGGGCGCTCGCCCCTTGCCACCCCTTCCCCGGGTAGGGCTGAAGGCATCACGGCCCGGTCTCGCGGACCTTGGTGGCGGCGAACGATCACCACGACGAGGTGACGGCGAGCGAGAGCGCGAGTAGGCGGATGAATAGCGCCTGCGGCGACGAGGAGAGGGTGAGCGACGCGAACCCCTGCGCGACGGGCTGCCCCTCCTTCCCGAGTAGCGCGAATCGTACGACGAGCGGCTGGACGAGTTGCTTGAAGACTCGCTGCTGCTCGTCCTACTGAGATCCGAACTGCTGTCACTGTCGCTGCTATCGCTGTCGTCGCCATTCTGCAGGGCGGCGGCACGTTGCGCTGCGAGCATCTTCGGAACATTCTTGAGGTGCTCACGCATATCCTCCGTCAATGCGCCGAGGCCGATCGAAGTGAAGAAGTTGATGCTGAAGCGCGTGTTCTTGGGGTTGTCGATCGGGAACATGTTGCCAAAGAATTCTTGCATCGCAGGCGTCTTGAATCGCTGCACAAGCTGCTTGAGGCCCAGAATCTCTTGCATCTCCTGGAATAAGATCTTGACAAAGATGCGCGAGCTGCTCGTCGTGTCGTCTTCGTTCATGTGGATGATCTCAAACGACGCCCAGGAGATACTGTCCGTTGCGATGATGTGGCCAAAGAAGCGTGCAATGTTCCGCAGTCGGTTCGTCTCGTAGCGATGGATCGTGTCGTAATAGTTGCGGAAACACTGCTCGAAGCAGCCACTCCACATGCGATGCAGCTTGCAGAAACGCTCGCCCATATGTCCATAGAACTTGGAATAGGTTCGTTCTTGCGAGCAGCATTCGATGATCATGTTACACAGCTCGATCTGGGCAAGCGAGGGGGCACAGAAAAGTGTCAGCTCCACCGTTGGATGCACGCGCATTTGAAAATAGATCGGTGACGTACCTCCTGACCTTCAGGGATATTGAGCTTCATCAACTTGTGCACAGCCTCCTCATAGATTGCTGCGCTCATGATCGTCAGGTAGATGGTTCTCCTAAGATTGACGAGATTCGTCTCTGTACGGTCCTCAATGTCGAGTCGATCTTGCACCTCCTTACCGTCTTTATCTTCGGAACCGTCCGCAGACTCGGAGCCAGATCCGCTCCCACTACCGCTGCCAGATCCAGATTCATCATCTGACGACTCGTCACCCAGGATTTCCGCTTTGATCTGCCTGTACCGGTCCTCATTCTCGAGAAAGCTGGGATCAGCGCGAAAGACATTGAGGCCTTCTTGAACGTTGAGCTGGTCGTCCAGGCTGATCTCGTGCGTGATCTGATCAGCCTCCTCGACGAGATCAAGCCCCTCTGGGATCTTGGGATGATCTTTGAAGCTTTCCCTTCGTACCTGGCTCAGCAGCTCGACCATATACTGCACGCGCGTGGTGATGCTGCCTTCGTACAGAACCGCCCGGAAACGATCAAAAATGCTGTTGGTTGCCTTGGGACTTTCCTCGCTGAGGAATTGCCCTAGTTCTCGCATGAACGTCACCGCAAGCTCGACGCTGTCGTCTGTGGGGCGCTCAAGCAGCAGGACGAGAATCTCCAGCGCAAGGATCTCATTGGCCACTCGCTGGTTGACGAGATGCGCGAGGAAATGAAGTGTCGCGCCACAGACAACCTTGTCATTGCGCTTGAAGCTACGTCGAAATTGGCTTACGAGACGCGTGAGTAGCAGCTCGCCAATTTGCGGGAGCTTCGTGTTGATGACGGCCGTCAACGAAGCAAAGACCGGCGAGTAGGGCAAAGAAAGGCCCTGCGCCTTCATGATTGCTCGGCAGTACAGTCCTCTTCCGCGGATGAGATTGGCCCCCCCGAAGAGCTCCGGAATGACCATTTTGATGTTTTCCACGGCAACCTTGTTGATGAGACCGGTAATACTCTTTTTGAGGGCGTCCCAGCTCATGCGTTGGTACTCTACACTGCCGGGGTCCGCTGCCGCTGCCTCAGCCATGAGCGCGCGCAGACGCGCAGGGGGAACGTAGGCTCCTCCAGCTTTGGTTGTCGCGGAGAGTTGGGCCAGAGTTGTGCGCAGGGCTGCACCTTTCGCCTCGGCGGTACCAGTGGGGTCGCCTTTCTGTTTCTCAGAGACAGCTTTCGAATCTCCGTTCGCACCGCTTCTGCGCACCAGCGAGCGCTCTTCCACATCACGAGGAGAACGTGACCTGCGTGCGGCCCTCTTGCGTGGAGGGCTCCTTCCTGGCGCGTCGCTGCCGCTGTCTGCACTGGGCGGGCTGCGCACCCGGCCCTTTCCCTTCGACTGACTCTCGCCACTTCCACGCCTCGCCATTTCTGCTTCGTCATCGCGATCATCGTCCGCGTCAGAGTCGGCTGGCGACGCAGGTGATGGAGAGCGACTGTGCCTTTCCTGACTGCTGCGCTTCACGGGAGAAAGCGATCGGCTGCCCGCGCTCACCCGTGAGTTCGCAGACAATTCAGCCATTTTTGGGCTTCTATAATCCCCTCTCCAGTGCGCAACTCGTGACTTTGTGCGTAGGCGACTAGGTGTTGTACATTGTTGTAAGCAATCCACATTGACGTCCATTTCCATCCGCTGCACATGTTGAGCTGGATGAAGGAATTGGGCGGGCACTCAACCGATGGCAAGTGCGTGGGTTTACAGATTTATGCGGTTCCTCGTAAATTTCAGCAGCTGGCAGACTGCCTCTACGTTTTTTCCCACCTCACTGCACTATGTAAGCCCAGTCCGCAAGGTACATACCCTGTAAAAGTGTTGCGACAGGCGGCGCTCACAGCACACCAATCTCCAGAGGGGCAGAAGCACTCTACAAAGGCAAGGATACTTGCTGGATTCGTACAAGTCTGAGGAGCGTACAGGTGCATATTCCATAGTCGACCATAAGTGCTACGCTGGGGAGATGGGAGACGCTGGTCGATGCTCTGATGGTGGGGCCCCATGCCAGGACCCGGTTGAACGCATTGTCACGTGATCCTTCCATCCTTCACAACACGTGCGCATCTTTGAACTGGACTGTTTAGTTCGAAATGGGGAATCTTTCGCAAAAATATTAGTTTGCTTTTGCCCAGCGCCCGTGTTCCCTCACTGGGTGGTGCCGTGCAGAAGCAGGGCGGAATGCGCAAGAAAGGAACTGGTGTTTGGCTCTAGAGTGACGAGTGCTGCCGTGGCATTGCAACGACTGATACTTCCCTCTGCATGTCCAGCAGCACTCCACGTCAACCATTCAAATCTCGCCCATCCCACACTTCCCATTCGGTGCCGCTTGGCATCACATCGGGTCCATATACTTCTTCGCTCCATCCCCGGCAAGAAGACACACACGTAAGGCCTGGTCACAAAAGCACGCATAGAGGGAGTCCGCTGCAAATTGGACTACCCGGTAGAGTGTCCTGCCTGCGCCACAACCTACGCACAGACCTGAAGAGCTTGCAGCTTCACAGCAAGTCCTTCCTGTACGAACCCCAACACGTCGTACGGGCGCTACGTAGCAAATACGGATCCCAAGCTACCTTCTAGGTGATAGGAAAGGGGCCATTCTTACCTGGCAGCAACCAGCAAGCTTCGATAGCAGCAGTCAGCAGATCAACATCAGCAACGGTCAAAGCTTCTCACAATTTCGAGAATGGACGCGGCATGGACACACACGGTGGAGGAGTGCATCAAAGCGCTCGGCTCGGATGCAAAGAAGGGCTTGTCTTCCAGCGAGATCGCGGAGAGGCACACTAAATATGGAAAGAATGGTGAGTAGCGGCTATTGACACCTCCCACACAGTGCAACTGAATGACTGACCCGCCAATTGCTATGTGTTTCGATCGCAAAGCCTTGCCGGAGCAGGCAGGCGACTCGCTCTTCAAGTTGATTCTTGACCAGTTTAAGGACCAGCTTGTCCTTATCCTGCTCGCTTCAGCCGTCATCTCCTTCGTTCTCGCGCTGTTAGAAGAGTATGAGTCGCTTGGCACCGCGCTCATCGAGCCAGGTGTCATCTTCCTGATTCTCATCGCCAACGCGACTGTTGGCGTGGTCCAGGAGCGCAATGCCGAAGAGTCGATCGAAGCGCTCAAAAAGTACTCGCCGGACAATGCCTCTGTCGTACGCGATGGCTCGACGCTTCGCGTCAAGGCAGAGGAGCTGGTGCCCGGTGATATTCTCGTCATCGCCGTCGGCGACAAAGTCCCCGCTGACTGCCGCCTGATCGCCATCAATTCGAGCAGCTTCCGCGTTGACCAGGCCATTCTAACTGGCGAATCTATCGCCGTCAACAAGGACCTTTCTCCCGTGGCAGACGCACGCGCCGTCAAGCAGGACATGACCAACACCCTTTTCAGTGGCACCACCATCGTCAGTGGCTCCGGCGTCGCCATCGTCGTTCGCACCGGAGAGAAGACAGCCATCGGTGACATCCATGCGGAAATCAGCCAAAAGGACGCCGACGAAAAGACGCCGCTGAAGCAGAAGCTCGATGAGTTTGGCGACATGCTTGCCAAGGTCATTAGCGTCATCTGCATTCTTGTGTGGCTCGTGAACATTCGACACTTCAGCGATGCAAGCCACCACGGCACGCTCAAAGGGGCCATCTACTACTTCAAGATCGCAGTCGCGCTCGCCGTTGCCGCCATCCCCGAAGGCCTAGCTGCGGTCATTACGGCGTGCCTCGCGCTCGGGACGAAGAAGATGGCTGCGAAGAACGCCATCGTCCGCCACCTACCCTCGGTCGAGACGCTCGGCTCGACTAACGTGATCTGCTCCGACAAGACTGGCACGCTCACCACGAACCAGATGAGCGTTACGCGTTTCCTTGTCTTTGGCGACTCGGCGGCCGACGTGCGCGAGTTTGACGTTGAAGGCAGCAGCTACGCACCCGAAGGCGCCATCACGTCCACCGCCGCTAGCAACCCCGTCGGCAAGCTCAACGTCGCTGATAGCTCGATCCAGGCGCTGGCGGAAGTCGCGGCTGTCTGCAACGATGCTCAGGTCGTCTACAGCGCTGAGGACAAGAGGTACAACTGCATTGGGCAGCCGACCGAAGCCGCACTTAAGGTGCTTGTCGAGAAAATTGGCCACCACGACAACACGGCGAACGCTTCATTTGCCACGCTGGACGCAGTGCAGCGTGCCAACGCCGTCTCGACGCTCTACCAGGCATCCATCCCGCGCCTGCTGACGCTTGAGTTCTCGCGCGATCGCAAAAGCATGAGTGTCCTCATCCGTCGCACGGACAACAGCGGCGTGCTACTCGTCAAGGGCGCGCCTGAGACCGTGCTCGATCGCTGCTCGTTCCTCCACCTCGGCAAGGCGCGCGCACAGATGACTCCTGCGATCCGCAATAGCTTGAACGACAAGGTGGCCGATTACGCGACGCGCGGCCTGCGCTGCCTCGTCCTCGCCGTGGCCGAAGGTGTGCCGCTCGACATACAGGCGTACAAGTCTGAGACCACCGCAGAGTATGCGCGCTATGAGCAAAATATGACGTTCGTCGGCCTCGTCGGCATGCTCGACCCGCCGCGGCCAGAGGTCCGAGGCGCGATCGAGCGCTGCAGGAGCGCCGGTATCCGCGTCATCGTCATCACAGGCGACAACAAGAACACGGCCGAGACAATCTGCCGGCAGATCGGCGTCTTTGGCGACAGCGAGGACCTCACCGGTAAGAGTTACACGGGTCGCGAGTTCGACGAGCTTGACGACCAGGCCAAGCGCGACGCCGTGCTGCGTGCCAGCTTGTTCTCGCGCACGGAGCCGACGCACAAGAGCCAGCTCGTTGACCTCCTCCAGGAGCAGGGCCTCGTCGTCGCCATGACGGGCGATGGCGTTAACGACGCGCCAGCGCTCAAGAAGGCCGACATTGGAATTGCTATGGGTACTGGCACGGACGTCGCCAAGTCCGCCGCAGACATGGTCCTCGCGGACGACAACTTTGCGACTATTGAGACGGCCGTCGAGGAAGGCAGGTCGATCTACAACAACATGCAGAGCTTCATCCGCTACCTCATCTCCTCCAACATCGGCGAGGTCGTATCGATCTTCCTCACCGTGCTCCTTGGCATGCCGGAGGCGCTCATCCCTGTCCAGCTGCTCTGGGTCAACCTCGTTACGGACGGCTTGCCCGCTACCGCTCTCGGCTTCAACCCTCCTGACCACGAGGTGATGCGCCACAAGCCGCGCAGACGCGAAGACCCGCTCGTGTCCAAGTGGCTCTTTATTCGGTACCTGCTCATCGGCACGTACGTCGGCGTCGCCACCGTCGGCGGTTACGCGTGGTGGTTCATGTTCTACGAGGGCGGACCGCAGATCAGCTTCTACCAGCTCACGCACTTTCACCAGTGCGGCACGCTCTTCCCCGAGATAGGCTGCGAGATGTTCGTCAACGAGCTGAGTAAGCGCGCCACGACCATCAGCTTGAGCATCCTTGTCACCATAGAGATGTTCAACGCACTCAACTCGCTCAGCGAGGAGGACAGCCTGCTGGTGCAGCCGCCCACCAAGAACCCTTTCCTCATCTTTGCGATTGTCCTTTCTATGGCACTCCACTTCATGATCCTCTACGTGAGTGCATCCTCGATCTTCTCCAGCGCTTAGATTCTGACGCAACGTTGCCTCTTCAGACACCCTTTCTGCGCGAACTCTTTGTCATTACGCCGCTCAACTGGGCCGAATGGAAGGGCGTTCTGTACATCTCAGCACCGGTCATCCTGATCGATGAGGTATGCAAGTGGATCACTCGGACGTTCGTCAACCCACCGACTGGTGTCAAAAAGCTCAAAGAGGCATAGTAGATGGAAAGGGGAGAGATGCGGAATGAGCGGTAGTAGGCGGGCATCTGACTAGAAAATCCTTTGGATAATTTCTCCTCACCAAAAGTAATACACCGGTATTCACATAGATACTGGCCCCCAAGACGAAGAGTGATGCCCGACCTTGCACGGTAGCCTACGGCTGCACTTGCCGTACAAGCCTGGCAGCTGCGCCGTGGAAGAGCTCATGCCGTACATCGCCTTCTTTGCCCGCCTCCTCCAAGCTTTGCAGATATTCCCCCGGCTTGAACTTGTCGTCGTAATCGAAAACACTTGTGATTGCCCCAACGAAAAGAGACAATGACAAGAAAACCATAGTGGCTATGCGCAACGGCCTGCTGTTCTCGTTGCTCGCATAGAAGTAGAACCAACCTTGAAATGTTCTCAAAAGCTCGCATATGCAGTCCCTTCTCCAGCTCTGTTAGGGATTGCTACATTCGGGGACCAATGCAGAGGTGGAAGTAGACAGTCTTGCTGATACTGACCGACATGGAGACACAAGTGAGAAAAGCACATGTTGATGTGTATTACAAAGCGGAAGCGTTGGCAGTGACTGCTTTAGCGGTACAGGTGGTCCTTGAAATGCAAACATTCGGCGACGGGAATTGCGCAAGAATCAAAATAGATTAGTATTGGCCCGCGAGACGATCGATGTCTTTATTGTCAAGCAATGCCAGGTCCGAGGCAGACTCGCGCAAGCCGACTCACCTGCTTGAGGTTCGCGGCGTACTCGGCCTCGTACTTGTCCCCGTTTGCCAGCAGCTTCTCCTTGTTGTACAGCAGCTCCTCGCGTGTTTCTGTGCTGAATTCTGCGTTTTGCGTCTCGACGATGGCGTCGACTGGGCAAGCCTCTGCAAGCGGCGAACAGAGTAGGTAGGGGGTCAGCAGATGACTCAACGCAGAAAAGGGTGGGGGAGGGGACGGACCTTGGCAGAACCCGCAGTAGATGCACTTCGTCTGCACAGGAAGGGTAATGTCAGCGCTTGCGTGTGCAGGCTATGTCGTCGAAAAAAGCATACCATGTCAATGTCATATCGAGTTGTCCTCCTTGCTCCGTCATCGCGCGGCTCGGACTCGATTGTGATGGCCTGAGCCGGGCAGATGGCCTCGCAGAGCTTGCAGGCTGAAGCGTCACATAGAAAGATAGGATCAGCTTTGACAAACGATGATGACATCCTTGTCACGACCAAATAGTTGAGACACACCGATGCAACGCTCCTCGCCTGTCGGGTACCTCCGCAGAGCGTGCTCCCCACGGAATCTTGGCGAAAGCGGACCCTTCTCATAAGGATACATGATCGTGTATGGCGGTCTGACAAAATTCTCCAGCGTGATCCACATTCCTCGCAGGATCTCAGTGAAGAAAAATAGCTGCGCTGCCTTGTCGATAGCCGAGGGGCCTTTGGAGTAATCCGGGTAAGACGCCCGGACTTCGTGCGACTCCTGCGCAGCGAGCCTGGCTGTCTCCATGTTACTCGGCGAGTGCACCGTTTGCGAGCCCACTGTTGCAGGGACCGTCTGAGGTCCTGGAGTAGGGGTAGCGAGCAGCGCTGTTCGGCTGAAGTGCAGCGAGCGAGCGCCGGCAGCAGCAGCGGCAGTGCTCCGGCTCATCGCGCGGGCAGCGGCGACACCGCCGAGCATGGCTGCGGATCGTGGAAGCGCCATCTCGATACTTTTCACGGGGCCTTGTACGTCACAGAAGCAGACGCCACCCTTGGCTTGGGGATCATAAATGGTGGCGATGAAAGACGTGTGTTGGGTCATGTTCACGAAGAAAGTGAGAGTCGCTTCCGGTGGCAGCTCACTGCAGCCAACCAGCGAACGAGTAATCGTCAGAGGCGGCGCGTGCGTAGATTTACGTGGAATCCCCCTTCTCTCGATCTCGCGTACGCTCCCATTCGCCAACTTCTCTCCGAGCGGCAACATTCTACGGTGCTCGCAACCTCTCCACGGTATTCACTAGTACCTGCCACCAAGTGCATCGATCGAGACATTGATTCTCATTTCTTTTGCGGCGTCTGGGACATGCGATACATGAGAAACATTCGCCTCGTGGTCACGACGAGTGCTGTGACTGCGCAAGGTGCAGTGCCAACAGTGCCAGCGGCCTAGGCGTCCAAAGCCCGTCTTCAGCTCATCGATTTGAGCATGCCAAGCATCGCAGCGCGCATCTCTGCTCGAATGTCAAATTTATATGCCGAAATAAACCTCAGAGTTTCTCGTCAGCGCATGGGCTCTCTGAGTCGGATGGGCTGGCTCAAACGTCGCGCTTCTAATCTCCACCCACCTCTCTCCGATTGCTTGTGGCCCTGTGCGTTGAGCGCATGCTTAACGGCCTCGTCGTGTGCGGCAGCGAACTTTTCCGTGCTTTCAGTCACGCGCGCCTTGTAGTTTGCGACTTGGTTTTTGTGTGCAGGAGTCATAAAGGAATTATGAGAATCTCTCGCTGGAGATATCTTGTTGGATCTAGAGTCACCGACTCACCCAGCTCACGCGTTTCCTTGAAGAAAGCAGCTCGCCTCTCCGCTCTGGCTTGAATCAGGCGCCTTGCCGATCACGGGTCAGGGGTCGGCCTAAGTCAGAGGGGAAGCTCGAGTGAAGGGGCCCGATAACACCTACTGGATCCTCTCAACGTGCGTCTCGACTTTGCTGCAAGTTTCTTCGATGACGATCTGCAAGCTCTCACACTCCTTGAGGGTCTGCGCCATGCTAACCTTCGCTGCTGACACATGCTGCAAGCTGGTCCTATGAACGAAAATCGGTCGAGGAAGGAGGATGGGTGAGTGGACCGATCCGAAAGCCGGCTGGCTAACTAAGGATTGGTTATGCCAGGCGATGCGTTATCGCAGCTCACGAAAGCACAGGCATGAACATTGCGAGCGTGTCGAAAATATTGTGAACGGCTGCACAGGCTGGTTGATACCCTCCCGTTAATCAATGCTAATCTTAGTGATCTTTTTGTATCGTGCGCGAGCGTTCAAACAAGCGATGCAATGACCTACCAGCCTTGCTTTCGTGGTCGTGGGAGGCATCGCGAGAACTCGAGAGCACGAGCTTTCTGATGGCGTCTGTCATTGGTGGAAGAGCAGGCAAAAGGTGAGCAAGCAGCCTGAGAGCCAGCTGATCTACAATCCTGGATCCGCCCCCAGCAACACGCGCGCACCACCAATACTGGATGTGATGTCCTTCGCGCGTTCCACGTACGCGCGGTCACGCTTCAGTTTTTCGTTCTCTCTGCAGTGAAAGCGTGATTAAGTCTTTTTCAGCATCGCAATCATTTTGCAGGGCATCGCAACTAGGAGTAAAGGAGGTGAGGTCCCACATGCGTTCAGCTTGATCATCCTCTGGCGCAAGATCATGAGCCCGATCATCAACGGCGCCATCCTTGTCCTCGTCCGAGCTCTCAGCACTGCTTCCGGCCTGGTCCTCATGCTGCAGCGCGCGGAAGGTTGGCTGGAAAGTGCGACGCTGAATCGGACTGCGTAATTTCAAGGTCAGAGTGCTCAGGTCCGCAGCACAGGTAGAGCTAGCCGGCTCGTGCATGTCGGATGTATGCGCTTTGAGTCTTCCACCTTCCCTTCCGGAACGCTTTTGTTGCTGCTGCTGCAAGTGCGCACGCTTAGAATCTCGCTGCATCGCGTGCACCCTTTTCGTGCGTAGCGCCCCCTCGGAGCCAACCTTCCTCGCAGGCGTCGACGGATCCAAGGCAGCGAATTGCTTTGCAACGCGCGACGTCATCATGAGCTTCAGATTCCTTCACAGGCGGGTCAGGAATTTGTCTTGCTGTGCAACTGATTTTGCGGGACGTTGCTGGATGTACGCTAGGTTCCTTCCACGGCGTGCAAAGTCATGTATTGGAGCGGCGTTAGAGTGGCCTCCAACTTCCCATTCACGGAGAGAGTTGAACTCGTTTGTTGCGACGAGGGAGCGGATATGCGTGGCCGTGCGCGACGGGCCGACGGCACACTCATATAGCCTACATTGGAACGTATTATGGGTACACAACAATGTTAGGGTTGCGCACACTCGCTTCTACGATGCGCCTGTCCCCGCCGCGTCCTGCCCCTGAGAACCTACCATTGGAGAACAACACTTCCAACCTACGGCAAATTTTTCTCTCCATCTGTACATGTAACAAGCTACAAGCCCCCAGGGCTTTAGTCGCGCATCTGTTCGTCTGACGCTTGCAAGAGTGGAGCTGACCGGGGCCCTGCTGCAAGCATTCTTCATTGTTTTGCTTTCGACCTCAACCTCCCTCGTTTCTTTCTGCTGCCCACAGTTCGAGAAGCAAAAATGGCCGCTCCCTCGCGCACGTCATTCTCGCTGCAGGGCAAAAATCTCAAGCTCGACACGGCCGCAGACATCGAGCCGCATCTAGAGGAGCTGCGAGCCATTGAGAATCTGGAAGAGATCCATCTGGGCGGCAACACACTTGGCGTCGGCGCGTGCCAGGCGCTGGCAAAGGAGCTCGAGCAGAAGAGGAGCCTCAAGGTGAATTTCAACTCTAGCGCATAGAGTCTAGGTTGTGAAAGCTAAAACTTGTTCTTTCTGTTTTACAAGGTGGCCGACTTTGCAGACATCTTCACCGGAAGACTCATCAGTGAAATTCCGAGTGCTCTGCGGGCCCTGTGCGATGCTCTCGTCTCGCATGAATCGCTCGTCGAGATCAATCTCTCCGACAATGCATTCGGCGGGCGCTCCGCTGAGCCAATGGTCAATTTCCTTGAAAACAACCACCACTTTAGTGTGCTCAAGCTGAACAACAACGGCCTTGGCATTGAAGGTGGCACCATCGTCGCCAAGGCGCTCCTGCGCGCAGCTGAGAAGCTCAAAACAGACGGGGGCAAGCCGTCGCAGCTGCGCACCATCATCTGCGGCCGTAACCGCCTGGAGAATGGCAGTGCACCGTACTGGGCGCAGGCCTTTGCTGCGCATGGCGGGCTGGAGGAAGTGCGGATGTTTCAGAACGGCATCCGCATGGAGGGGATACAAGAGCTGACTACCAAAGGCCTCGCCTTCAACCCTAACCTGCGCGTGCTAGATTTGCAGGACAACACCGCGACGCTCAAAGGCTCGCGCGCCATCGCCGCCTGCCTTGCGTGCTGGCCGAAGCTGCAGGAACTCAATCTGAGCGAGCTGCTCCTCAAGCCCAAGGGCGGCCAGCGCATCTTCGCGACGCTTGCGCAGGGCTCCAACCCTGCGCTCAAGACGCTGCAAGTCAACTACTGCGATCTGGACCGCACGGCGCTGACGGAGCTCTCCTCTGCGATCGAGGGCCACTTGAAGGAGCTAGAGCATGTCGACATCAACGGCAACTGGGTTGACGAGGAGGACGACTGCATCGAGGCGATCAAGAAGGCGCTGGCAAAATGGGGACACGAGAATGCACTGCAGGAACTCGACGAAATGTGCGTTTTGTTCGGCGTTCGTGGGCTGCAGTTCCTCGACATTGTGTCAGACTGACTTTTCCTGTTACATGCTCAGGGATCCCGATGGCGAGGAGGAGGAGGAAGATGAGGGAGAAGATGAGGGAGAAGAGAAAACTGAGGAGGACCAGAAGGCTGGAGACGAGAAAAAGGAAGATTCTGAAGGTGTCAAGACTGAGCCACTGGCATTCACGCCGGCGGCAGCGAGCATAGAGCCAGTTGCCAAGACGGAAAACGCACAGCCAGAGCTAGTCAAGGAGGCATCCACGCTGGCAGCGGCAAGCATCGAGCCAGCTGCCAAGGCGGAAGACGTGCAGCCAGAGCCAGTCAAGGAGGCCGAAACTGATCGTGCAGCGGAGCCCGCCTCGCCACAACCTGCAGCAGCTGCTTCTTCGCCTCCTGCTCCTGCATCCGAAGCACCGGAAGAATGTGAAGAACCTGCAGCCGAAAGTGCAAGCCAAGCTGAAGAATCAACAGCGGATGTAGTGGCGCGGCAAGAACAGGAAGAATCCACAACGTCTGGTACAGCAACGAGCATGGCTGGCGGCGCAGCAAACAAGGCAGCGAGCTCCAGCGCTGACAGTTTGGTGGCTACGGCTATCGCTGTGCCCGCTGCCACTGCAGCCCTTCTGACCGCCCAGATTACCTCTTCGTCCGCACCAACCGAGGATGGCGTGGAAGCGGAACAAGAGGGGGAACAGGGGCTAGACGCATGCATTCCTCCGGTGGCTGCTACTACTACTGCCGCTGCTGAAGTTCAGCAGTCAACAGAGGAAGCACCCGTCACATATGCAGAGGTGGCGGCGGAAGTTACCCACGCTGAGGCTGCATCAACGCCTATCTCGACACCAGAGGCAGCGCCAGTACCAGCAGCATCGGCAGGGGCAGAAGAGCCGACTAGCGTGCTCGATGCGTCAACTGCGGAGAAAGCGCAAGATCCAATTTTTGGGTCCGCCGAAACGAGCAAGGCCAGTGACGAAGCTGCTGACAAGACTGCGCTTGTGGCTACGGCTGAGCCTGTTGCAATTACGGCTAGCGAACAGCCAGTGACAGATGCTCCTGCAGCACAGAATGACTCAAATGCAGCGTTGGCCCCCGCTGTCAACAGTGCGAGCGTCAGTACACCAACAAAGGCAGCAGGGCAGAGCTGTGATGATTCAGAGGTTTCGAAACTCGCGGACAAAGTGGCCAAGACACATGTTTCCAAACACAGCCAGTGAGTTGTAGGCACAAGACACCTCATCACTCTTCATATACATCTTCCCCGGCGTTTTTACGTTCCCAGAGCTGATGCAATCTCATCTTCCGCTGTTGAATCGTCTCTTCAAAAAGGAGTGGCTCAGTGGATCTCTCCGGAGAACTGTATACCCCCGGCAACGACCCGAACGAGCAGCCGTCCGCAGCGGCGGAGGAAGCAAAGAAGCAGCGCACATGGAAACGCTTCTCACTTGGCGCTGTCAAAGAACTCCTTGGTCTGAGTAAGAAAGGCTGAATCAAAGAGGGTGTTTGGCTTTGCATGATCATGAGAGAAGATGCGGCGGTCCGATTCTAGGATGAGGGCCTTGTAGCGCACTCATCTATAATTTGTACAAATCCTTGGTTCTTCGATATTGATATGATGGTGGGTTTCTTCAGAAGAGTCGGCTCGATTGCTCACTTTCGCCAGATGGGCCTTCTACCGCGCCTCACAAGCTTCGCGAATGGCGGCGCGAATAACGGATATGGCTTACATCTGGTTGACGTTGTATTGGCTGCAAATGCAGATCAATTGCGGAACAAAGTCTGCCCCGTATTCACCATGTTTGCCTTAGATATCCGACAGACGGACTGAACCTGTTCCGTCCTGCGAAAGCAGCGATAAGTGTAAGCGATAATGCCTCGTAGATGCTACTTTCGAATCGCCTCCGCCTCAGAAATCTACCGGGCGAAGTTATAGCTAGAATTGAAGAGAGTAGTGGAATGTCCATTATTAGACTGCACCTAGTTAGGTAGCAGATGCATGGACACTAGGAGATATCCTCGTTTGGCCTGAGGCACATCGTACATTGATCACGTATTCGTCTGCCTCTAGCCTGGTCGGGCCCTTCTCTTCGTCGATCATGACGCGTGCGTCGAGCAGCAGCGCGCACCACAATCCGAAACAACTTTGCACCTCATCAGCAGAGAGCTTCTTTGGCTGCGACTTGTCGTCGTGCTTCCCCGGAACCGTTGGTCATGGCTCTAGCGGCGGTAGCGCGTTGAAAGGCGTCACCGCCAGTCCGCGGTCCTTGAGACGGCCCGCAAAGCGTACGACGGCGTCCGGACGCTGGACGTCCGAAGAATAGTCGCCCAGAAGCGTCACGTCGACATTCCTTCCTGTACGGTAGAAATTCGTTTTCGGCTCGTTCTTGCACTGTCCTCTTTACAAGGCCGCCTCCACCACATTAGAAGCTTCTGGCCAATCTACAATCTGAGGGAAGAGGTGGCTAAACCTCTAATTTCTTCAACTTTTGCGCCGACTTTCGGTGTTGAAGCCTTAATATGAGCGGCGAATAATAATCAGGCAATCATGCCATTCACTGGGAGGGATCCCGTCAGGAATTTGACTACTGTTCACAGCACCACAAGGGCGTGTTTCAACTTTCAACGTAAATTTTGGGGTGATGAGATGCAAGGCATGTATAGAGCAAAAGACAAGCGGTACAAGTACAGATTACAGTATAGTCCATATTGTCAGTAGGCGCTGAAGCTGCCCTTGCCGCCGCTGTGACTGGTAGAAGAAGCGACCATGTCCGCATCGGAGCCCAGCAGCGGATCTTTGACCTCCCAGACGTTGATTTTGCTATCACGCCAAAAGTAGCACAGTTAGCTGAAAGCCCCACAGCAGCCACAACCGGACCACTCACCTCCCCACGGAGAACTCGAGGTCCTCTTTCGTGATGGAATCCCAGTCTGTTTGGACACGCCCACATGATTTGTCAGCGTGCCACGAGACGCGGTGAGAGAAGCAAGGTACGGCACTCACACTTGTACACCATCATGACCGACAAGAGCATACAGAGCACACCGAAGAACGTGCCGTCGATGTAGTGCTTCACGCCGTTGCAGATGTCTGCGCTGAAGGCGAACATGAGCACCAGGCCAGCAACGTAGAATCCGACGCCAAAGATGATGTCACCCAGCGGCCATCGGTCGTCCAGCGTGCGCAGCACCAAGACAATCTGCGACAGCACGTACACCGCGACGCAGATGATCGGGAAGAGGAACTGCACGATGAACAGGCCCATCTGTGACTTGGGGCTCATGCCCGCAATGCCCTTGAAGGTGGCGATCGCGACAAACGCGGTGACCAGGAAGACCACGAGCGAGCTTATGCGCAGCGACTGCACGTACAAATGGAATATCAGCATGTGTGCCATTGGAGCCATTGAGCGGCTAATGGGCAACCCACCCATAGAGACATTGGTGTGCCATCCTCAGCGAATTGGAACCCCACAAAGCCGTTGACGAGTAAACACCAGAAAATCGCAGTGTTCAGACCGACGTAGATCGCAGAAAACCACTGGGAGCGAAGATTCATATCAGCCCCTAGGACCAAGATACAGTTGTTAGGCCAAGTCAGGGGGGAAAGAGTCTCACCGAGTATGCGCCCGAGTACGTTGGGATGATGGCAGAGTCAAGGAAGATGGCGAGGATCTCGCTGACCGCATAAAGGTAAAAGAACAAGACGATCTCCTTCCTCCCTGCGAGCCACGGCCAGTACGTTGTATGTTAGCAAGGTATCAAAATGGGCCGCCGCGTCACGTCGAGGCAACAGCACCCACCAACAGCGGTGTATTTCGATCGGATGTGATAGACCATGACCGCTGTCATAACCAGAGCTGCAATGTGGATGACGCATGTTGCTGTTTTTCGACAGAGGTCGCTGCCCACATCAGTAGCTTTACCCCGTACAATTCAATCTCCAAGCAGCACAACTCACCGGGTTGGAAAATAACCGTGCTGTTGATTTCGACATTTCGGCTGTAGCATATCGGCTCCAGGCCCATCGAAGTGCCCAGCAAGGGGCATACGACGAGGGCAACCGTGTTGCAGACCTCCGTGTAAGAACCAAAAGACATCCCCATCTCGCCACGAGTAGAGGTGTTGCGCGCGCAGGATTAAGATGGCT